CTGGCAGACACTAAATATCCCATTTGAATGTAGCAAAACCTTTAATTTCATACGACTGACTAGCTAGTCAGCTAAATTATATCACAATAGCATTGGGAGTTCGTGCAACATTTTTAAGTTCTTTAACTCATAAAAGCATACCAGACTGGAAAATTATGCACAAATGTTGAAATATATTTGTTATACTCATATTATGACGAATACTATATACCTAACGAGCACGCCTCGTATGTGCATATACATAGAGACATTTTTGTGCTGGTAAGACCTTCGTTTGTTTGGTCATTGTACCCGACTCCTTGCCCAATTTTAAGCTTTGGGACGCTGCACGGACGTACTCTAATGCGCGGTTATTATTATTGATGAAAGGGCAGACGATGAGGCCATACTCGGCCAGAGCAGCGCCCACACAAAAAAGAGTACATAGAGGCTCGTACATAGGAAAGCATAGACGTTTCTTTTACCCGCCTACTCGGTTTATGACGCCAGTGTCGGCCTATGCGCATAAATTATGGCATAAATATAAATGTGAAAGTGTCATACGCCATACTTTTTGTTGTTGTTGCTGCTGTTGGTTTTACTGCCTGTCGGCGCCATTGTCAGCATTTGGTGGCATGTTGTGCAAGCGCTTTAAAATCGAGTGCATGCGAGAAGTATACGACTATGCCCATTATAAATACATAGCCCACATCACAAACGGGTAAGTGCATGGCCATAAACGTTTGGGCCGTGCATGTGTGCAACAAAATGTTGCCAAATGACGCACATATAAGTAAGCATGGCACAGGCCATTATTATTGTCCACCGCGCACAGTCATTAATTTGGCCTACGTGGCTAATCACGCCTTTAGTCTTGTAGTCTTGTCTTATATCAGCATACGAGGCTATTCTCAACACCAAGGAAAAGCACCTCAATAGCTAAACAAAAATGTTGTGGAAAAATATCCCAAGAATTCTCCGAGCTCACCAATGAACCCCATAAAATAGTCATCACATCCTCATTGTGAGCTTTTTTAAGCTGGAAATATACCTCATTAAATACACTTTAACTCAGTGAATTGTGCGAAGCAATAAACTAAGCTTTCTTTTACAAAAAATGGAGTCGTTTCTTTTCCTTGATTTACTTAAAGGCTGTAAATACTTCTCAAAATACTAAACAAAAACAAGAGAGAACGCTACAGTCGAGCAAGCCCGACAGTGTAATACCCTGTACGCCGAAAGCAGCAAAAAGAGGAAGAAGAAGAGCGAACTTGTTGATGCAGTTTGAAGGGAGGATTGTACTGGAGAGAATTTGTTTCGCTAACTTTTCTCAGAATTGACAGAATTGAAAAAAAAATTTTAAACAACAGTAGATAATTATATATAAATTATGTGTGCAAAGTTTGGTTTAGGTAGCATTTGAAATGTGGACGCTATTGACGAAATTCTGTAGCGGGGGAAGGGGGGAAAATTCTAAAAAATGAAATAAACTCGTCCTTTCTCGGACCTAGGAGAATCTGGATGCCAACTTTGGTTATTCTAGCTTTTATAGTTTCTGATATCCTTGCGTTCATCCAGACGGACAGACGAACAGACGGACGGACATGTCTAGATCGATTTCTCTCGTCATGCTGATCAATAATATATATACTTTATGGGGTCGGAGATGCTTCCTTCTGCATGTTACATACTTTGCACAAACCTAATATACCCTTTTTACCCTACGGGTACAGGGTATAAAAAAAAAACAAAGGCTACACAAAATCTATAGTAATTAAATTTATTGTAGTTCGTATTGTCTTTGCTTCTTTCTTCGCCTAAGCTGCTCGTATATCATGCCAAACAAATACTACATATGTCTTTTTGTTCTATCAGTCTAGTCCTCATTTTTCTATCTGTTTTGAAAATTGTCTGCACACCAGGACGACACAACAACTTTTGATTGTCTTTCTACTTGATACTTTGAATTTAGATTTATTAACTGATTATGCCAATTCATTTAGTAAAAACGTTGAATATAGAAAAGGGTCATCAACTTATTTTTAGTTTTCTATAATGGCCATAATGAACCGACTCTCAAATTTTCTGTATTTTCGATCCTTCATAATTACATATTTTCAACTAAAAACGGGGCAAGTATTTTTGTCGATTGTGCTTCTATTTCCTTAAAAATGAATTATTCAAACAACATCCAGTCAGTTATAATTTGAGTGAATTGGTTGCTTTTTCGGAAAGGTGCTATACCTCTTAACTGTTTTTTATTTCTACGCTCCTTAGAGTGTAGTTTGAGATGATAGTGGAAAAGTTCTAGGTTTGTTTGCTTTAACAACACATTCAATTCGATGAAAAGTCATTTCCCTTTTGGCTTCGTTGCACAAAAACCATTTGAGTAATTAGATAAATCGCGCTTTGCTTTATGTTAGTCAATTCCAGTTAGTTTGCTAAGCAGCCATTGTGGCTGTTGCCCGATAAACATAAAACACACAATGCAGACAAAACTTAATCAAGTTTATGTTTTTAGTAAAATGCAACTCGTGCCTTTCTTTTTTCGCGTTTCTATCTTTTTTAATGCCATATAGTGGTGTAACTATAAAATGTTGCCACAAATGGAAATATTTCTCATCTAAGTATAAATTGGCTCCTGGATGGCTTATTCGGTTACAAGCCCTTGCCAACCAGCATGAGCTCCGTGAAAAGCGTTTGTTGTGTTTTTGTTTGCTGTTGACGCGCTGAAAAGTCATTAAGCGTTTATTGATCGACGACTTTGTCAAATTTTGATAATAATTCATGCTCGTGACCAGACATAAATTCATCATTATTTCTTCATCAACTGTTCTAGCAATTGGGCCATTGACAGTGGCCACTGGCCAGCATGCGTGACGTCAACAGATGCGGCAAATCAATTAAGTGGTACGAGGCAGGACAGAACAAATGGGAAGCCGAAAACAAACAACAGACGTTCTTGGCATATGATGGCACATGGCCGAACAGGCCGAGGGGCAACTATGGGATGGCTGGGGGCGGTCCGCTTCAATGGCTAAAGAAGGCAACATATTTGATTGAGCGGTAGATGCAAAGGAGCTTTAATTTCATCGCCACTGTATCTTTTTGTAAATGTAATATGACAATGTGTGCTTTTTTCAAAATACATATTACATCTGCAAAAGTTCTGCAGCGATTGAAATTTGAAAACCATGTTACATCCTTTCGTTAGGATTTAAAAAAATCAAAGCTATTTGCTAAATAGCTTAATATAAGAGTTCTTCTTCCTATTATTCATATTTACTATAAAAACTAGTTTTCTGGTTGGGCAGTAAGTGAGGGACATATCATTGGTTAAATTTGATAAAAGTTGAATTTATTTGCCTATACTATAAGTATATCTATTTACAAATTTGAAATGTAAATATTTGTTTGCTCAAGATATTAAATCTACGAAAAATCTACACTAATTGCTTTAACATTTTTAAGCGCTGGATATGTTTCGAGGAAACGCCCTTCAATCACTAATTTAATTTCAATCATTTATATATTATATTATATTTATATAGTATATATATTATTTATAATCGATCTAGACATGTTCGTCCGTCTGTCTGCCCGTCTGTCTGGATGAATGCGAGGATCTCAGAAACTATAAAAGCTAGAATAACCAAACTTGGTATCCAAATTCTCCTAGGTCCGAGGAAGGACGAGTTTATTTTATTTTTTGGAATTTTCCCCCCGCTACAGAATTTCGTCAATACCGTCCACATTTCAAAAGCTACATTAACCAAACCTTGCACACATAATTTATACATAATAGTCTACTTGTGTTTCAAATTCACCTAAATCGGTTAATTCTAAGAAAAGTTATTAGAGAAACAAATTTCCTACAAGTTCGCTCTTCTTCTTCCTCTTTTTGCTGCTGCTATGGGCGCATATAACTCAGTGACGGAAGCTTACCTAGGTACAGGGTATTACCCTGTCGGGCTTGCTCGACTGTAGCGTTCTCTGTTTTTCATATTAATTCTAAAAACGACTTTCCTCCTTTCTCATACAAAAGTACTAAGAAGTCGAAGGCTTTTTAAGCAAACTTGTAATATATTTAATACACACTTTTAACTCATCTAAATTATTTAGCTGATCTGTTTTGAATCGTACAGGGTATATAACATTTGCAAGGATATAATAATCAATCAATAATCATTGTCTTCCTAATGTAGCAGTCTCATTGAATGGTCAAAATACTGAGTATCCTTAATGCAAATATTCAAAAATCGTACAAAGAAGAAATTCTAAATACCTGCTAAAAATACACGTAATTTATGAAAATATATAATATTGTGTACTTTAAAGACATCATTAATTTTGTTTGCTAAAATAAAATATTTCCAAATAACTATTATTTAATGAGGTATTTCATTAAACAGTGGGGCTAATTAAAAAAGAGTAGCACTTAATCGTGCTTCAGTGTTTCCATTCAAGGAGATTTGATGCCTTGGAATTGCAAACTGTGACCTCTTTAAGCAGTTCCTTGCGTGACTTTTCACAGCCGACCCCCTGCCATTGACCTCGCCAATATCGTGGTCGTCTTTTGACTTTAATTTGCTTTGTGACATTGAACATTTTCGATGGAACGTCTTCGCTGCGAGGTGTTCACAGATTGATGAGTTTTGATAGATTGTCCCTTGATATTGCATTGTTGACCAGTCCAGAAGCATACCTTACTTCTGGCCATTTACACCTCGGACAAGTGGTAACGAGGCATCCAAAAAATGAAAAATTTGACAGAGAGCGAGGGGGCTGCTGGCGACAACATTTAGTCAATTTGTAAATGCCCTGAAATGAATTCAATTAATTAGCATGGCCATTTCTTTTCTGTTCTCCTTCATGGTGGCGCACGTGCTTTGGACAAGCACGTGGGTTCAGCCGCCACTTGACGTGACCTTTTCGCCATTTATTGTCGATGAAGAAGTCTTTGACATTTCGTCAACTTAACACTGCCGAAGCACAATAAAATAAGAAGCGAATGCAGGAACTTTTAGGCATTATTCATTTCTATATTTACGCTTTCCTTAGCTTACATGTTTGATAACATTTTGATTTATCAAGTGATTTAGCAGTAGTAGATATATGTGAGTGCTTAGAGCAAGCTAGTGGATTGAATCCAAGCCACGACGACGCGAACGTTGCGACAATACTGGACGGGGCTTGTAGAGATCATCATTGGTGTAGCGCTGCTGCTGGCAGAGCTTGCTCATCGCAGAGCCGCTCAAACGCTTCGACATTTCGTCTGTAAATTGCAGTATACGATTAATAAGAGTTATTGCAGTAAACTAATATCTTTCGATTAACATATTGTTAGTGTGTAAAAATAAATTAAGTAATAAAGCCGTGCTCCCGTTTCCGCAGAACTACCGAATATTGCGAATTCAGTGAAATAATTCAAGGCCAAATGTTATAAATTCGTAAATCGCTACGGTTTTCAGAAACGCGAATACAACTGATAACATTTATAATAAAGAAACATGCATAAAATTTAATTAATTCTGGGAACAATCCATTATCGTATGTCTATCCAACAAAATAATAATAATAATATGGACATGGATAACTGTAGTAAAATAGATACTATCTAAGCAAATTAGTAATAAATGAAACCAAAAGTGTAACCGAATAGTTTATCCGAATGTGTCTAATCGGTGCTACTCTATAATTGAGAATTGCAATGGAATTCATACATGGATGGATGTTTTTGTGTCCAGATGGATAAGATATGTGCAGGGCGCTTACTTACGCTACATTTAACACTTCAAACAGCTTTTAGCGGGACTTATGTACAGAGCGGCATGTGAAAAGAAGATGTGGATTGATGAAGGCATGTGGAATAAGGCGTTAGCTCTGCTTACAGTTAGTTACATCTATATACATATGTAATAAACATAATAGTTAATATTAACATACCATTGTCATGCTTGTCGAGTGCTTCATTTTCCTTGGAATTTACACTAGCTTCCGAAAACGTGGGTGAAGTCTTCGCTTCATCGCAACGCAAACGCTTTGCCGGATTGCTGTCCGAGTCCGTTTGGTTTGCCGTCATGCTGACGTTCTCGCTGCTAGTGCTACTGTTAGGACTGATATCATCAATATTTGTATTATCGATTGAGCTCCTTTTGGGGTAATCCTGACGATCACTACTTAAACGACGCTTGGACGTACTGCGACGCAACGTACGACTCTCTTTTGCTTCCGCCTGACCCAAGACATTTAAGACAATACGACGTTGCTCGATAGTACGTCTGATGAGTTCAAGGCGCTGCTTAAATTCATCAGCATTCTCCTCAAAGTAAGTCGTAATTTCTTCATCGCTTTTGTTTGCGATTTTTTGAAGCTCTCCCTCCTTCTGGGGTCCTCCAGGGTTGTCCTGCGCAGCTGGTGACTGTTCTGGATTGCATACAGTTTCTTTTGGCTCATCTACAGCACACTGTTCTGGATTACCTTCAGTTTCTTTCCGTCCATCTACAGCAGACTGTTCTTCCTTAGAAACAATATTCTCATGCACCCCGTGCGCAAGTGCCAGTTCTTGCGTCTTTGCTGAGATGTCCTCCCGCTCATTTACACACGTAACCTCCATTGTCTGATCCTGATCTTCTCCTTTTTTCGTCTGCTCTTCGGATTCTTGGGGCAGGATCGTTTTAAATTTGGTTCCATCTGCATTTCCTACTTTGACCTCAGATGCTTTGCGACCAATATCGATGAAGCTGTTTGGTGACTGCTTCAAAATATCACTGACTACAACAACACTACTGGTTAATGCAGTCTCAACTGTCGCTTTTTCTTCGTGCGCACCGTTTCTATTTGGCTCGTTCGTGTCGGATGTGATGCTACTGTTCACGGATTCATTTTTTTCTTTGGTTTTTAATGTGCCACTGGGTGATGATACGCTCGAGGCAGCACCAGGTGGCTTACCTTCATCATTTGAGTCACTACTTCGACGTTTCTGTATTTTTGACTTGAGCTCGTTGTGGTCATCTTGAATAGCTGCTGATTGGGTAGAGGATGTCGTTGATTTTTGGCGATCGCGATCACTTCTTTTGGAAGAAGACGAAGAACTATTATTATGACTGCGGCTATGGCTGTGACTCTTGCTATGACTTCGACTATCCGATCGCGATGACGATGACGTCGACTTGGGCTTTTTTGTTGATGAGCTTGATTCGTGTCGGGACGACGATGTCGATGTGGAACGCATTGCTGAAGAGGAATCGCGGGTACTTGAGCTGCGACAGGATGAAGTCAAAGAGCTTTTGTCATGTTTGGTGCTCTTATGTTTTGAGCTGGATGAAGAATGCTTCGAGCTGGAGCTTGAGGAATGTTTGCTGTGCGTTTTGTCTCGGCTACGGTCACGATCTCGTGAATTACTACGTTGCTTATCGTCGTTGTTATGACGTCGTTCCTTATCCCTATGCCTATATTTATCCTTATCCTTTTCCCTATCTCTGGAGTGCTTTTTATGGTGCGACGAGGTAGATGCAGACGAAGTCGTGGACTCAGTAGACTTAGAGACTTCATATTTAATTGCCGATGGTTCGTCGGAAACTAATATTAATTGTTTCTTCTTGTCGTTAACTTCATCTAATGAATTTCTGGAACTCTCGTCATTAACTGTCTCCTGTGCCAGCATTTTGACGCTCCCCTCCATCTTCAGCAGACTCTCTGAATGTTGGGATCCATCTGAATATGCGCCGCCGCCGCCGCCGTTCTCTATTTGAGAGTCGAATTTTGGTGATGCCAGCGGAAGTTCAACTTTAAGCGGTAAGAGCGGCGGCTCATTTGGAGGCGGCAAAGGAGGCGCTGGTGGCTGCTCCGCTTTGGGAGGTGATGGAGGTGGTTCAATTTTAGGAGGCGATGGCAATGGCTCAATTTTAAGCGGTGGATCAGTCTTAGGTGGCGATGGCGGCAACTCAATTTTGAGCGGTAGCGGCTCAACGTTCGGTGGCAAAGGTGGTGGATCACTTGTAGATGGAGGCTGCAGTGATTTATGCATCAAAAGGGGAGATTCAATTTTGGGCTGCAAATGCAGTGTATCAATATTAGGTGGTTCTGGATCGGGCTTGATAGCAGCATTATTGGCATCGTCAATGTTGGCTTTCACCTCAGACATTATGGCATCCTCAATAGAAAGTTCAAGTGCACCACTTCCATTTGTTGTCGCAATCTCTGACATTGAATTTTTGCGTTCGGTGCCTGTATTAAAACGTTATTTTGAAAATTTCAAATGAAATCTAATTTACTGCAAGAACTCACCCTCAAAAGTAATGGTGTCCTTCATGATATCAAAATGCAATTGCCGACCTGTCGAAACATCACCGCTGCTAGTATCGCTTGAATTTTCATTAAATTTCGGCATTTGCGCCTCCTCTGAAATGTTAGCAGCAATATTTGGAGTCAGCTCAATACTATTGCTCGTAGGCTGTTGGACGTCCACCGCCGATTCAGTTGACCCTATCGTCAAACGACTATCGCTGGACACTTGGGACAGCTGCGATGTTTGCGAGACGCCAGCGTCTCGCGAATCATTTACCAACTCTTTATTGGCTGAATCGGATGTATTGAAAGTGCCATTGATAATACCGTCCCTTATGCTTTCATTTGGTAAAGTTTTAGTTTCAGACAATGGTTCAAAAGAGGGCGACGTGTCATCCTCATAATGATGGTCATCCGGTTCAACGCCCGGCGGCAAATCATCATCTTTGCTATCGTCTTTTAGATCAGATTTTACAGTGGCTCGGTCCGAATCGGGACTAATCTGTTCCAAGTCTGTAGGTAGAAGACTAGCAGTGGTCTCCACTCTCAGCATGTTAGCACCGTTCAGATGACTTGCATATGGTGGCAGCGGCGGAGCGGGCAACAGAGGTGGACGCGGTGGCGGCACATGCGCTGGTAATGGCGGCGGTGCTATACCTAGGTACTTGTACGTTATGCTCTGTATCTTTGGCTCAAAAACTGTGGCCACCTTGGGATTTACCACCTGGTCAACTATATGGTCTACGCCCTTATCCAAAACATCCGCCCTGTAAATTTTATAAAATAACAAATAAGGACGTGTTGGTGTAATTAGCATACTTAAAACTTACTCAAGCAGATGTTTACGGAGTTTTTCACGCAACTGCACTTTATTTGTCTCTGTTGTCCACGTTTGTTTTGACAGAAATCCACGTACGGCCGTTTCAACACGGTTGCGTACATTTTGATATGCTGGCTTTGTGTCCACGTCCGCCAACGCGTCCTTGCGAAACTCATCGAAAACGCCTTGGGATTTTACCTCCTGGACAAGCGACTTCACAAAATCTGCGTCCATTTTCTCAATTTGGGAAAACTACGCACAAATGTTTATCAGTAGGCTATTGCTGGCACATGTACGACAGTGTTGAACAATGAACTATGAATGCCAGTGTTGGACAATGTATACCTTTTTCACCCTACGGTCCTTATTCACCATTGCTGTCTTTTATACTGTTTTACTCGCTACCATACAAAATATTGTTGCGAAATTGACATTTTAAATTTGAGGTACTGATGAACAAACAAAGACCATTACAAAGTCAGCATTTAACTCAAAAACTAAGAATTCGTGATGATATTCATCACTAAGGATTATTTGAAATTCGTAAACCTTCGGGCATGCTAATCCGAAAATCATCGATATGGTCTTCTTACTCGTGACAAGTCAGTAGATACTTAAACACGCGCTCATATCTACCGTTGAATAAAATTGGCGCACACAAGCGTTGTATATGCATACAGTTATTTTGGCTTGGTTGTTTTTACTGTACGCTAATTTCGTGAAAGAAATTGGCAGATAAAGAATGGGTATGCAGTTTAATTCGATTAAACAAGGTCGAATGCAGAGTTCTAATAAAGCAATTGCAATCTAGCTGCAGATTCAATGGATGGCGATAACACGGCGACGGGCAGTGCCGACGCTAAAGCGACAGACTCTGCCTCGGCGACATCGAAAAAACGTTTCCAAGAAACTATGTTGAAGAAACAATTAACTGTGAAGCAAGCGGACTCAGCCACAGATAGTGAAAACTATACTGAAAACGATTTAAATACATCATCGGACTGGCTGTCTGCGACAGCGACTCCAACACCCACTCCTAGTCATCGCTCCAGCTGTAAGTATTATTTTGCTTATAAAGCAGTTTGAAATGGGGGCTGTGCTAATTTGGTTTGTGTGCGTGTGTGTTCACATTTCTAGTGAAGCGCGATTTGATGCTATTGAAGTCAGCGCTGAGTCCCAAGTATTGGGATATATCGGACTCAGACGATACAACGCGCTCGACGCGTCGTCGTAATCATTTGACTTTGAACAGCAGCTCTGAGGTGCACATTAAGGACAACCAACGCAAAACACCGACGCGAACTGTGCCAACAGTACAACTCTATCCAAACTCAACAAGCTTCATTAGTCCAATAGACAAATTGCTCATAAAAAATGGCGCTAGTTCACCTAATAGTACGGGCTTTGAGGCAGATGCAGAGGAGGCTGCAACACAGCCCCAGCGCAGGCAAATAAAACGTAAGCAAAAACGTGTTTCAAAATCAAAAGTGCCGACTGCAGATCTAGCGAAAGCAGTAGAAAAAGTGAAGTCACCTGAACAAGTAAAAGAAAATTCGCAAGATAATACGAAAGCAGAGTCACCGAAGACGAAAGCCCAGAAAACTGAAACAGCGAGTGGTGTTGAACCGCTACCAATCATCAATGAGGCTGACAAAAAAAGAGGAACTGAAGACGACTCTGTTATAGATAAACATGAGGAGACAATGCCAAGCACCATAAGCGATAGTGGTATGCAGGATATACCAAAGGAATATAACGCAACGGATACAATTGAAGCCACATCAAGTGAGCTCGTTGAGCAGCCGCCAGAAGAACATTCACTGCCACCAAATGGCTCCCAGGTGGAGTTGGAATGCACACAACTCTCTGACCCGATGACCCACGTCCAAGTCAACGCAAAACGTGAACGAAGCTCTACAAACGACAGTGGGGTACAGGATACACCAAAAGAGGATATGGAAGTGGAAATGATTAACCCCAGTGCAGAGGAGCATGCACAACAAACGGCCAGGAATCAAGTATTATCAGAGAACGAATCCCAAGTGGATATTTTGTTCACACAACCGGCAAAGACATCAACCGAGGTTAAATTCAACTCGAAAGATGCTTCCAAATCCCCTTCAGAATCTTTGGAGAGCTCAAGAGTTATCATAACAGAGACAGAAAACTCTATAAAGTCACCCTCTTCTATTAGCATTGACAGTGCCAAAGGTTCATCCATTATCAACGACTCCAGCTGGCCAACCTATCAAGTCGGCGACCTATATTGGGGTAGACTTTTTAGCTTCTGCTATTGGCCTTGTATGGTATGTCCAGACCCGACAGGTCAAATCGTGGGCAACATGCCAACCCACTCTATACGCAAGTCGTTGGATAATACACCCTTGCCGATACAAGTCCATGTTCGGTTCTTTGCTGACAACGCTCGTCGAAATTGGATTAAGCAGGAGAACCTACTGGCCTTTGCTGGTCTTAAGGCGTACGAAGCCCTGCGCGAAGAAGTGCGCATTAAATATGGCATGAAGAACAGCAAATATCGCCAAATGGTACCAAAAATGTCCAAGCTAGCCACCTGGCACAAGGCCCTTGAGGAAGCCAAAATGGTGGACGCAGTACCCTATGCGGAACGACTGGAAAAATTTTATCAAATCTACGAGAGTAGCATGTAAGTATCCAGATAATGCTTATACTTTGTTAAATGTAATTGTTATTTGGTATGCATTATAAACTATAACATTTTTATTTAATATATCTTCTATTCCTACTAATTTCTCGTTTAACAGTACGACCAACAAGCAAAAACGAAAGCGCACCAATTCCATGCTTCCAGACACGGCACTCTCTACATCCGATGTGGGCAGTAGTTTATATGACTCCACAGACAATCTCTATGCCAAGCCCTTGCTGCTCACAACCGTGAAACGCGAACGTTCGGAATCTCCATACAGCCCTGCATTCTCCCCGGTGAAGACTAACCATCAACCCAAGCGACGCAAACTGATTGAAGTTGCCGATGTTCCTGCATCAGCTGGGACTGAGAACCTTCCTGTGACACCGCCATCAACGGATCCACATAATGACCTAAACTGGTCTGGTTCTGGAAATCTAAATAATGCCGAAAAAATCGAGTTCCAGCAGCTCTTTGAGGCTGTTAAAGACTATGTTATGGTGCACAAACAGGATGATAAAGTGGAGAAATGTGTGCTAGCCGTGGTGCGTAACATTTGGTCCCTGAAGCAGTTGCAATTGCGAGAGCGGGAACGAGATACCGCCAACGATCAAGAGACTGCAGTGGAATCAGCTGTGGAAACGGATGCAGAGCTTCTTGAACGTGCCGTGGAATCACGGGCATCGGCTGTGGAGTCACTAGAAAGCGCTTCACTGGATCTATCGCAAGTGGTTGGCAGCAAACGTCTGTCACAACGACTGAAAACATTGAAGGCACGCCGCAGCAACACGCCAATTATTCCGCCTAGAAACGCAATCACGCCCCTTCCAAGAGAAAGAGCAATCTCGGAGCAGCCTAAAGTAAAGAAGGTAATGAACCGGCCCATTGATGAGGTCATTGAGGATATAATGCGGCTGGATCGTAAATCGTTATTCAAAGGAGTCAGTCGGGAACCAGTGTGCAAATATTGCTATGAGCCGGGAGGGAATTTGAAGCGCTGTGCGCGCAACTGCAATAATTGGTTACATGACGAATGTCTCGACAGGCACAAAGCCGGTCCCACCTTTAAGATAAATAAAAAAGGAGTGGCTGTTAAGCCGCTGACCAAAGATGAGGCTCTCTCAAATGCTAGTACGCCCCTAAATTCAGCTTCACCCATTTCGGACGTGGAGCTACATGTGACGGCCGAAGCGGAATCCCAGACGCCCATAGTGTGTCATGAGTGTGAAACAAATGCCCCTGATCCGTGTTGCATTTGCCATCAAGTCTTGGCAGTGCCCACCACACCGCCAACATCACCGATCAAGGCAACTAACAATGATGATGAGCCGACCACTTCGGCAGCCGCTTTTGCTAAAGGAATGCTAGAGGATCCACACAAACTTCTCGCTTGTAACCACCCCATGTGCAACAGGAAATTTCATCCAAGTTGTTGCAAATATTGGCCACAAGCGAGTATTACCAAGAACAATATACGCTGTCCAATGCATGTATGCCACACCTGCGTCTCGGATGATCCTCAGGGAAAGTATCAACAGCTTAGCCATACCAAGCTCGCAAAGTGCGTCAAATGCCCCGCCACGTATCACATTGACGGCCTCTGTATTCCGGCCGGCTCACGCATTCTAACCATGACGCACATCATCTGCCCCCGTCACTACACTGCCAAAGGTGATAAAAATCTAAATGTGTTATGGTGCTACATATGCGTGAAGGGCGGCGAATTGCTCTGTTGTGAGACTTGCCCCATTGCCGTACATGCTCGCTGCCGTAATATTCCCATTAAGCCACACGAAAGCTACATCTGTGAGGAGTGCGAGAGTGGACGACTGCCCCTCTATGGTGAGATCGTCTGGGCTAAGTTCAATTATTTCCGCTGGTGGCCAGCTATCATTCTGCCACCCAGCGAGATACCAAGCAACATCTTAAAGAAGGCCCATGGACCCAACGATTTTGTAGTGCGCTTCTTCGGCACACATGACCATGGTTGGATCTCGAGGCGACGTGTTTATCTTTACATTGAGGGCGACGAAGGCGATAGCTCCAAGACCAAGTCTCGTAAGTGAACGAATCTGTTTTGCACACCATTTTAATTCCCATGTGTAACATCTTGTATTATTTTTTTATCCCTCATTTCTGTCTTCCCTTTCTCTACCACCTCTAAATTTCACTAATCCAAATTAAAATAATTAGGAAAACGGCTTAATTGTAAGTGAAACTACTATCTATTGCATTCAATAATGTCAGGCAATCCCAAGTTGTTATTACTAAATGTACATTTCTTATGGCTGACACCTAAACTAGAGGCCCTAATTCCAAAGACCCATAAATCATGTTCAATCCTAATTATCTTTTTTGTGCTGCCAGTTTGTCCATTCCCGACTTTTACTTCTCTTTTCTGCAAATAAGAATAATTAGAAAAGTGGAGTATAAGTTTGTTTAGTTCATTCAGTAATATATTTTATATATTGTAGATAATGTCAAATTTCGCAAATTCTAAAACCGATCAAATACATTTATTAAAATTATATAAATATATAATAATAAACATATTGCTAGGTATGATCCCATTTTGAGATTCCTTAAAATAATATTTGCGTACATTTGCACTTACCACCCGCTCGGTTAATGACCTGACTGTTCAACTCTCCTTCCCTACACTTTTCTTAACCCACTAACGCACTTCCCTACCAAAATTCCTTTCAGACTTGGATGCCGCTTATGCAGTTGGAGTCGTTGAGGCTTCGCGGTTTATGAAGATCATTAAGGCTCATCGACAGGAACAGGCAGTTAGCCATATGGCCTCCTCTAAAATGCACCCGCCGCACTATGTCAGAATCAAGGCAAACAAACCGGTGCCGCCGGTTCGATTCGTCTACAACGAGGAGGATGTGAGCGTCTGCGAATGTAAACCAGACCAGGAAAATCCATGTGGTCCTGAGTCGGGTTGTCTAAATCGAATGCTCTATCACGAATGTAATCCAGAATTCTGCCCAGCAGGCAATCGTTGTGAAAATCGCATGTTTGAGACACGTAAGTCTCCTCGATTCGATGTGGTCTACATGAATCAGCGGGGCTTCGGCCTAGTCTGTCGCGAACCCATTGCTGAGGGCTCCTTTGTTGTGGAGTATGTTGGCGAGGTCATCAATCGTGCAGAGTTCCGCCAGCGTCTGGAACAGAAGAGTCGGAATCGAGATGAAAATTACTATTTTTTGGGTGTCGAGCCCGATTTCATTATTGATGCTGGTCCGAAAGGAAATTTGGCCCGTTTTATGAATCACTCGTGTGAGCCTAATTGCGAGACCCAAAAATGGAACGTCAACTCGATCAATCGAGTGGGTTTGTTTGCAATTAAGGATATTCCAGCGGTATATAATGGATTTAAAAATCAATCTGGACAAATACTAATATTCTTTTTTTTTGTTTGACAGGACACCGAACTGACTTTTAATTATTTGTGGGATGATCTTATGAATGGTAGCAAAAAGGCGTGCTTTTGTGGCGCCGAGAGATGTTCAGGAAACATTGGGGGTAAACTTAAGGACGAGCCAACAAAGGTAAGCTTGAGTTTTTTGTAGATCACTCAACAAACTTCAACGTCTACCTATATTCTATCGTATCTCAAATTAAAATGAGAATGGTGGTTGTTGACCTCGCCTCTTCACAAACAGTATTTCAATAGTCCCCATTCCATTACTTACCGCTTACAGATATTGAATAGCGATCCCATATATATTTTAGGATTTTCAACCATATTATAGGGGTTAGCTCATAAAACCACTGTTATTTGAATAAATCATCGGGATTTAGCTAACAAAACATTGATTTCTCCTTTAGGAAATTAACGGACAACAAAGCAACAACAAGGTTATCTCGAAACTGAAACCGTTGAAACGATTGCAAAACGGCAAAGCAAGTTCACTCCGGATACGGGTCAAAGGAACCAAGAAAATTGCTGGAAAAAAACCAAAAGCAAAGCATATAAATGCGGATGATGAGGACGGCACGATAACTTAAACCTTGTTTGATTTATAAATTATGTTGTAAAGCAGCGGTAGGCACGTAGTGGCTCCCAGTGGTCTTTCCGTTATGTTTTAGAAAGTAGTCTGACAAACAGATAAATTGCCGATCACGAGCGAGCTTACAAAATACATGCAGTGCGTGTGTCGTTGCTGGATTTGCAGCTCGCGCTGACGGCGCCTTGTGCCCTGATCATTTTTTAAAAAAAGTGTTATAAGGAACAATATCCAATTTTAAAATAGTCTTTGCTTAGGTGCGAGCCAATTTTTCCCAGAACTTATGTGTTTGAAGATGCATTTTCGCAAATAACACATACATATATGTATATTGAAAATGCATATCGAAATAATTTAAGTGACACAAACTTGTCAGATATATTTCGAATTTCCATAAATAAGTGGAGAAAAAATTTGACTTTTAAAAATTAATAAATAACTGCAATTAAATGTACTCAATCATTTAAACTCTACTAATGGATTTCGTGCCCACCGCTGTTTTAAAATCAAATTATTCGCTTTAGTTATGCAGCCCACCTGCCAACTTTATTATTTTACTTTGCACTCCAACTCTCCTGCGAGAGAGCATTATCTTCCATCTTTTTATACCCTGTACCCGTAGTCGACTCTCCTCCTCCCTGAAATAAAAAAAACTCGTGTATTATTTCACCCCTCCCCTTCTATAGAATTTCGTCAAAACAGTCCATATATCTGACATTGAAATTGCAAAAAATTAATTATAATCGGGCTTATACTGGCACAATCCAGTATCTCCTTTAAAAAATTTTAAACGAAAATTCAACAAATGTTATTTTTTGAAAACTTTATGATACTCTGAGTTATAGAGATTTTACAAATGCTCCCCCAATTATTTATATTTTAGATAATGTTTTAAATGGTTTGTATTCATATATTCCATGATTAATCATAATGTAAGTAGTGTAATATAATGTTTTAATTTACAATGTTTAAATGAATCACTATATTGCGAATAAAAAATATTTTTGGTTACATTTTTTAACTTTAATCTCAAATCAGTTCAGTATTTCGTTGGTTTGGTTTAAACATTATGTTTTCTTGTTGGCGTGTTCATTTTTACGGCTTTCATAGCTACACACATAGAAAAATATAAAAAATTATTTCTTTTTTACCTCTGGATTAGAAGCACTTTGGCATACACTAAAACTAGACCATAATGTGTAACTTAGGCGTAAAAGTATGCACTTTAAACTTATTTGTTTGATATACATTATATAACGCTTCAGTGTTATATATAACGAAAAAAGTGCACAAAATAAAACAATATATATATATAGTATATATGTAGTAATAAAAGAGGAGACTATTAAGGTGACGCGATCACCGCACTGCCCTGTAGTTTCGTTGTTCCTTTAGACTGGAAGTAACCCGTGTTGAACTTTGGCACAACAGCTTCTATTTTCTTTATAATTGTGTTCAGCGACTCCCGAGACATTTCGTATAGCGTATTCAACGAGATCAAACGCATCCCGCGTTGGTTGCATACCTCAATCACAGACCACTTTTCGAGTAATTTCAAGCAGTTGCGCACAGAGTCGGTGGAAATGCTTTCAGCTACAAACAAATTTCATAAAATTGCTTGTTAAATCTTTTGAAATACCTTGCTTTAGTACTAACTTACCATAAGCACAACTGCCGCGCTTGACCTTGTTGGACAGATCGTTAATGACAAAACTAATAAACTCCGACTCCAGCATGGAATTGCGATCTAATATTTTTAGCGCTTGTGCTACAGCACTATATGTACAAGCAAATGGTGCGAGTATTTCGCAAATATAACGTTGCTGGTCCAAAGTATCACTGGCTAGGAAACAGTCTGCTCTCTCATCGTCCCTTATATTCACATAATCATCATCGTCACAATCAAGATAGTAGGCTACGGACCGTGCTAAGCGACGACACTCCATACTATCTACCCCATTATCCTGGTATTACGAACCAATATTAGTTGTATTTGTAGTGAATGACTAACTACGATGATTTCTTACCTCATTTGACGCCGTGTTCATGTAACCGCTTATGACGAGATCATCCAAATGCTTGTGTAACAAATCCTCCAATTCTTGGGTCGGTTTGTTTAATATGAATTCATAGCGATAGACCTGACAGTTCTCAATAGCTGTGTCGATCAGTTTTTTGGTCGATACACCCGGTGTTGCCTTATCACATTGCCTGTTTTCTCCACGGTCGGACAACAACGCATGAAACGTTGTTAGCAGGATCGATCTCAACGCAAAGTGTGGCGTCAGCATATTGGAGTAATAAGCTAGCTCAATGAAACTTTCCACTGTGGGTACTGCGCGTATAAAGATCCGTCCATTTTCGTCCCGGGTGCGTGATATCAACCCTACGAAACACCAATTGAGTTGTGTTTTGCATAAGCAGAACTGGGGTTGGCACCTACCTGAGCCCAACAAATCGCATGCATAGGCGATAATGTGCAACGATTCACCAGAAAAGCCCATATCCTTACAGCCGGCAAGCGAATTGCGCAGGTCATCGAGACCAGCAGCAATTTGTCGCTCTTCGGCACCATTTCTATAACGCGTGAGAAGCAAAAACGCCAAAGCATTTGTCGACATGACGGACGTGGCAGCAGCACAATCGAATACTACCTGACGCGAGATACTCTCGATGAGATTCCGATGTTCTTCGCATACAACATCAGTGCCATAGAGCGATGACGTTGATTGATTATGCTGCAAAGTTCTGTAGAAGGACAGCAAGACAATTAGGAAAGGTTTGGTTTGCTGATAGTCGGTTCGCTTACCTGGAGGCTGGTTTGTAGATCTTTGCGCTACCGTCTTTGGCAATTTTGTTGTAAGAGTTTACCAATTCGCGGATAGAGTATGGTTCGTTGAAGTCGATGCGCATCAGCCCATAATTTGAATTCAAAGCTTTCCATATTCCCGATATAGCTTTTGTAAAGGATTCGGGTATTTTCTTTTCGCCCTTTTGCTCGCGCACAAAATTACCATCGACCAGGCGCTCATAATTTACTGACACAGGCACCAGCAACGCATCCGGAATGCTGCCATCCATAAATGCGTTTACAATGACTGACAAAATTCCACCTTTAGGCATACACGGTTTACCGGTTCGTGTGCGTCCGCCCTCGATAAAGAACTCCACATTGTGTCCCTGTTTCAAAGCGTGCGTCAAATATAAATGCAAGGCGGCGCGATATAGTACATCCTTTTTGCCCTCGACGGGATCAATCTTGCGCTTGATAAAGAACGCACCCAGACCACGCAGCAACGAACCAAAAATAGGTATCTGCAAGTTATTGCCGGCAGCTACCAATGGACTTCGTATATCATTATTCGTCAATATGAAGGTAACCATAATATAGTCCAAATGGCTACGATGTAAGGGCACAAATATTAGCGGCGTACCCGGCGAACTTTCCGAGACGGATTTGAGCATTTCAATTTGCTTAGTGTGCGTAACGACACCGGACAAGAAGCAAGGCAACAGTTTGTACAACAACCACGAAGTGACAGCCAACAGAATGTTGTTTAAAGTCGAACCCATCTCCTTCAGTATGCTGATAGCACGCATTTCCTGACCGCGCAATATATTCTGATATGATATGCCCTCCTGTGCATCTTCGGTATTATTAAAATTATCCTGATCGCCGCTGATGCTACGCGATAGCAAACGATGACCGTTTTTGGCATAACGTTGCTCGCGGAGTGCCTGTTCGGCAGCTTGTTTGATTGCATATTTTAGAACTGAGTCGTTGTGCACAATTTCGGTGACCTGCAGTTTAATGATAATTTGATATTATTATAGTACCTCGCTGAATTAACAGTGCGAGCTTACCTGACGATAGTCAAATTTCTCGCTGCGCACAACCTGAGCGAAATATGGAAACAAAACACCCCAGTCAAAAATACTCTTGTAGGGCTTACAACCGGAATGTGGTGTGAGTTGTAGCATATTTTGTGTACCGACGCCATGTGCCAGAGAGGTTTGTGGTTTTGCATCCTAAAATGAGAACAACAACAAATTGATTAGAAACAACAATTTCGCAAACTTATGATGCAATGATATTCCTGAGGCATGCTGCAAACATTTATGTAAGTAATGTGTGTTGTATAAAGTATATAGGTATGTGTGTACCTCAAACCATCCGCGAGCATGAAACACATCCAGCGTCATTTTTATAACGAGATTCAACTATGTCTACTGTTTTCGTTTGCTCGAAATATTCAAATTCAAGCCATTTCCTTGAGAGAAGCGCCCGGCTTCCTTCCACAAGCTACAAGCGATAGCGATAACTCTTGTCTAGAATTTTTAGCTTGTAAAAGCACACTTAGAAGTATTCGTGTATCGATTTCAATTAACAGAAGGCGCGCAGGTAGTGGCAACGCTGTGATAAATCAACGGAAATTGATGCAAGCCTTGCATCTGAATTATTACTGAATGAATGAATGGCTCTGCTTATCAATAAAGGCACACCAGCACGCGCGTCATTAATTGCCATACATATAACTCTACATATGTATGTATATTTATAAACAAAAATTCCTATAAACATACACATTTATTTTATGAGTGCTAAGGTTAATGGGTGAACATGCGAACTGATAAGAAACAAAAACTTACGTTTGATGAGCGTAGCGTGACCAGCAAATCGTTGCTAATGCTGTTGAACTTTACAAGCGACGAACGATAGCTCAAATTTAAATTAGGAAATAAACTGGCAATGATAGCGGGTGCTCTGTAAAACAAAGGAAAAATTAATATGTGCAAAACAGTACACACAATGGTTTGAGTACGGATGAGTGTGCCTACATGGCGTCCAGTCCAATGTCTTAATTTGTTAAAGCGGGGTTCGATTTCGTTTGTATTAAATGTATAATCAAGTATAAAAAATTTGCAGTATTTAAAATAGCCACCAGTGGAAAACTGTTAAGCAAACGAAAAACTTAACCACAATTCAAAAGAGATTGATTAAGTTCTGCTTTCCTTAAATCCTCCATAATCGAATAACCATAAAACAGCAACAACTAATACTAATAATGTTATGCCTGAACCAATTACAATTACAAATCAGTTACGCATAATAAATTTTTACGGGGCCAAATAAAATCGAAAAAAAAACATTTTCCTTTTTATATGTATGTATGTACATACATACATAACAACATAAACTCAATGGGGCTGTAGTCCAACCTAAATTGTATTTGTACTAAGTTCAATACCCCCTGCAAATACTCAAGTAGGCGTTGATAACTACAAATATAAACGTACGATTGCCATAAAACATTAGACGGCATCTGTTCTTTGGGCCAACTCTAAACAAATATCATTCATACTGACCGTTCCATGTACAGACGCTAGTGTGTGGAACAGTGCTGCCACAATGTAATAAGTAAAAGTCCTACCGTCTCCCAGCCACCAGTATCAACCCATTAGTCGTTTTAATTATAATATTTTTTTTCGCTAGAACGCATTAACGTTGGACTAAAAAAATTTAGTTTCCCCATGTTGCCTTTGTATTGCAACAAATGCCTTAAAAGGCGCACTGCTGATCCCGCAACACCATTTCACCTATCGCGTTGTTATCACATTGTTTGCAGCGTTTGCCTTAATGGAGGCCCAGCTGGCGAAAAGCAATGCCCGGTTTGTGATCGCCGGTTCGAAGGAGTTGTTCTTACCCGTAACATGCCCAGCAATATTTCCCACTATTTCGAGGATCCGCGCAAGTACCTGGAACTCTACAGGAAGATCAGCAAGTTTCAAAGCGAACAAAACAAATACTATATGAAGGTGGTCGATTCGAAAATGCAACGTTTGCCGGATCTTTTACTGACGTTAAACGGCTACATAAAACTTGAGACACAGTTGCGTCAACAGTTGGCCAATGAGAACAACCGCATTGGGGAGTTACGCAAATATATTGCCTTCTACCAGCGGGGCAATGGAGGCCCACTTCATAATACAAGTTTCTGTTCCAGTATTAAAGCTTTATCTAAGCGAGCGATACGACCCCGAACACCGTCAATGAACTCCACTATGACAGACACTGGTCAAAACAGTAGCTTTGGTGCTGTCGTGGACCCCAAATATACACAAGCCAGAACGTCTACACCTGTGTCGCATAAAAAAAAGAAAATAATAGTGGCTAAGCGCCGCCATAACACAGATTTTGATATTTAAACTATTAACATGACTAGTATAATTGGAACCCCATAGTAACCATTTAGGGAAAACAATTTTTGTTAATGTTATTTTAGTCTTAAGCGTTATATTTGATCAAAAGTATACATTATCATATTTTTGAACTGCTTACAGAAATTGGTTGTTTAGTTTATTATTAAACTTTACTACATTTATGAATGTTTATGAATAATTGGTAAATACCTCATCCCTACTATCAATAAACTGAGATTATCTCAAGTTGTGGAAAATTTTGTTTTGAATTATCACAATCGCCGATTGAGCCATTTTTGCTTTATTTGTAATATACATATGTACATATATGTAGCTAAGTATGTATTGGCTTGCAAATGTGCGTTTATTTGTTTGTTTGGCGTGGTGTTTCAAAAACAAAGTTTTAAGTATATTCCAGATTTGTTTGCCGCATCAGAAAGAGACAAAAAGGTTCGCATTACAATGAATACTACTTAAAGAGTAATCCGAAATCAACATGCAACATATAAATATACAAAAATGAGCTTTGCACCCCCAAGCGATTAATTTAACACGCTAATATGCGCAGATAAGTTTATGGCCTGATTAAGATGTCCGTAAAAAGGCCGTAAATATTTTAAATGCAATAAGATAATTAGCCGCTAATTTTATAACTTACTAATTTCGCTTTATAATCTACAAAGGGGTAAGTTTTTTTTATAATTACGATAATTGTTGCCAAGAATACAAATCGTGTGAAAAAGTACAATAGCAGGAGACTCTTTTATCGTTGCTATAGCCGACGCTTATACACCCTGCGCAAGCGGGATCAAAAAGAAGTGAAAGGTTCCACAAAGTACTATATAAATGCGTTTTTGTCAGTATTAGGAGGAGTACCAATATAGCATTAAAAGTCTGTGCAAAATGCATTCAACTCATTAATCTGTTAATTAGGTTTCTGTTTTTATACATTGTACGCAAAGGGTAAAAGGGTATACTAGTCATTTTGCAGGAAAGGCTGAAACTAATACCGTATGTAAAGGTATGGTTTGCTAGAAGGATTGTAGAACGGGAGACTTTCCGATCAACGTAGATACATACTGTGTATATAAGCAACTGTTCCTATGACATAGAGTCAACTATTCTGATTTCTTCCAGGCTTTACAAATTTTAACTTGGCAAATTGAATGAAACTGATGAACAGCTATTCTAAGAGGGTATTATACACTGAGCAATCGAACAATCTACATATATACATATTTACTCGTTTAGTAGATGTGTGGCGCTCTTATCGCTGCCATGACTGCCAATTCTAATACTTACTAGTGCAAGTGGAAGTGAAACGAAGGCATAGTTCAGAATAACGTGAAAATGCAACAATGCAGCAAACGACCTTGACATGCACCACCATGACAACGCCGCCACCCACAACGCAGAGATTAGGGAGCTACATTCTCGACTTTGAATGGAGCCTATTTAACATTCGGACTTAATTAGCATGCACAACAACGAAGACGCAAAAGGTTAGACTTAAATGCGGGAAACGCTGAGCGTGAATCAGGGCCTTCGATGGTAAGCAGCCACCTGCACGACAATATCAACAACCATATTACTACCAAAAACGACGACTGATTGTGTGTCATGAATTTCAAATTTAAACATCGCGCTTACAGCATCTAAAAATAGCGGCAATTGTTGTCTGTCTGTGTGAGTGTGAGTGCGTTACTTTAATTGAACTTGGGGCACCGGTGTTTGACACATGCCACATGATTTACTTGGCTTCGTTCATCCCAAGCATCCACACCTCTGCACATGTAATTGTATGTACATACATACATACATACATATGTATGTGTTTAAGTGTATATGTATGCAGATGATTGCTCACTCCACTCACCTCGTTTTCGCGAAAATGTAATAGACAATAAGTGCGACTGATGCAATTTCGATGCCTCCAAGCAAGGAAATCTCAGCCGCGGCCTGAGCAAAGTTCAAAACCGTTGATATCATTGTTGTGGCTGCATGCACTTTTCCCGTCTCCCGTCGGAGTCGGCTCCCTCTGTCCCTTCCCCGGCCCACTTATGTAAGTGATGAACGGAAATGCGTGCAAGTTTCGCGTTTGCCCTTCACCTTTCCAACGAAGTTGCCGCCGACCAAGATACTGTTCTGCGTCGTGGTTTTTATTGTTGTTCTTGTACCGCAATCGTTGCGGGAAAAACACTGCGCATGGAGAGCGGTCCAATGCGAGCGTCTCTGTGTGTTTACGTCCGATTGTTGTTGCTGTAGTTATTACGCCGACTGTGTTTTTGTATATGCTTTGCTTTATATATTCGTATATGTACGACGTCGCCGTGTCGCGACCCGCTGAATACAGAATATCGTATGATTCTGCGCGATTTGCTTTATTCGCAGTTGAATTGATACGCGCTAATGATGCCGCTGATGCCGCACACAAAGTAAATAAAAACAGGACGGGCACTAAACACGAAAAATTACTAGATTTGTTTTTATTATGTTAGCACGTTTGACGTTTTGTAGGTTTTTACTCTCAACTTGTGTGTGGTTGTGTTTAAATATATGTATGTATGCTCGTCCTTTCTTTAATAGCGCTCTTCTCTCCGCCCATTTGAATTATCAGCGATGAACACAACCGCGCGACTCGAGCTCATGCAACCGAATAAACTTTTGTGGCTAAGGCTGCCGTTTAATTAAATGTCAATTAACGTGTGAAATCACAATAAAGAAAACGAGAGAACGCCAAGTCGAGCCAACGCGACTCCTGAATACCCTGTACAACAGAAATTTAATTCCACTGCGAAATATCCTACCTATTAGTTCTTTATTAGTCTCATAAACCAATGGGACTATATACATATATATTGTACCAATACTCCACGTAGCAAGTTTGGGGTGAACATGTTCTATATGTAAATACATATTAAATGTCTTCGATGCTTCCCACAGGGGTTTACACACTCACGCATCAGAACCTACACACCCTACTCTTTTCAGTAAAGGGTATAAAGAAAAATGGCAAACACGAGTGCCGAGATCGGCCGAATACAACCGACACTTTCGATAACAATTCGTTTGCTTTATCAGCAACAACTGATGACGCCGACATTACGAGGAGAAATGATAACAGAGAAAAAGCTTTCTCACAGCTCCCAGTGCAGCAGCAAAAAAGAGCAATACTTGTGGCCTAAAACTAATTGTTTAATAGCATATGATTACTCTCTCTCACTGTATTATTATGAATAAAATTCATACAACTTGGTAATTTATTATATAAAAGAGTTTTATGTTATTGAATTTTTGATGTTGTTGGTTGGAAAGTAAACCAGATTACTTCTTGGCCGCCGGTTTCTTGGCGGGTACCTTCTTGCGAGCAGCGAGCTGCTTGGAGCGATTAGCAGCAGCTTTGGTGGCGACACTGGCAAAGTGCGACTTGGCCAGCTCGACATTCTGTTTCTTGGCCTTGGCGACGAGCTTAGCCACAGTGCGCTTTTCAGCAGCTAGGGAAGCACGACGCTTCAGAACCTCGGCGTATGGATTCAACTTGACCAGCTGACGCACATTAGACAGGGGATTCAGACGACGCACCCGACGGAACACGCGCTTGCGTGGGTCGCGCAATACCTTGCGGATTTCCTCTGATTTCAACAGACGGGTCAGGTCGGTGTTGGCCATCTTAGGTTGTGGCAGATTGTAGCCCTTCTTCAGTGTGGAGGGTTTCTTCCAGGTGCCGAATAAATCATTCAAACGAGAGAATGCAGACTCCGTCCAGATCACGAAACGACCGACATGACCACCGGGCGCCAGCTTCAAAAGATTTAGCTTGTCCACACTGATAGTCTCAATACCGGGGATGTTGCGGAAAGCGCGACGCAGACCTTCATCCTTGTAGTAGACCACGAGTGGGCCACGACGAGCGATGCGGCGACGGTCGCGCATGGTACCACGACCAGCACGGAAGCGCTGCGACTTGTACACCTGTGTGGACGAAGGAATAACACATTAGTAAAGCATTCGCATTTCTTTATCAATGGAATGTTGCCCTCAACTGCATACGCTTGCATCAGTAGAATATGACACAAACGTAACGCCTTTAGGAGAGCAATTAATCTAGCAGTGCGGCAAATGCTCCAGTAGAGCACGCAAACAAACCAAAGCCCATTTTACTGAAAGGGATCCCAGGCTGTTTGCTTGCACACTGCATAATCAGTTAACCAGCATTCTACACACCTTTTGGATGTCCGCCCAGATCTTCAAGCGACGCAAGAAGACAACAGCTTGCTTGGTCTTCTGCAGCTTCTGCACCTCATCGGACACAACCAAAGGGAATTCGGAGACACCGTCGATAACATGACCCTTGGACTGGACCAGTGCTGGCACACCGGATGCGGCGATGGCCGAGACCAGAGCGTAGCGGCGCTGGTTTACATTCACCTTGCGGTGCCAGCGACGAAAGGTCTTAGTGGGAGCAAACATGCGACCACCACGGCACATGTTGCCGAACGCACCCTGGCCGGAGCGGTGAGTACCACCACCACGAACGCGAGGAATACGGGCAACGGCACGACCAGTACCCCAGGACTCGGCAGAGGTTTGGTGACCTGACAGCAACATCACAGATTAATCAATTATGTTCCAATCGAGATTCGGAGGTACTTACCAGCAAGCTCGCTGACGGCGTATGGCTGACGGTTGTTGCGACGCATCAACTGGTGCACATCGTTTACAATATCTGGGCGGATAGGAGCCTTGAACACTGCGGGCAGGCAGATGTTTTTCTCCTTAACAGCCTCATTCTTTTCCGTGTACACGGAGACCAGTGGCCTGGCGTTGGCTAAGCTCTGTAATCGAAAACAATTTTAGCACAATAACAAAATGTCAAACGTGTTCACAACACTTAGGCAGAAGCAGCGCCGCCGCACACTACAAACACGTGGAGGTTAGGCAGAATTTAGAAACAATTTTGATGTTTCTCGCATTTTTTTGTCTATAAAAGCACAGTTTTAGCAGTTCACGGCGACCAACGGAACACTTTAGCACAATTTCTCACCATTTTCGTAGATTTTTAAGCCCAACAAATGCTGTTGAATTTTCTGCAAACGCAGATACCGTCCTCTTTTTAGTAAGAAGAACGAAGAAAGAAAGAGAGCCGCCGGAAATAGCCAAAAAGTGCTGCCAATTCATAAAAATACCAAGGTTGTATTTTAAGCAACATGGTCGACTGTCAAAAAGTCAGTGCTGGAAAATGGTTGTGGCTACTTTTAGTCCGCCCTGGTCCAGCTGCGGTCTACAGATTTCATTCGCACCAAGCCAAGGAGAGCGATATAAACAAATATAAAAATTGAGTTTGTCAACAGTAACTAAAAAAGATAACAAATGGCTGGTGAAGTTATAGTTGATGCTCTGCCTTATATAGACCATGGCTATGACGACGTGGGCGTACGAGAATCTGTGAGTTGCATAGTGTTGCTTTAAAAATGTGAAAAACCGAACGTCTCCCCTTGCTATTCCAGGCACTTGCAATGGTGGAGGAAGAATGCCGGCGCTACCGCCCCACAAAAAACTATCTTGACCACTTGCCTCCACTCAACAGCACAGCGTTCGAGACTCCACTAATGACTAACGAGTTTGAACGTATACAGAACCGTCAGCCCATGGAAACGCTTTCCATGAAACGCTACGAACTGCCACCTCCGCCTTCGGGTAAACTATCGGAAGTATCTGCTTGGCAGGAATCTATAGAAAACTCCATGGCACAGCTGGAACACCAATGGGTGCGCTCTCTCAATCTCGAACTGATGCTTGATTACGGCCCAGAAGCATGGAAATCCTATCTAGAAGTGTTTACCGCCATGCAAGCCAAAGCGCAACTGCAGCTGCAGCAATTGCGAAAGGACATGCAGGATATTAACTGGCAACGCAAACAGGCGCAAACCCAAGCAGGCGAGAGATTGCGTTCCTTGGAAGCCCACTGGGTGCTGCTTGTATCCAAAAATTATGAAATCGAAACGGAGTGTGTAGAACTGGAAAAGGTGGTTCATGCTGCCCGCGAGGAGCTTCAAAAACTAAGCGCACAAACTGCCCAAAGTCCGCAAAACGAGAACCAGGACCCCATACCGGAGCAAACGAACGGTCACAGCAGAGAGACGGAAAGCAACGGAAACGTCAGCGGAGAGGAGCCCGACGAGTCCTCAAATGAGTCTCAGTAGTGTTCCAATAGTTTTATTTGTACAATCTTTAAATACATATTGAGTTTATATATAACAAGCAAAGTGCGAATACATTGTATAAATATAGGATTTCCGTGTATGACTCGTGAGTAACTCTCCAGCAAGGTAATACGTCGTATATGCATATGTAAATGTATATGTATGTTTGTATATTATATACTCGTAGTATGTAAATGTATGTCTACGCCTATAGTTAATGCTAATATAGTTTGATTCGCACACTTAAAGCACGGGGCAAGGCCGCCGGCCGCAAATTTTAGTCGCATGGCACATTTGTGATACAATCAGTAAAGTAAGCCGCAAAAGGATGCGCCCAAACGCCCAAGTGGTTTCCACATTGCTTGTGGGAGCAGCCGCTGCAGCGATGTTAGCATAAATGTATATATATTAGGCAATAGGTTACAAAAGTCAAGGAATAAAAGCACCTTAGCAAGATATGTGACAGCTGCACTGCTCGCGTCCGGGCGCCCCATTAACTCAGCATTAGAGCTCTGCACGAGTCAGGTCCATTGTATTTAAACTGTTAATCAAACACTTTTCAAAGAACAGAAATGACAAATTTGCTGCGATCGCAATGAATATTACAAATACAATGTATTTCATGTGACAAAAGTGGAAAAAATTAATATCCAAAATACAAGAATTCGAATATTTGTTTCTGGGAAATTAATAATCGAAATCATCACCGTTTGATTTTCGAAATTTTGAAAACGGGTCCGTTAGTTATACAAAAGATATTAACTGAAAATATATAGATATAGACAGTTAAATGAGGATATACATATGTATGTATTCGCAACGGGTCGCACCAAATGGCTATAACATTAAAAATAAACGTAGAAAAATATCATAACTAGTGTAAATCACGAAATAGCCGAGTTGGTTAATATGATTGATTCATAACTTGTGCAGGGCTCTATAATCATCAAAAACAGACGCTTACGTATCTAGAGTGTAGTCTCAGGAACATGTACTTGATTATGCAGCTTCGCCGCCTGATGCTTAAGCAGATCCGTTTGTCGCTGCTCGCTGATCCTCTGCTCCAGCTTGCGTATGCGCATCTGATACTTGCTGGAATATAACAATACATAATAATAATTAGTATTTAAAAATATATATTGCGTATACATTTGTAACATACATATATAGGAGACATTTTGTGGAAGTTTAAGAATCTAATTCTATACAACAGCTCAGATTATAGCAATAGGAAGATGTCGAAACAATTGCAAATGATACTGTGACCAAAATATGTACATATATCATTCAAGAGAATGAGCAAGAATTCCTCTTCTATTTGAGAAGATTTTGGGATTGGCGATGGGTGGCTTAATAGCTATTTCCAAACAGCAAAGTAACTTACTGGTTTGACTTTTGTAGTTCGCGCACATTCAGCTGTAGTTGCTCGTACTTTTCATCGGAAATCTTTTGCGAGATCGCCACATTGGCCAGCAATGTTTGAATGCGTCCCTTGAGCTCCATTTCGCGTGTCAGTGCCTCGACTAGCTGTTGCTCGGTGACCGCTGCATGCTCTGCCTCCGAGTAGGAGGCACGCTTGGTCTGTTGCTGAAAGAGCACAGCACTCGAGCTGACGCTCAGTTGCAGCTGCAACTGCTTAAGTGCCTCGTGCAAAACCCCGATGCGTTCATTCGCACGCTGACGCTCCCGTTCCACCTCTTCTACCTTGGTCTTCAGCTGTAGATTCTGTTCGCGTAATTCAAGCAGCTCTTGCAGTGCCACCGCCGATTCCAAATCAATAGGTGACTTCTTTTCTCCCCCCTCGTCATCGTCTGTGTCTCGCTTATGCTCCTCCTCCTCGAGAGCCAAACGCTTCTTCTCGTAAAAATCACTGAATGGGGACTCCAGATTCACTATCGTGTGCTGCACAGTCGAACGGCGACCCTTCAGCTTGGACACATGGTAGCGCAGGCGATTGTCATCGTCGGCAGTCCAGTTGCGTGAATTTTTAGTGGCCTCGCTGTTCAGATTCAAGTTGTGCTGCCACGGACCCAAACTATTCTCGCACACGTTCTTCTCACTCTCAAGGCGTGCGAGCAAATGACGCGCCACTGATTCAACCGCCAGACGACTCTCCTCAGCCGCTTGGGATTTGTCGTTCAACAACGCCAATCTGTTAGAGAGTGGAATAAATAAAAGAAATGGTGTTTAGTACTTGTACATTATCATTTTAGTTTTGCCTGCTGTCTCTCCATGTCGCTAGGAACTTAAGACTTACTTGCTCTCCAGCAATGCCAGCATTACGTCGTATGCCTCAATTGCGCGATCGCTACAATTGACGGCCAATTGTAGAGCGACGGCGTTGGATTCGTATTTCCCGCAGAGCAGATAGAGATGTTCCGTGTGCTCCTTGGACTCGGCCAGTGTTAACGAGAGCAGTGTGTTGCGCATCTTTAGGTGCTCCATTTTACGTTGCAGGTCCTGCAGCTCGTTGCTCAACTGCAACGGGTCCATAAAGCTGTCCATCAGTGAATTGTGCTCCTTTAATTCACAGACCAAATGCTCGACGAGATCAATGTGCTAGGAAGACGATAGATTTAGATTTAAATCTTAGTGCAAGCAAAGAACTTCGTTCATCAATATTCTGTGAATTTTACTCTTTGCTTCAGCTAAGATGGTTCTGATTTATCTTACTTACTTCATTGCTTATTAATTCCAAGTTGCTTACATTGCGCTCGTCAGGCTCGTCCTTGCTGGCGCAGCGGAGCTTCACCCTCTCCGCCATTTTGGCCACAGGCGGGACACGCTTCTGTGGACTGCTTAGCGACACGCAGACTGCTGGAACCGCTATGATTAATGGCAAACACATGTATTGCAATTTCTTTATAGTCTTACCATTCTGTGCGCTCATATTCAAATCGTTTAGTTGCTGTTCGCTCTTGTTCTTCTGTTTGGTCTTGTTGTTACCTTCATCGGCGTCCACATCGCAGGCAAAATACGCCACATTGGTTTGCTCTTCGACCACCAGCTCAAGGTCATCTTTGGTTGCAATTTCCGCCTGCAGGAGAGCAATCTGAGCCCGCAAATGGAGCACCTCCTCCTGTAGCGCCTCCAATTGTCCTTTGTTGACAGTCTCTTGAGACATTTTGATATGGTTGCTGTCCAAGCAAATGTTTTGCGCACTCTGCGCCAACTCTTCGCCAGCAGAGTAGGCCCCCTCTAAATCCTCTAGCGGTTCTGTTTGACATTCGGCATCCGGGTTGGTAAGATTTAGTTCAGAATTGTATAACGAGCCTTCCTGATAACTGAGCTCTGTAAAAGAGACGATGTTTATGTTGTCAAAGTAATCTTTTTCTCAACTAACCACTGCCCTCTGGCTCCTGCTCCTCCATAATGATATGATCCTGTTTGCTGCGCAATTTCTTGCTCAGCTCCGCAATGACGCAATGCATCTCGGTGAGGCGACATTCGTGCGCCGCACTGACCACCTCCAAGCGCTTGTGACACATCTCCTTCTCCACATTGCTCTCGTTCAGTTGGCGCTGCAGTGCACTGCGCTGTTCCTCAGCCTGTTGCAGCCGTTGTGTCAGATCCCGCACACGCACCTCCATCTGCTGCACCGACAATTGCTCCACCTACAAGAGAGCAGAAGGCATTTAATGTTATTATATGCCGATTTCCGGATTTGATTGTGTTTTGGATCGTCACATTTATTGGTCGTCGTGCCAATGGCTGTGACACCAGAGTATATTCCCAACTGCGGCGCTTCTCCGGTCTCTGTAACCCGCCATTGAGGCCGCTGCTGGTCGCATCGCTGCAGCACATACAGCTCAAGCTACGCGGCAGCAGTTGCTCCGAAATCATAGCCAATGGAAAATTTCGCGATTACGTCGTCGTACTTCTTCGTCCTCCTGCCAAACATATACTCCTTTTATGCATCGCCTACACGCCGCTGCAACTCTTGACCCACAGAACATTTTCACGCACCTGCGCACTACGCGTCCGACGCAATGCACACGCGATGTAAACACAAAAATTCCTATACATAAACATACATGTACATAGTATATATTGATACAGTATGCGCCTAAGTAGGATGGTCCTCTTTTCTTTATGATAGAGTATCGTAAAAACTACCTCATAAGTGCTTAAATAAAATGAAATAAAATAAAGAAATAATCAATCAATTTTCAAAAATTCAAATCGGGAACGAAGCAATGGAGTTGAAAATCCGCAACTATTATCAGATAGGTATGGTCAAATATTGAAATATTTTGTACACAAATTGATCGAATTACACTAGTCCGGCATGAATGCAGGTTTATTAAATTTAAATCTCTTTTAAATTTGGACAATTTTTAAAACACCATAGTTTAAAATTAAAATAAGCAAGTGCCAATTTATAAATACCAATTCCCTAATATACTATATAATTTAATTTTATAACACCAAGTCTATTTAAAAAGATACATAGTAAATAAAATAACGCTGACTCGTTCGTTGAAGCTCTATGAACATCCCACTATATTGTACCCACACATTTTTTATTTAAACAAGTACACGTTTTTATGTTATCTTCATGAGTTCACTGTACATTAATTATGTGTATGTACAACCAATAAACACACAAATGTACATACATATATATATACATATATATTTATTTACATGTAGTATGTTTGTATGCCGTCACTCACTTTGTTGACAATGTCCAGCGTGGAGCAGGAGCTGATGTTGTTGTCGCTTTCCGTTGTGTCGCGTTGTGTGTGCTCGGGTGAATCCAAATCGTATGAACCCACTAAATGCTTTTGATGGCCTAACGCGGCGTTGGGAGCACCGCCTCTTGGAGATATGCTACCAAATACATATTCCATGTCCTCGTCAACGCCCTTTGATATGCGACTATTGGTATTGTTGCTGGCTTGCTTCTGTTGTTGTAGTTGTTGTTTGCCATGTCGTCGGGGCACGTCTGTGGTAATTTTGGCTACGCGAGCTATTTGTACATCATTAGACATGTTGCAAGCAGTTCTTGGTGTTGTTGCTATTTTTGGGGGTGGGCGGGCGTTGTTGGCGGTCTCAAAGCTTTGTTTATATTTCGTTGTTGTTTTTGTAATTTTTCTTCACTATTATTCCGATGCATTATGGCACTTAATTGGCTTTAAATTGTTGCTATGGCACTTTTTATGCATTTTTAAGGCATATTTAATTCATAATTGTGTCGCATTAATTTTCCTCATTGCATTTTTATCTGAAAAATGTCTACTACAAAAATCTGAATGCTTCAGTGTTGGAAAGTGCAACACAAGGAGACAGTGCTGGAAAGCTTTCTATCAACGCCTAAGAACTTTTTTAACGGAATTTCGACAGCCATTTTATTAAGGAAACAAACCGTAATTAAAAATACATTTAAATATGTATATTTATATGCAAATATAAGGGCGTTCGAATAACTGTAGACGTAATATGATTTGCTACATCTATGAAAGCTCCATTGTAACGTATTGGACATAGGAATGTTTCAGGTATTTTGTATTGTATTTATTTTGGACTAGTTATTCACAACTGGCAAGCATCTTTTAATGCTTTGCTGCATTTTCCGCACGTATGGTCACCATAGCCTCATAATCACGCATATCCAGTTCATGCAGAGTTTTTTGTACCAACGCTGCCAAATGAGGAGGCAAATCCTTGAGATCCTCGCTGCGTTCCCTAGCAATGGTGCTGGAGATGCGTGGCGTGCCATTGCAACGTGTGTTAAAGCCACAATTCCCTGAATCAGTTGTTGTCGAAGACGATTTATAGGCGCCCACAGTATTATGCCCAACATCGTTCAGACAAACATCAATTCCATATTCGGAAGAGAGTACACTGTTGGCAGACTCCGTTGATAACGATGACATGCCATCATCGGATTGGGCCACGCCTCCACAACCGTTGGGCCGCAAGTGTGTCTGCTCTTCGAGCTCTTTCGATGTGGTTCCAGTTTCCTTTGGTGTAGCTGGTGGCGTTTCATCATCGTCGACCATGGCGGCGCAGTAGCCATTAAGCAGGAGCTGCGAGGGCGCATATGAAAACTCATCGTCATTGTCGGTGTCACCGGTAATTAGTTGTTTCAAACGTTGTTCCAGCTCAGCTATTTTGTTAGCTAGGATTCTGTTGGTTGCAGAGAAGGGGAAAACAAGAAAGAAATAGAGTGCGGTTTTTTATTAATAATAGCCTTACTTGTTCGTCTTCTTTTGATGACTTAAAGCCAAGTTCTTGTCGTTTAAATTATCGAGCAGTGCCAAGGACAATGACTTTAAGTCGTGTATGGTTTCCGTTTTTGCAGGTAAGTCGATGCCGCTTTCCAAAATGGTTTTGACTGTAAGTAAAAATATGTAAACAATAACACGAAATCCAATTTCATATTAAACTCGAGCCAAATGGCGCCAAATTCTATAAGCTACGACACACACAACATCAAAGTCCACATTTCGATGCTCCTTACCTTGTCTGGGACTTAAAATGGTTTCATCGTTGGTGCTACCACCAAGCTTTATAATACCTTTCTTGCGTTTTGCTTCCAGCATGGTCTATGGCATGGCAGCAGGTGGAAAAAGATGTGAATCATGTTAGTAGAAGAGGACTAGCAGGTGGGACATTAAGCAAAACGCGGAGTAGTGTAATACCATCTTAATCATATTTTCGCAAATCATACCTTGTACTTATTGACAGATTCCTTTGTTAATTCAAGCTCATTCTCCTGATGCTTAACTCGTTCATGCAGGTACTTATTTTCTAATAACACGCCATCAATATCGAGGAACTGCAAGCGTTGTTTGATTATTAAATATAACTGCGGAGCTCAGGGTCGAACATACCTTTGGATGCGCTTCATTGGCCTTCAGTGCCACGAACAATTCATGATTCAAACGATGCGCTTTGCATTTGTAGGCATCCCGTTCTGTTATTAATTCCTCTTTTTCATCAATAATGGCTTTGAAATCAAAAGCTAGCTGCGCATTCTACAAGAAACCATTGTCATTAAGTCTATAAATTTTACAATATTCCCACATTCAACCTTTTTCTTTAGTGTCTCCAAATGGCATATATAATTCGCACGTTCATGTTTCCATTGAAGTTCATCTTTGCTATGCGCAGCATTCTCAGATGCTATGGCTTTTACCTTGGACTTGGTACTTGCCTCCTTTTTTCGCAAAACCTCGATGTCACCTTTCAACTCGCCCAGTTTTTGACGCAGTGCTTCCACCTCAGTGTTAAGCCTAAGATTTTGTTCACGAGTCTCGTGTAGCAGTGCCGCCACGCTCGAGTTCTCACTTAGCCCACCATACCCGATCCCACCAAGAAGCTCGCTATTGCGTTTCAGCGCCGAATACCGCAACTGCAACGTCTCAGCCATAAGTTTGTACTGATCCCGCTCTACGCGAAATTGTTCCAATTCTTGTCGTAAAATTCGGAGAGCCTCTAATTTGCTTTGCAGCTTTCGGTGCACCGCCGAGGTCTGCAAATATCGACTTCGATTACTATTATAATACACAAAAACAGCTGCAACGACTGACCTCCACGTTAAAACTGTCCATATGCTCGCCCAAGGCATACATGCCAGAGCACTGGGTGCTTATTTCGTCATCCGACATAGTTGAGATTTGTGTAGTTACTCTAGCAAATATCAGTTGTGAGCTTGTTTCATTATTAGAACTTCAGTTGAGCGTCAAATACAAAAATTCCATTTTTTACACAATTCGACGATGTATTTTACGATACATCGATGTACCTGATAATAGAGATGAACGAAATGTCACGAGTACGAAACAACACAAATCACAATGGTGACAAAACTTCACAGACTTGAGTCACTACTTGAGTCCATTCTGGCGCGAACTCTTATTCATTTCCCGCAGAGGTTCTTTTGTCGTACAATTGAGTGAATGCTGATCATTTAAAAAGGGTTCATAATTTTTTTCAAATTATTCCAGCATCTTAAAAGTAACCTAATCGACGTACAGGGATCGATTAAGAACTGCACTTTATTTATTTTATATATTTATATATTCTTTGGGTTGAATTAACTTGTGTACAATACTAGTACAGTAAAATTTTGGTTGCGCCAATTTCGGGATAGAGGGCTTCGCTAGCGTAGTTGACGATCCACGTTTAAAAATTAACGTAAATGACGAAGATGCCAAAATATCGATTATGTTGAGAGTGATATCGAAATTCTCTTAGCTTTCTTTGACAAGTAGCTCATTCGAAATTACGCCGCGTTGGTTCTGGTCGTATTTTAAGATAAAATCTGTGCGATTACAATGGGCGAAGAGATAGGTTTTTCGAGTTGGGACCCTTTGGCGGAGGATTTTAATAACGAAGAACTTAATAAGTACGAAAGCGGGCCAGGTGGAAACTTACAGGCCGAATCTATTTCACATACGGAAGGAATGACAAAACGTGAACTAAAGCGGATCAAATATCCATACATCGTAATAAAAAAAAACGGAAAGCATATAAACGATTTTATGTTGTCAAATTATATTGGATCGCAACTTATTTATGACATGGAGTTTATCCCTAGCAAGTTACTTTTTTTTGTGTATTTTCACAACATTACGTGAGTTTAATGTTCGAAACAACATACATACATATATATATATGTATGTACGTAGTTAACCGTTTTATTAATAGGGCATTTGAAGAGGCATTCATAAAGTTGCAACGATTTAATTTTGGTTTGGATTTTGTTGTGGGACGCCCACCTGCAGAGGAACCGACTACCAATCAGGACGTTGAGCAAAATGAACAACCGGAGTCGACATCAAACCCCGAATCAACCGAAACAAATACTTGCAGCCTTACCATAGCAGAAGACAAGCAGGAGCATCCACCTTTCTTTCCCGTTCCCTTGGTAGTTAAAAAAGATTACACCGCCAAGAATTCGCAGCTGGCGATCAACGATGTGAACAGGCGTTACCTAAGCGTAAAGTTTGACTTCACCCTAGAGCGTCATGGCGCTTACGTTCTGAAGGAGTCCATCGATGAGGATTGCGAGCGCCAATATCGCTTTGGTCGGGTGTTGACTGTGTGAGTTGTTTAAATATCTATCCTGATGGTGGTATGTGCTAAAAATGTTCTTAATTTTTTAGTGCTAAAACCCCGCCAGCAATGCCTAGTACTGAAAGTGTATTAAGTGACGAAGAATTGAAAGCTTTGTTTGGCGCAATGAAATGTTGTGACTGCGAGCTACATACCGACAATAGCTGCAAGTATTGCGGCATACCTTATTGCAATGCAATTTGTTTTAATGCAATTTGTGATGAGCATGAGAAACTGTGTAAGAACTTTGCTAAGCTTCCAGAACTGGAACGTGTAAAAAATAACATGCGCTGCAAGATACCAAAGTTGCAACAGCTTGAATTACCTCCATCTGGCTCCAGTGTTCAAATCACCGCCTTCGAACAGACCAATGTAGTCTACATACGGTCAGTAGATATGCATTCCAGTGTGGCTTACATCAAAATCCTGTCAACCGTTATGAGAAAGGGGAAATGTGCACCCAAATTGAAGCATTTGCCGCAGACCGGACAAATTGTAATTTACAAATTCGACAGAGAGATTGTGCGCGCCATGGTGCTCAATGTGGACGATCCACAGGCGATATACCTGGTCTGTGTCGATTTCGGAAATATCGAGATCACAACTCTGGATAGTCTGTATGAGTGTAGCACAGACCTGGCCGAACTGCCTCGTTACGCCATTCCTGTATTGTTACGGGGTATTCCCAGACGATATATGCGCCCAGAGGTGCGCAATGTGCTCTACCAGATTCACGATACGTTTTCATTTGTGCTGAAGTATAATGAGCGCGAGTTTGATTCTAATGGAGGTATGCAGCGGGTTCTTCTCTTTGAACGCGAAATGAATTTGAGTCTCAATCGGCTCATGAAAACTTTACTAACACCCGTTGAGCCATCGTTTGACATCCCAGGCTTGACGGAGAAGGTAGGAACTTATTACATGCATTTAAGACATCCATATACATAAGTACATTATTGGTTTACTTTTCAGTTTCTGAATCATGTGTCCTTACCAACTGGTAAAAATAAGAAATTGGTCATTATGAGCAATTTTTATTGTAATATTGGTCTTTTGTATTGCACAACCCTGGACTTTGCATACGAAATCACATTGATGCAACGTGATATGCAAGTGTATGGGGAATCCGAAAAAGCATTTACATACTTTGCCCCATCGTAAGTGTACTTCCATTTCTAGTAATTTGGCTCTATTCGAAATTCTTTCTACAGAAGAGGCGAGTTGTGCATTGCTAAATACTATGGGAAATGGTATCGAGGAAAGTGCGTAAATCTTGTCGGCAATGGTTATCCAAGCATTTTGTTCATTGATTATGGCCATATTACGCCAATACACATTAACAGTATACGCCGGTATCCACCACAATTTGACTTCCCCATATTGACAACGGAATTCGATATAGTTGATCAACCGAATGACTTAACTGATGAGATGATTGCCCGACTTAAGAACCACTTCCTAACGGGCTCTATAATTGAATTCGATGAGGTTATTTTCAATGAAAAGCAAAACAATTATTCGCTTCGTATCAATGATTTATTTAAGATACTAAATGGTGCCTGAACTTGTGTGCAACATTTTCCAAAGCCTTGAATAACTTTTGCAAAACGCGCCAATTATTCCCTATAAAAATAATGTTTTTGAATTTTGTATACTTTTGTTAATAAATACGTTAAATGCGAAATACGTTTAAAAGAAAATGAAATGGAGTCTAAGATATATTCATGTAAGGGTTGCGGCTAACATCTGTGGTCTTTTCAACACATGAATTTGTGACGCTACACATTTTGCCATTGCTCTCGCTTTTATCACATTCCGATGGAGGTCGGCTGAGATTGTTTTGCTTTAGGTCCTTTATGTTTTGCAGCGACTGAAGGACCTTCTTGCAGATTAGACGCACCTGACGGCGTCGGTTATCATGGTTCTGGCTCTCATTGGGTAGATCTGTGGAAATGAAATCAATAAGAGACCTTCGAATGGACATTGCATAAAAACCTTTTTCATCCAAATATACATTTTTTGTCAGTTTTCCGATTAGCATAATTTTACGTTCTTTCTTTTGTCGCTCTAGTCGCTTCTCTAGCGTGTGGAGAAGCGATTTTGTCTCCTTTTGTTGTAACACCAAATTCCGCAGCTTAGTTTTTGCCAATTTGCACTCATGTGAGAGGTTTTCATAGGACTTGCAATGTGCCTTGGACTCTAGCACACTGGACACTTTGCAAGGCCTTTGACTAGTTTCTCTTTCCGCTGATGGACTATTATCCTGTTGCAACAGCTTCAGTTCCTTCCCAATCGAATTCAGTTTGCCTTTCAACTCACTCATTTGCTGATCGTATAACGCATTGACGCTTGAATGCGAGCAGGAGTCAGGGCGCCGCTTACATCGATAGCATGTTCTGAAACCATTGAGCGAGGATGCTGCAGATGTGAGTTCCTTTTCGATACTTTCAAAACGTTTTATCAAGTTGGTGTGAATGATTTTCTGTTCCTCCCGCAGTCTGTCCATTGCCCGATCCTTGGCTTGCATCTGCTCCATTAGCATATGGTTCGACTTGACCAATTTCCTCAAGTGGTCTATCTGTGCAACCAATATATCAGGCCTCCTGCAATCTTCGTGCCGCTTTGTGGGTTCCGGTTTCTCGTTACCCAGGTCAGCGAATGTTACCATGGTGCGCACTGAATTTCGACCCGAAACTGGATTTTATTGCTGTAAATTTAAGTGCCTGAAAATGTTTTTAAATACTAGAAATATCAATACCATGTGTAACATGCCATTCTACTGAGTTTCTACACAACTTTATTATTATATACTATTATGGAAAACCGCGATCCTTGATTCACGGATGGCCTGTACAAAGCTCAAAAGCCAGTGGTCAGTCGTTTAAACTTAAATATTAAAAAATTATTTTATAACCTGGCCGTGATGTTATTAGTTTTCATCTGCTGCCCATCGAATTAGCTATGGTTACCATTTTGCGCACAACATTCGTGTTTGTGCCATAATAAGGGTCTATGTCCTGCTTGCCCATTGCCACATCGCAATCCATGCGTGTGGCGTGCGGCATGCTGTAGTCCTCGCCAGCGGATTCTGTGGCAGATGCATGAAACTCCATACAACGTGTATTGGTCAATATCTCCTCGACATTGCATACTTTAATGCCGGCACCGGGCATTACGGTGATATCACGATGATGCTTTGCTATTAACTGAGCAAGGCTGTCTGCGCCTTCCGCTGCTGTTTGTCGGAAGCCACTGCTAAGCAAACGTTTGAATCCCATCTCCTTAAGTCGTTCTACATTGTCATGCATTTGATTTGGGTCAGTGAGATCAAAGGCTCGATGGAAAGTTACAGGCAAGCCGCATGATTGTTGCATGATCCGTCGACACTTTTCCACATCTATTGTGCGTTCTGTTGTTAGTGCTCCAAATACAAAGCCATCAGCACCATGCTGTCTTAGCAAGTCCATGTCTGTGAGAGTAGCCTGTATTTCTTCTTCAGTGTAAACAAAGTCGGTGCCACGACGTGGTCGCAACATACAAAACACCGGCAATGTAAAGGGAAGCTCCTTTAGAACTTTTAACGTTCCAACTGTGGGTGTCAGTCCACCCTCGCTAAGGGCGGAGCACAATTCAATGCGAGCAGCTCCACCAGCTTCAGCGTTAAAGGCCGAAGTAAGGGAGTCAACGCACACCTGGAGTTAGGCGAAAATACATTATAATAAAAAATGAATTTCAAAGGGAAGTAAACTAAACAGAACAAACCTCTAGTTTGATGTCGTGTCGAGACATGGCTGATTCTGTGTATTTGTTGCTTAAGCTAAACGCTTAAGTCAAACCTGCGATTTTGATTCAAACTTTCTGAATGTTATTTGATGTTATACAGAATTCCGACTAATTTGGCGAGAAAAGCCCCCTGTATCAGTTTTTAGCAAAATGTATCAATTATATCGATACCACTTACATATGTATATCGCTATATGAAATGTGCATCACGGAGTTGCAGCATACATATCGATACTAATACGATGTACATATGCAATGTGCGTGATATCGGTTGTCTGTTGCTCTGCAACAAACAGCTGTTTCTGACATTTCGTTTTGTGGCAGACATTGACATTCCCTGCAGTGCTGGCAACACTGTGTCCATTTTGTTGTGAACAATTTTTGTTAATTTTTTAATTTAATTTGGAATAAAACGCACGATCGTGTAAAAACGCGGCGACATCTGTAGGCAAAGTACAGCATGAGCCAGTAGCTTAAAAGAAAAGCAACGGAAAATCCAACGCGCGCCCAAACGAAACGTAGTTGAAAAAATGACCATGGGCGAACGTGAGCCAACTTCGTCTCTCGTTTTGCCCGTTATTCTAAGGCCTATTTTCACACAGGTAGGCCTCCAAATAGATAAAACTAACCGACAGCTGCATGTTACTAATGCATGTTGCGTAAACTATTTTGCAGCTTGAGCGACGCGACGTTGGGGCTGCGCAATCGTTGCGCTCGGCCATACTTAAATCGGAGCAGAATAATCCGGGCTTCTGCTATGACCTCGTTGCGACAATCGTGCGGCGTGCTGACCTTAATGTCAACCTCAACGAGGCTGTCTTGCGTCTACAGGGCAACATCACGGAGCCGGATTGTAAGTTCAGCTCCACTAAATTTCCAAAAATTTCACATTTGCATACGCATGCGTTTATAGTCTTCTACACGCATACATATGAACAATTTATGTGTGTGTGTGTGAGTGCTTATGTTTTTGTTTGCTTTGTTTACTTTTTCACAGTAAACGAATATCGACTGACGCGCACTGAAGAGCCCTTCCAGGAGCTAAACCGAAAATCTGTAGCACTAAAGGTGATCCTTAGCCGTATACCAGATGAGATCACCGATCGCAAAACCTTTTTGGAGACTATTAAGTGAGTAATTAGGATTATATTTCTGAGGGTCCATATGTATTTTATGCATTTATATGTATTTGTGTTTCAGGGAGATTGCCAGCGCCATAAAGAAACTGCTCGACGTGGTAAACGAAATTGGTTCGTTCATACCGGGCGTCACAGGCAAACAGGCTGTCGAACAGCGCAAAAAGGAGTTTGTTAAATATTCCAAGAAGTTCAGCACAACGCTGAAGGAATACTTTAAGGAAGGACAGTAAGTATACAATTTAACTGTCGATTTGATTGTTATTACAGTTGGGACGTCAACAGTGTTAAGTTAGGTGCTGGTTTCTCTAATCGCTTGGTATCTGGTTTCTTATCGGCGCACCGTGCGCATGATGTCATGCCAATGGAATTTCGTACACACTGCTGACTTTTTTTGTTTTGTTTATTTTATCAGTTTACAGTTTCTGCTACCGACCGGTGGGGACTTATGGTGTGGGTGAGATTGCAATTAAGCATAAGGGTTAGCATTGGTATGTGAATCGGGAGGTTCTTTGCTGACCTTCCCAATGGCATAATATATTTATGTAAATGATTGGTATTTTGTTCAAGGCTTCATTTAAATGTGCCAATTTTCTACCTCATATGGTTAACATACGTTTCAAAATGCTACTAAAAACCGTTTATGAGGCAATTTTCTTGTCTGTGAACATTGACGACAATTTGCCACTGCAAATGCAAATTACTTAAATTGTTCACTCGAGATAAATGGTCGTAATATGTGTATTTCAAATTGACATTGACCGATTGAGAAACAAACAAATTGCTATAATATTTTATTGAATTCTCGAAATTAACTCGCAATATCTGCTCTTTTATTTACAGACCGAATGCAGTATTCATAAGTGCACTTTTTCTAATACGGCAAACGAATCAAATTATGCTGACAGTTAAGAGTAAATGCGAGTAGAAAATTAAATGTTTAATTATGGAAAAACTTAGTGGCATTTTATTTTTATGTTTAATTAACAGTTTATCAAAACGAAAAGTAAAAATCCAACAAACAAAAACAAAACAATTGAATTGACGGCAGTAAAATTGCAAATAATTAAACTGATACATATTAATGTACACTTTAGCCCATACACAAGATCTAGAGCACATACATGCACCCACACACTCATTCGCCGCCACACAATGACCGAAGTAAATGTTTATTGCAAATGGCTAATTAATGTTTAAAATTGTTGTAACTTAACAAATAGAACGTTGAACTATTTACATATGAAGTTCTAATGGCAAACCTAATCTATAAAATGTATTACAGAAAGAATGAAATAGAAAATAGAAGCCACAACTAAAGCATACTAGGCAGACAAGAACTCCAAACTAAGCCGTTGTATTTTCTACAATACATACATGAATAATTATTTATACCTATAGATAAAATCGTGTGTTTTTTCGTTTACAAATTATTGTAAATAATTCTACAATCGATTTGTTTGTTTTCTGTTTAGGGAAAGACGCTTACGGATAAATTTAAATTTAGTAAAAAGAGACACAGGAAAATCTACTAAGAGAAAAAAATAAAACTTGAATTTTTAACTGTTTTTAATTGTTACAGTTTGAAACAAAAAACTAAAAAAAAAACCATATGAATTATATACATAAAATTTAAAAAACTTATTTAAATGCATATGTTCAACTTGAATGAGAAAGACGCAGATGTTCTAGCAACAAAATGAAGAAAAACATTATTTTATTTTTAAAAAATGTTATATAAAAACATACAAAAACACTGAAAACTCATATTGTAGAAATAGAAAAACAAAATGGACAAATAAATGTATTTATTAAAATTGTGCGATCTTATTTTTCTTTAATGCTCTCAAAGCTCATATAGTTAAAAGGATATTCACCAAACCATGGAATAATTTCTACTTCCAAAAGGGGGGAACATTATGGGTGATGTTGAGTATAACAACAGACTTTCGCAGACTGAGCTGATTGTAACGGGTTTGATTAAATATATAGAAACCTGTTCCTTGAAATTTCTTTATGTTTGTAATGGAGCTATTTATAAATACATACATAAGTGTACCAAAAATAGAAATTTAAAAAACGGCACCGACACGTTGGGGGAATTAGTGTTTTCCTTTTTCTAAGTAATAATATCTCAAATCCTTTGGGTAAGGTTTAAAAGATTTAAAAGCCGTGTGAGTTCAGAGATTTCCACGGAAATGGCTTAATTGTGACGTCTTTCCACTATAGAGAGAGATTTCTGTTGACTGTGGATAATAAAGCTCAATATAATATAAACACAAAAGCTGACAACGATTGTTAAGTTGTGCATCTAGACAAGATTTAAGGGAATTCATTGCTAGTTGGTCTGCAGGGAACTTAAAAATTAACACGACCTAAATGAAATGTATAACATCCAATGCTATTGGGAACATTTTTCATCTGTTTACATTCTTCAGTTGTAGAATTTGTCAGTAGTGCGCTTATTTTCAAGAAAAACAGGTGGCTGTTACTTGGCAGAGCATTGTTAACAGCCGCTGTTAGTGCTAACATTTTCAACCCCAGAGAGCGCCACGCGTATCTAACGAGAAAATTGCCCATTGACAGAAAAATCGATTCCGTTCGTGCACATTGGGCCACTCTGGGCAGGCCAGTTGGCCAGAAATCAGAGTACAAACCAGCCGAGCAACGCGACGATGACCCACTTTTCGGGTTTTTCGCATTAAACTGCTTCAACCAAAAAAAAAAAAGAGTAGTAGATATCTACCATAGTTTTTTTCTAAAAAATCTAGTTTTAAAGCGTGCGCGTGTGTAAAATATTAGTTAAAAAATTATGTAAAAACCGCAACTTAGTGTAAATTATATGCATTTGTGTGAATTTGCCAGTGCTAACGTGGAAAAAAGGCGACGTGAAAAAGCAGCAGCAGGCAGGAAGAAGCAGCAGCAAAAAGGTTGGCTCCACTTTCTGTGCGTTTTTGGTATCCCAAGTGCTTTGCCCAATCAAAAAAAAAAAAATAATAAAATATAAAATAATAATCAAAATTCCAAATCAAGTCAGCTAACTGGGCAAAAGTAAATTGCATGTTAGCTGGCTAAGTGAGCCGCAGTGGGCCATAAAAAAAGTGCCACTGGCTGTGAACTGTCGAATGGTGTCGACGGGCGAGCGAAAGTATGAAAAAATTTCGCTCTATACTAAATACAAATAGGAAAATGTGTGTGTTTTCCAGAAGCAGAAGCAGCAGCAGCCGCCACAGTCATCGTCATCGTCTTTGCCGCCTACAAACAAAGCGCGTTGCGGGAAAAATTTTCCTCGCCTAAGCCGTGTGCGTGCATAAGAATTTCATGAAATTTGTCAATTTTCGATGGTGGCGCGTTTTAAAAAATATCATTTAAAGTGTAAATATTACAAAAACAGAAACAAAATAATGTTTTCCATACAGAATCGACGTGAACAGTAAAAGTGAAGCAACGCATTTGCATATTGATGTGAAAAAATAGAAAGCTAACGTAAAATTACACACTCGTACTACACATGTACATACACACACACACACATATATATATACATATATATGCAAATTCGCGCACGCAATGTACTCGTTTAAACATACACACATTCAATGTAAGAGTGTGTGTGTGCCATACATTGCGATAGATGTCTGTGTGTCTGTATTTTGAATGAAATACGCACATAAATGTTAAAAAACGGACAGACGACGGCCCAGCAGTCATAAATAAAATCGCTAAATCGGCTAATAAAGCAAATCAACTGCATTTTGGAACAAAACGGCGCGAAGACACACACACACACACAAACACACATAAGAATACATACACATTTATACATACATACATATGTAGAGCGCCAGCACGTAAGTAAATGTAAATGGCCACTGGAACTGGAGCAGAGAAGCAGCGTGTACACGTATGTGTGCAAGTGTGCTTGTGGTTCTCTGTATGTGTGTGTGTGTTTCATATTCATAAGCAGCGACAGCAGAGGCGGCAATGATAGCGCCACAGCAGGAGAGCAGCAGCAAGCAAGATAAATGAAAAGTGCCATTTTTTGCTTTGGGGCGGTTTTGACACTTGGCGCACGCAGCAGCAGCAGCAGCAACAACAACAACAATTTAAACGAGTCGAATGCGCGTCTGATTCTTGTATACCCTGTAACTGGTTCCATCTCTACATCCAAACACTACGTTTTTCTTTGGCACCTCAGTAAGGCGACACTTAGTTGGGACATTCGTTTTTTCTTTGAAAATCAAAAATATTTTCAATACTTATCAATTTAATAAACTTGTCGAGTTATCTTATTAAGATACAATTTGCCTCGGAAAAACATATCTCTTATACTTTTGCATGTACTTGTCGTCCTATAAACAGATGAAATGCCATGGGAACATTCCAGGAATAATTATTTTTCTTTATGGCATCTACCACGCCAACTACTGGATGTTACAAAAACGGAGCGATTTCATAATACCCTTTCATCCATAGCGCACAGGGTATAACAACAAGAACGGACGAACAGGCGGGCTGTTTGGTGGCTTTGAAGTTATTCATTGTTGCTGTTGTTTCTGGCGTGTTGGTGCGTGTGCGTAGCACAAACGCGCACCTTTTGGTCAGAGCCAAAGGAATAGAGAGACAGAGAGAGAGAGAGAGAGTGTGGGTATGGGAAATTTTTGGGGAGAGGTGCCATTGAAGAGTTTGGGTCTCTGGGTGTGTGAGAGAGAGTGCGAGAGAGAGAGAGAGAGAGGGAGAGAGTGAAAGAGGGAAGGGCGCAGGTGTTTGCCATGTGGTTATGCCTTATGTTGCTCTGTTCGCAGCGCTGTTGACGTAAAGCAAAGTTATGAACGCCTCTGTGTGAGTGTGTGCGCGTGTGTAAACATTTTATTACAAGAGCAGTTGCATACATATGCATGAGTGTGAGTGCGTTTGTGTTTGTGTGTGCCTACTGTAACAACTATTTTTGGCTCATTGTGTCTATTTGCTTGCAGGTTTATTTATTCCCCCCAACCCAAATAGAAAACGTTTTTCGCAATTTGCTTTCATTTTGGTGCTTTTGTTTGTGAAACGTTTGCGAAAGAACAAAAAATAGATATAAATAAGCGTAAGGCAGCAACGAGCATAAGTCACGCGCTTTCATGGAACCAAAAAACAAAATGTGAACAGAAGAACAGCAGAAATGAGATAGAATGAAAATGAAATTGAAATTGCGAGAGCTGTGGTTCTTGCCATTGTTGTTTTAAATATTTTCCGCCAGCGATTAATGGCTATTTTGGCCAATTCGGACATATGGCAATCATTCAATAATTTATTGTGTGCGCGTGGGTTGCTATTGCCGTGGAGAAAATGCCGACAGTTTGAAATTTCTGCTGGAAGCCCCCATAACTATGCTAACTGTTTTTTATATCCAACTCTCAGCGTATTAGTGCGCTCATGTGTGTGTGTTTGTGTGTGCATGGTCCACATGAACTTGTGCCAGCAGTACATACATATGTATATATGTACTTATGTATATACAGCGTATGTTTGTATTTTATAAATAGGAAAGATAGTTTTTGTTCTCGTGTTCTTTGCTGCCTTCTCTTCGTTTCGTTCTGTTCCTTGCCTCTCCCTTCTTTTTGACTCTTCTCTTCTATGTGTTGCGATTGAGGTCAAACCGTCAGCAGGATAATGAACTTTTTCTACATTTTAAATTTAATTGCCTGACTTTAAAGCGTTTTTCCTTCATACACACACATTGACGCGTGGCTAAATTCCGAATATGTGTTTACGTAGGTTATACATTCTTTGGGACTTCATTTCAGTATGTATTCTTTAAGTACATATGTAGCATTTAAAATAAAATGGAACGAACATACAAAAATCGGGGACTTCCTTATTTCAGAACAATGATGAAAACGGTCGTTATTTTCATAAAGATGGCATATCAACCACTCTTATTTTAGTCATAGTTGTACAATTTCGACACTTACAATTATTATGTCAATACAAATTTTCCAAAAATATGAATACTACAAAATTTCATTCAGCCCAAAACTTGTATAAACAAAAGTATCAAATTAAAGTCCAAAACTGTTGATGGCTGCTTGTATTAATTCTTTTCTCATAGCTTTATAATGCATTATAGTTTTCCTTTCACTATCTGGTGTACAAAGGCAATGATGTTAAAAATGTATTTAAGTTTTGAAAACAGATTGAATGACACACTTGACACAAACGAGCCACTAAAATACTCCAAACTCCTCTTTTTAAGACGAAACTTCGCATTCATTTAGATATTTCGGTGCAAATAGTAAGAAACGCAGTGAAGAGTAGAGATGAAGTAGAGTAGAGTGCTGGCTGCAAAGCGACTTTGGTTTTGAAAATTTGAATAAAGACACTGACCTACACCAAGAGGTTTTCGCCATTTTCGTGCTGAGTAGCTTCGGTTACTTGTTTGCAGCTATGTGATGATCATATAAAACAGGGCGTCACTCCTAATAAATAGCTGAAAAAGTAATTTTCACAAACTTTACCCTTAATTCGTTTTTTAAATCATTATGCTTGCTGTAAATAAGGCAGGCAGCAGCTAAAACTTTTCAACTACAAAACTTTTCCTTTATTTTTATTTGTTTTGGTTGGGAATATTTGGTGTGTTTGGTTTCATTTTATAATTTTCGTGTCAAGCAACTTTAATTTAGAGTGAATGCAAACAAACTCTTGAATAAGTTCTTAGTGCAATAGAAATGTGAGAACAAAGTTTTTACAACACTCAACATTTCCGAATTAAGGCTTGACATCATTCGGCATTGCGCATACGACATGTGGTACGTACGGAGCTTATTGTACGAGGAACTATGTACTTTATATCCCACTCAGTCCAAGCTTGATTTTATTTAAAATGCATGGGAATTTTCCAATTCATTTACTTTTGATAAGCACAACGACTGCCAAAATTAGGTTAATAGAGTGTAAAGCAGCAGCAAGGCACGCAACCTACTTTCTTTAGCAGTAGACCGCTGGGAGCCGAAGCGGATGGGGTGGGACGGAGCGGGGACGGCTGTTGAGTGGATGGGTGGTTGAGTACCCAAGCGGCTCGACTGGTGCGCAAACCATGGCTAATTTGCACTTGAAGAACCTCATTAAAATATCAACAGACAATGAGCATTGTAGTTGTTGCTGCTTGTGCCGTTGCTGTTGTGTTTAATGTTGTTATTGATGTTATCTAAACGTTTATTTTTTAATGATATTAAGCTTTGTGTTGTCAATGTTGAGTGGGCCTGTGATAAACGTTTAACAAGTCAGGCTGCTTCGTGGCGATGCATGTGTTGGTGCAAGTCATCGTTGTGCGAAACAATTATTGGGAATCCTTAGATGTTCTTCTATTTTAGTTCTTATACGCAACAAACTTGATTTTAGAACTTAGCTAAACATTGCAATGGGGATTAGGTTAAATAACATAATGTCAAATATGTATTTGAGGTTTTGTCTTAGGATTTACGCTTTAAACATTTAATATGTTCTAATTTGGAACTAAATCTATGCACTGATATAGTGCATTGCTTTTGATGAAACATTAAGTAAAGAGTTCAGACGAAAACGATTAAAACTAATAAATGAAGAAAATAATACATTACAAATGGGGTAGAAGCTTCCTTTTTTTTTTGCTCAGAGGAACTTCTGCACACGTTCCATGCACAAAAAAGCGCGGCTATTTATGTTTCATAATTAAATTTGATAGGGCGAGTACATATCCCAGGTGTAGACAAGTGCGAAATCGAATGAATGGTAGTTTACAAACTATAACAAGAATCATACTGGCTATTAAAATATCACACATACTTCTAAAAAAACAGCCATAAGGTTGCCCTAAAAAGTAATTAAAGGACAATATGAATTTATTATCCCCAAATTTATATACCAACTCTTCATTTTTTACAGTTTATGTTGCGCTTTTAAAAATAAAATTTTTAATTAAAGGTAAAGTTAATTCCTTGTCCTAAAATGTGAATAAAAGCGTAAATAAAGCGTGTTCATACCTTAACGATTTATCTTTACTTCTTGCCTATATGTAAATGTATATACTTATTATTTATATGTTCCGAGTGAGTGTACTGTAGAGCATATTTTCAGTTCGTATATACAGACGCAGTAGAATACAAGTAGTACTATCTATCCCATTGCTGTGGGAGAGATGCTTCAGAACATGCAAGCACAACGTTAGACGTTCGTCTGCTGCCTTGCAGCCAAAGCGAAGAAGCAGAAGTGAGTTGAGCCGTCATTGTCTTTTGTTGTTGCACAAACAAACCGACACAAGTGAGTGCAACACGGAAATGACAACGTCGAGCTCAAGCTGTCGTTGCCTGCTTCGCTTTGGCCATTCCGTGCATTGCTAGACATTTTTCGCCAAAGTAATAAATGTGGCAAACACACATCTTACACAAACACTCACGTACGTACGTATGCATGTAGTATGTGTATATACGTATGTACGTATCATCAGCCCACTTCAAATGTGAAATGCTTGTGATGTGCTTCACAATAATTAAAAAATGCTGCGGCACCCACACACTCCCAGTATGTGGAGTGCACATGCATACATATATACTATGTACATATATTTCTCAACATCTGGTTAACAGTGCGCGTAGTGGTTGTGACTTAACAGTGGGCTGTTAACATGTGCGCGCCTGCGCTGTTAGCTCCAACGGTGAATTTGCTCTTTGGGGACTTTTACTCTAGAGTGTTTGCTCCCCGATACATGTATGCATGTGTATTATGTTGCCAACCCCTTTGGACATAGAGGCAGTGTTGCCATCACGTTCGCACATTCAAATGTGTTGTGCAGCGCGCATATTTTTGCATTGAATATATCGATGTAACATGTTGGAGCGAAGCGGCCGATAATAAACCGCAACGGCAGCAGCAGCAGTAGCAGCGGACGCAGCAGCAATCATACATGACATTGTTGCTGCTGTGCTTTTGTAGTTGTAATATGCTCTTTCACACACTCAGTCGGACACACACACACACACACACATGCGCGCATGCACAGCATAATTGTGCATAACAGCAACTAGTGGCCATGCGGACGACTTTCTGATTCCCATGGCCACAACCATTTTACAGTTACAACGCGCTGTTAACAGTCTCTTGAGCAATTCGTTAACATAAATAAGTGTAGGAAATACAAATTTATTTCTTTAAAATTGTTGAAAAGTGAGTCCAAAAGTCTGAATTATTAAAGCATGTAAAAATAGTATTAAGGGAAACTTTAAGCTCAACTGGCCACGTACATACTGTGTTTTGCTTTCCCATTTGTCGTGTCGAAGCCAGCACTCGATATTCATTAATCTGTGCATAGTAAATGACAACAACACCAACAAGGATATCGACAGGCAGCTATATTGCTGCTCGTGTTCATGTTGCCTCAATGCACCTTTGATATTTAAAAAAAAAAAATGCAATAATCGAGCTGCGGGCGTTAACCAAATGCCAAAGCCCTGTTGGATGCTGTCATGTACGCCCTCGCCCACGCCCAACAACATCAGCGCCTCCACAGTCAAGCCCCCGCCCCATTCAAGCACCCGGTGTACAGGATAAACGTTGGCTTTGCTTTTAAATGTCATGAAAGCGTTAACAAAAAAAAAAAAAAAAACCAGGCGCCCAGTCGACTTGTCAACTCCCACAAATAAACTGCTTCTGGGTGGTATGTGTGTGTTGCGGTTTCCTTAGTGTGCGTGCGCTCGTTTATTAATAACAATTTTATTTTTTATTTAATTTTTTTTTTTACTTTCACTCTCTTGCTTTCGAACGAAGGCCATCAAGCCGAGCTCTAGGTGCCACGTGGTTTGTGAAATTAAATTTATGGTTGTTTCAGATTATCAAATCAAAGTCTTAATCATAAAATGCATGCAATTGAGTTTTGTCAAGACTAGCAGCCAACAGAAATAGCATTTTGCTGCCCTAGTAGTTTTGTGCAAGTGCTTCTCTTTAAAGAGCGTTTATTTTAGCAAAGATGCCTATAGTATCAACTATACACAGGTTTAGAATAATCTATAGTTGCTTATTACGTATCCTGCATTTTAGTTAAGGGCTAACAATATTTAGGATCTGTTAAGCTTTTGTATTACTTATTGTACAGGTTCCTTTTTACCTTCAGCGATAGAGCTTCTACATTTAGGTAGAATATAGAATAAGCGAATCTATTAAGACAAACAAAATGTACTATATTTTACATATATACATATATTTTACATGTAATCTCTAAGAAAGTTACATTTCAATAGAAAAAAACTTGGCATTGAATCGACCAATTTGATAAATTCAACTGTTATTCTGATTTCATGTTCTGCTCTATCGGTGCAAATGAGATTTGTGGTGGTTCAAGAGAAACTAGATACATATACGTGTATGTATATTATTTCTTAACTCATTGCCAACATTTATAGGGATTTAAATGTGTTTTTATCTTTTTATTGACCATACATACTCTTATTCGGAATTTTGTGTCGTCTAGACATATTGGCGCGTGTCTTTTCATCTTCCCTTTTTGGGTGTTTTGTATTTTGTGCAATAATGCTCGCTGAGGAGGACTGGGACCTATGACTAATGCAATTGAATGTGTGCGTGTAGTATGTTTGCGTGCTTTGAAGTGTTAAATAGTGACAGGATTAAATGCGGACATAAAAATTCAATCAATGTTCAATTTTCAGTTGTGACTGTTTTAAAAATAATTCAAATCGATTTAATTGTAAAAATAAAAAAGTTCAAAGTGAGCAAATTACATATTTCCTACTTAATGTACGAAAAATCTGCAACCTCTCGGATGGAAGTAGTTAGCAATGCACAAAAGCAAATGAAAATGCTAAAAATTGTTCATTTACAAAACTGTGTTCTCACAAAAACAAAAGCAAAAGCTGTGAACTAAAACAAACGCTTTATAAAGAGAAATGGTTGAATAGCTGCGTTGGTGGAGACGGGGCGGCTACAAACGCTTACGGGCCGCGTGGGCTCAGTGGCAATTAACCTAAAGTTCAAAGTTCAAAAAGCCATAGTCAGCGGGCTGGGCCAAAATTTTGGTCACTGCGTGCTGCTGTCAAGAAATAAAGGCAAGAAAAACGTTTGACCCATTTTGTATTTCATATAAATAAATAAATAAAAGGCAAACAAGCTGCGCCAACACCACCAACAACAACATCAACAACAACAACCGCAGCAACTCTTTGGCCGGCTTTTTTAGTTTAGCAAATATATTTAGTGTTGCCTACATTTGAGGGCACATTACACGCCACGCTGCGCGTTCAAGTGCCGCCCACCCCTAGTGCTTGGGCTATAAAATAAAATATATGTGCCACATGGCTGGCATTTGATCTGAGCAAAGACTTAAGCCATAATATAACGCCTTCTTCCACTTGCAGTCGTCAACACAGAGGCACGGTTACGGGCACGGGGAGCAGGACCAACATGCCGTACGAGTCGATGCATCATCATCATCATCAGTCGACGGCGGCCGCTGCTGTGGCCGCCAGTGTAGCTCCCAATAGCATGCTCGACTCGCTCAGTCTGCAGCTGCGCGATGCGGAAATGCGACGCACGGAAATTGAACGTGCGCATCAAGTAAGTGCATTCACATTCACATCCACATCCAGACCCACACACTAGCTGCAGCCAGAAATACATTGGAGTGACCAAAGCTTTTAATATATCTTATGTGTTTTTCTGGAATTTAATAAAATTGATTTATCTCTTGGATTGGCAAGTTAGACAGGTAGTTTTTATTTTTATTTCCCATCACCAGCAGAAGATCAAAACAATTAATTCGTGGAGGCGGCGCCATGATTCATTTGAAAGCAAACATAGCATACTTTTAGGGCTTACTTTACCTTCGCTAGGGACATCATTGGAAAGCCAGAAAACACATTCACCAAATATAACTAAAAGTGTGTAAGCCAAAATAACAAGTAAAATTAATTTGCGTATACCAAATGCTTAAGCGGGTACTTCCGAATAATTGTGGTTAACTTTGCCTGAACAGGAAAGGAACATAAATCTATAAACACGAAACGAAAAAGCAGACATCACCTACTCATAAAACGATTTGTTTAAAATCACCATGCTTTCCACTATAATTATTTCTGATCCCAAACGAACGTACTTACTCGTATTAAAATGCAGAATTGGTCACCTCGACCTGCATATATGTATGTAGGTTACACAGCCGCAACTATTTCCCCCCAACTAACCACGAACTCATGAAATATGCATTTGTTGCAGGAAACTTTGGCACAAATATGCAATCTAAGCAGCAGCGCACGGCCCGATGAGGAAGCGGTGGAGAATTTACAATCCCGCGCACGTGAGCTCAAGAAGAAGGTAGCACTGGAGAATGTGCACTGCGAGGAGTTGCAAATCGAACTAACTGCCGCACTAAAGGCTAAAGCAGCGCGCTCAGCGGCCAACGCCGGCTCCGTCCCAAGCGGCATGGCGGGCCTGGCAACCAGCAGTGCCACCTCCGCATCCGCCTGCGCCAACATACCGACCTCGGCCAGCAGTTCCACCGTCACATGGGCACCGACAATCAGTCACCAGGACCAAGGCTCGGAGATTGACATCATAATGGCAAAAATTGAACAGGTGCGTGGGTGTGTATTGAGTGTCGCATGTGTGTTGGCTCCAAATTTTAATCAACATATAGTAACAAACTGAAGTGAATGAATGAAAAGGTTAAAGAACCGATATTAGTCTTTGTTGGGTTAAGTTTGTTTTGGTTGCGGCACCTTTTCCCCCTGCTCGCCCAGCTGGAGCGCCTCATCGATGAAGCGATTCACATCAATTTCGTTGACTATCGAGCTGCAGGAGGAAGAAGAAGTGTCGATGCCGGCAAACGACAGGCAAGTCATGAAGCTATCGAAGCTGCACTGACTAGCCGCATCGGAAAAGTCGCTTAGATCCATCAGGTCCATCTGTGTGCTGCACTCGCTGCGATGGGGAGCGTTCTGCTTGAAAGCGTCCTCATCACCATTGCAGCTGATCTGGAGCTTGCGCCGCATTTCCTCATTCTCGCTGGCCAGCTGGCGTATCGTACGCTGGATGTCTGTGCTTTCACGCTCGTCCAGATCGGCGGACATCTTCATGACCTTGGCCATGTGCTCAATGCGCTCGTCCTGGCAGCGCACAATGGATTCCAGCTGATTAATGTACTTCTCGCGTAGACTGTACGTCTCGTTGAGCACGTCACTGTTACAATGCTCCTTGTACTTGGACATGATCTTCTCGATACCGGCCTGATACTCGTCCACGGTGCTCTTGAGTTCGGCGTTCTCGCGCAACAGCTGCAATTGATCCTGGTCGGTTATGTGCTCCACCAGATGCTTGAGCAGCTGATCGTCTCGGAACTTGCAACAGTTGATCATCACCTGGTCGACGTGATGGCTCTCCGCGAGCAGATCGTTTGTCTGCTTCAGCAGTTCGCCAAAAACGCCGGACAAACTCTCAGCGCGCTTGATCAGGCACATTACCGAATTGTTCGAACTGTCCATTTCGAATGGTTTGGGACTTGGTTTGGTCTACGGAGAATTTCGGATTTATTTGCGCTCTAGAACAAAATTTTTATGCTACGTTCAGAATTTCTTGACGAAGACAGATTGACAGTTCCTGGCAAGGCCTTCCACAACTAAATCCATTTAAATGTTTCAGGCAATGGAACGAAAATGAAGATTTTGTTTATATTATTGGGCCAGATGGTGCCTTCGATTTCAGTTTGTTTTCTGGAACTTGGTTTTTTTAAATCTTCATTTGCTTTCAGGATAACCGTGTGCTGGCTGAGCTGGAGCAGCCGCGGACATCAGCCGCCGGAATGTCAGCGTTGCCACCCAGTTCCATGTTGAGCAGCGGAAATAGCGAATTTAGAACCATATCAAAGAGCGGTGAGTCGAGTCGAGTTGAGCTGAGTTGAGTTGCGACCCTAATGGGCATTTATCTAATGGCTATTCTCTATTCTTTCATGTTTTTAGAGCTCGAGGAAGAACTGAATCGTTATAAAAGAGCAGTACTGGGCGGCGCTAGCGGCACCCCGGGGCTCTCCTCCGGCTACTCGAGTCTGCCGCAATCGCTCGCCTCCACGCTACCGAATGGCGCCAGCACCAGCCTGAGCGGCACTAGCGTTGGCTCACAGAGCGGCGCCGCCGCCACTGTCGGTGCTGGTGGCCTTACATCCATATCGGCCCTGGTGCCCAACTCAATCAGCGGCATATCCTCGAGTCTGAGCAGTCACGCCATACAATCACTGAACACCGCCGCAGCCGCTTCGGCATACGGTGCCGCGCAGACTTCCGTTGAGAAGCTGCTGAGCGGAACTAGTGGAATCACTGGCATTCCACCATTGCCGGTAAATATTCACACGATGAAGGCTATGCCATCAGCATTAAGTCAGGTAAACCAACTATTTTCAATAACTGTGAACTAACAACAGCAATCGATTAAATACTCGCATAAAATACCAATGCAAATAATTGCGCCAGGCTTTGAGGCTTGCATTTTATATTTGGCTTGGTAACACTTGGCTTGTTCACTGCGATTGGCCTCCTCGCCACCAAATGCGTAGTGCTCATCTGCTTTAGCATTGGCATCTTTGTCCCATCGTTGCAAATTTTCGGGCCGACGCCACTCAGTGTATATCACATTGCGCTTGTTGTAGTCTCATTATTGAAAATAATTATGTAAGCCCACAGATTTGCACTTAGAAACCACCACACTACGACCCCCATTACCACATATTTCATATACAAGTATATGTATGTAACTAATTTGTTTACATACTGCAATAACAAAAAAGAGAACAATCAAACAATTTACAACTTCAATGACACTTGGTTTTGTTCGCACACTCTACATTTAAATACACACACAACTTAAGCCCGTTTTTCAACCTCCACTTAAACTGCATGTGCTATTTCATTCATGTATGCCCATTGACTAGTTAGTCGCGACAACGTTTCCTACAATTTGCATATTTCATGTTCTACCATTGTTGCTCTTTACGTTTACAATTAAATGAAATAAAGTGCATTTTTAGTTAATTTGGCAAATCGGCCGATCATGATGAAACTTGACAAACGGACACATGACCACTAACTGAACGTGTTTGTCTAATTTGAACACAATATTCTAATAAAAAAAAATAAAAAAATGTATCATAAATACATTTACTTAATTTCCAAAAATTTTTCACTGACTAATTAATTTAAAAAAAAGTTTAAGTTGGAACGGCCTTCACTTAGGTATTTGGTATGAGAATTGCGGAGGAGGTCTGAAATTTTTTCACAAATATATTTATTTAAGTTCCACAATTTTTTCACCGACCAGTTAATTTAAAAAAAAATAGAAAATCTAGAAATGCCTTCACTTAGGTACTTGGTAGGAGAATCGCAGAGATCAGCAATTTTTTAACAAACATATTTATTTAATTTAAACAATTTTGCACTGACTTATCAATTAAAAAAAAAAAAATTAAAAAGTAAAAATGCCATCACTTAGGTACTTGGTATGAGAATCGCAGAGAGCAGAAATTTTTTAAAAATGCATTTATTTAATTTCCATAATTATTTTAATTTACTCTAATAAATTTAAAAATTATGATTGAAAAGCTAGAAAAGCCTTCACTTAGATACGTGGTATGAGAATCGCGGAGGAGGGCGGCAATTTCTTCACTAATACATTTATTTAATTTCCACAATTATTTCACTGACTCCAATTAATTAAAAAACAAATAAGACCGATCACAAAAAGCTGAGAGTCACTTCTTATGTACAACTGTGGTGTCATATTTTCGATAAATGGAAAAAAGGGTTCCAAGTTTATGTTTTCGGGTTGTTGTAAAAATGAAAATATATCACAAGTACTTGTAGAATAGGATTGGATTGGATAAGAGTCTTATGTGTTCGGTGTCTAGATTTAGCTTTGTAAATACGATCAATGAGGAATTTATAAAATTTAGCGCATCATCTCGTCATCAAATACATGTATAGTAGTTGTTTAGAAGGGATCGCATGCTCGACTCAGTGTTTCGATTTCCAAAGGCATGGTTTAAGTATGCGTTCAATATACTATAACATACACATACACAAACATTTAAACAAACATACATACACACACACACATATAAGTCATATTCGAAACCACACGCCACGCCATATATTCAAGAGCTAGATAGCTACATATTCGTGTATACATACATACAAGTATGTCCGTTGCTTGGTCTTTATTATCCATCCAAGTTTTGAACGATTCTTGCTATACTTGTTGTTATCCAATTGTTGCTGCTTGACATTCTTAATAACTTACGTTTGTGTTCGATATACATACATACTTCTACATACTTACTCGTACTATATAATGCAATACTATATTAGCCTCAACTCTCATTGGAAACTCATATCGAATTCAAAGTAACTGACGTCGTCGCCTTCGCCTCCATTTACAACAACTTCAACTGTTTGATAATTTATGAATTATGATGTTCTAGCTTTTTGCGCCTCAACCCACTACTATATAGTACATACCCGTATAACATACTGCTACTACATCAAATATCGATATATACTATGTATACTATATATTTATAAAAAACGAGTGAACTCTGTGATTTCTCTTTCCGTTTTATGTGCTGTATTTCTTGTCTTTTTGTACAATATGTAAACTCTTCAACTCGTTCTCTTCTTCTTCTTCTTCCACCATCACCACCACCACCACCACAACAACAACAACCACAATAACAACAACATACATATAAAATCGACAATCTCTGATAAACTTGTAACTTGTGTGTGTTGTGTGGTTCGAAAAACGATCGACTTTTGAATTCGATGCGATCCAACCAATATCCATGTGTCTTCCTCTTTCTCTCTCAATCTCTCTCTCTCTCTCTTTCTCTGAATATGTATGTGTATCTGTGTGTCTATACAACAACAACTACTATATGTATATTTTGCCAAATTAACACTCGTCCAAAAACAATAACAACAACAACTACTACTAAAACAACAAAAACAACCAACCAATTACAACAACTCGCTTTGTAAATTCGAACAAAATCCAAAATTCCAAATTGCATTGCACTTGAAATTGAAATTGAAACTGAATTGAAACGAAAAAAAGCGCGGAACAATACAACTGTACAATTTGCAGAGCACAACCATGCCCCTCCTGTCACTGAACTCGCATAACATGCCGACCGGCTCGAGTAGTTACTCGGCTCTGGGTTTGAGCGGAGGCGGAGCCGTCGGCGCGCTGGGCACATCGCTGACACATCCCACCATGGGCAACATGCTCGATACGAGCACGCTTCTGGGCACAGCCGGTCTGGGTGGCCTGGGGGCTGCCGGTGGCGTCACAGCAGCCACCTCTCTTTATGGTCTGAGTGCGGGTGGTGCCGGTCTTCCCAGCTCGTATCCGCCACCCTTTCTCGACGTCGCCTCCAGCGCCTCGTATCCCTTCACGTCGGCCGCTCTCCGCAACGCGTCCAAAATGAAGATGCTGGATGAGATTGACATACCACTAACGCGTTATGGCAATCGCAGCTCACCCTGCTCGCCTATACCGCCGAGCGCCTGGGGCCTAGACGAGTTCACCGACGGACTGAGCGCCTCAATGATGCACAACCGCAGCGGACTGGCCCTGGGCGCTTTAGATTTGGACAGTAAGTGACATCAAATAGTAGCCTGTAATCCCTGTGAGCCCAGTGACTGAAATATTCCTCATTCTAGCACGCAATCACAATCTGAATGGTGCTAGTGAGCCCCAGGTGGACATGCTAGACATACCCGGAAAGGGTCGTTGTTGCGTGTTCATCGCGCGATTCCCCTACGATCCCCCTGAGTAAGTAAACATATATTCAACTTTATTTAGCTATAGTTCATAGAATAAAGATGTTGACTGACATGCCACTACCTTTTAAGATAGTAGATTAATTATATTAGATAGTCGTACTGCTCTAGGCTTCAGATTCCTTCACGCTATGAAAACATTTGAATTTGTTAACAAAATAATAAGTACCCATTAAATGATATGATCTCCCATTGTTTCGCTCCTCTGAGCTGTCCTTATTTCTACGAGAAAGGTATTTATTTATTTACATATGTCAACAAACATTGACTATATAAAAATTATAAAAAGCATCTTATAAGCTAGAAAAGCTAAGAAGGAGAAATTTAATCAAATTACAATAATATCTAAAAAACGTCTCCGACCTGGTGGGGGAATATTATTTCCCCTTCGGTTAGCTGTGCCCCGTCTCACAGCCAAGTGTGGTCAGAGGCGTTAATAGATCGACCGGTATAAAAAAAGAAAAGCTTAACTAGCTAATTTTAAAAAGAAAAAAGTGAGAAACAAAAATTGGAATCTCAGACCCGGTGGGGGATAATTTTTTAACCAGTCCAACAAGCTATGCCCCGCCTCACAGCCGATCCTGGTCAGAGATTCCGAAGATGGCTTTTATTAAAGGAAGAAAATACTCATTATAAGAAGAGCATAAAAAAGGAAAAGGGGAAGATAATTTCTTCTTGTTCTGGAAGGAACTGAGAAATTAAGACGACCTAATAGGAAAGGAGAATCAACACTAACGGCAATCAGTTGATGGCATTTGCTGTGCGCCTTTTTCCTCCCCCTCCGGCATGTGCTGACGTAGTCCCGAAGGTGATTCTATGTTAGTCTATTCTATTATATTCTACAACTATTTTAGTTCTAGTCTAGTCTAGTTCTATTCCAGTCGTGAATCGATTCCGATATTGTGTTATTTATACTTACAGAGAGGCTGAGGGCGAGCTATCGCTTTGTGCTGGGGATTATCTGCTGGTGTGGACTAGTGGTGAACCACAGGGCGGTTACCTGGATGCAGAGCTATTGGATGGACGTCGTGGTCTGGTACCCGCATCCTTTGTGCAGCGTTTAGTGGGTAAGTCGAAACAAAAGCCAACACACATATTTGGAAAAGTTGTTAATGTGATTGTTTTTGATAAAATTAAGGTGATGATCTGCTGGAGTTCCACCAGGCTGTTTTGTCGACGCTACGCGATGCCGAGGACGGCTCCATGCAATGCGATACTACGTCGTTGCCCTCTTTGCCGCCGCACAACCCATTGCTCACACACACACATGAGGATCTGGCACGTTTAAGTGAGACGCACACTGACTTGGAGCACGACCAGGATGACATCAGTGATAATGGTGAGTAGGATGTGTGTGCAGCACAGAATGGATTAATCCTGGACTTTTTGTTGCCTTTCTCAATGATTGCATGGCATTTGATTTTTGGGCCAATGTGAGCATCAAACCTAATGAAAAAATTTTCGTAGCGCTTCACATATGCTCGTGCACATAGCTAGACATTGTCTTAGGCTAGATAATATACTATACTTATATTGTGGAGGAGCCCATTAACATTTTTGGTCGTACAGTTCCAGCTCCAAAGCACTTGACGCTGGAGCGGCAGCTGAACAAGAGCGTGCTCATTGGCTGGTCTCCTCCGGAACCAGTTGGCTACAATCTAATCGACAGCTATCACGTCTATGTGGATGGCGTGCTCAAGGTCACTGTGAAGGCCAACGAACGCACACGCGCGCTCATCGAAGGCGTCGATTCCACGCGGGTAAGGCATAAGATCTATCGAGATCTCCTGATTTATGTGTACCCCTTATTTGATATTAACATTTCAACGAAAATGAGTTCTTTACTTGTATTAATTCAGTTAGCCATGTCTCTGCATATGAATCGAATCTGAGCTTACAACACAGTTTTCTTTTGTTCTTCCAGCCGCATCGCATAAGTGTGCGCAGCGTGACCCAAAATCGCCAGACATCGCGTGACGCCGCCTGCACCATGATCATTGGTCGTGACACATCACATTTGGGCCCGTCGGCGGTGCGCGCCTCACACATAACGTGTTCATCGGCGGTCATCTCTTGGCTGCCGGCCAATTCCAATCACCAGCACGTGGTGTGTGTGAACAATGTGGAGGTGCGCACCGTCAAGCCGGGCATGTATAGGCACACCATCACCGGGCTGGCGCCGAGCACACAATATCGTGTGACTGTGCGTGCCAAGCATCTGCGCGCCGTCGGTCAGCATCCACCTACGACACCTGGTCGGCCCGGCCAGGAGGAGGCACCAGGCGCCTATGCCGATTTCCGCACGCTGACCAAGGGTCTGCCCGATCCGCCACAGGTGCGACATCCGACATACGATTGAAAAACAATTGCAACTTGCAAAACTAAAAAACGTTGTTTCTTCATTCATAGGACATCCAACTTGAGGCTGGACCTCAAGATGGTACCATTCTGGTGACATGGCAGCCGGTTAACAGGCCTACGGCAACGGGGCCTGTAACCGGCTACGCTGTGTACGCCGATGGTAAGAAAGTGACGGATTTCAACTCGCCAACGGGCGATCATGCACTGATCGACATTGGCAAACTGGGCGTCTTCAATCCGCGAGCGGTCACCATTCGCACCAAATCAAGAGATTCACAGTCGGCCGACAGTGCGCCCATCTTAATACCAAGTAGGTGTCATCGTGATTCCCCTATTAAAATGTACAACTAATCTCAACTATGTCTCAAAAATGCAGACACTGTGCGCAATGCTGTCGCCCGCAGGGGACCAAATCAAATGGCCATGGGTCCGCAGCTTCCACAAGGACCGCATGGCATGCCAGTGCAGCAACAAATGCAAGGTATGCAGGGGCAGCCGGGAATGCCTGGACAGCCGCAGCAGCCGCACATGATGGGCCAGGATCACACACAATACGATCCCAATCAGATGCAACAGCAGCAGGGAATGCAGCCTGGCCAACAGCCCGGTCAACCGGGTCATCAGGTGAGTGCTTCCAACGCCAAAACCGAACATGTAGAGCAGTTGGATGCCAGACTACTCATAACCCACACTAACACCACTCCCAGGGTCAGTTCACACAGCCAAATAGGTTGGCAGAATAGCGCCCTTTCGTTGCCAATTCTAATATATCGTTTTCGATTTTAAGCTTAATTAGCAAACGCACATGAAGTGCAATTACAATTGAAAACATTTTTAAAGCCAACTCAACATGGGAAAATAAAAATCGCGAAATAAAAATAAATCAAATTTCTAGTTATACATCAAAAAATTAAACTTGGTAGTCAAGATGAGTTAAATAGCTACGATTACAATTAAATTCCTAAGCTGTATACAATTTCGATATTTAATTGAAGATAGGATTGAACTTAATTTTCTTCTCCCTTTGACTTTATGTCAATCGCGAAATAAAATTAAATCAAATTTCTAGTTATACATCAATAAATTAAACTTGGTAGTCAAGATGACTTAAATAGCTACGATTTCAATTAAATTCCTAAGCTGTATACAATTTCGATATTTAATTGAAGATAGGATTGGACTTAATTTTCTTCTCCCTTTGACTTTATGTCAATCGCGAAATAAAATTAAATCAAATTTCTAGTTATACATCAATAAATTAAACTTGGTAGTCAAGATGACTTAAATAGCTACGATTTCAATTAAATTCCTAAGCTGTATACAATTTCGATATTTAATTGAAGATAGGATTGAACTTAATTTTCTTCTCCCTTTGACTTTATGTCAATCGCGAAATAAAATTAAATCAAATTTCTAGTTATACATCAATAAATTAAACTTGGTAGTCAAGATGACTTAAATAGCTACGATTTCAATTAAATTCCTAAGCTGTATACAATTTCGATATTTAATTGAAGATAGGATTGGACTTAATTTTCTTCTCCCTTTGACTTTATGTCAATCGCGAAATAAAATTAAATCAAATTTCTAGTTATACATCAATAAATTAAACTTGGTAGTCAAGATGACTTAAATAGCTACGATTTCAATTAAATTCCTAAGCTGTATACAATTTCGATATTTAATTGAAGATAGGATTGAACTTAATTTTCTTCTCCCTTTGACTTTATGTCAATCGCGAAATAAAATTAAATCAAATTTCTAGTTATACATCAATAAATTAAACTTGGTAGTCAAGATGACTTAAATAGCTACGATTTCAATTAAATTCCTAAGCTGTATACAATTTCGATATTTAATTGAAGATAGGATTGGACTTAATTTTCTTCTCCCTTTGACTTTATGTCAATCGCGAAATAAAATTAAATCAAATTTCTAGTTATACATCAATAAATTAAACTTGGTAGTCAAGATGAGTTAAATAACTACGATTTCAATTAAATTCCTAAACTGTATACAATTTCGATATTTAATTGAAGGTAGGATTGGACTTAATTTTCTTCTCGCTTTGGCTTTTTGTCAAAACAAATAGAAATAGACTTGAAGCGAATTCAATAAAATCACCTTTAACTCGATAAAACGTCTTCACTAGCTTGGGTCTCTATTGTCAGAATATCTCATCCAGCATCAAGAAGAAGAAAAACATATTAAAATTTATATCGCTGTGTGAACTTACCTCCTTTTACATACATACACTGTAAATAATGCGTAAACATTATTTATTTTCATGATTGGTTTTCAAAGTTCTCTATTGGGTTTGAACTCGAATTGAATTCAAACTACTACCAACACAACTGCTTAAATTGTACATAAAGTTTTGTTGAATACAAACATACATAATCGCGTCTGAATGCAATACCATTAGTTACAAAAGAAAACCCCGCTCCCATCAATTGCTTGTACTATACCCCGCACAAACCCAAAATCAGACATGAATTATGAACAAAAAAGCATACTTATTGCATACTTTAAAGTACGATATACATACTATACTTACATACTATACATAAGTACTTATTTATGTTCAGGAATTTCCGTTTCATTTGTTTGCAATCTCCAATCTAAGCTGTCAATATTTTGATTTGTCTCTCCACTTTGCCATTACAATACATTCAAAACTCTTTCTCTCGTTTGAGCTCTTCCAACTATATATTACGACTATGTACTTGTACCTTCGGTTTTGATTTCTTTTGCAACCTGAACACATTATATACATACACAAGATGAAAATTTAGACAACCGCACGAAATTCACACACAAAATTCAATCAAAATGAAATTCACATGTACTGCGAGAAATACAATCTCCAATCTCCAATTTTATTATAAGAACCAAATGCAATTTGAAATGAGACCTGCCCCGAGTAACTTGTATGTATGTAAAGTTTTTTTTTCTCCTCATTTCCGTTCGGCAGCAAACTTTCGGCGTATGCATTTTTTTCACTAGTCCTAATTATTACTTATTGATTATTAGTTCTTGGATTGTGTTTTCACTGTTTTTAAAAAAATCATATTATTTTTGAAAATGCAGTTCACACAATAGCATGTCTTGAATTGCAGCGACTAATTAAAAAGCTGCAATAGCAATGCAAATGCAAATGATTTTGAACTTTGTTGAGTTTTTGAGAATTACTACAAATACTATACTATAGAGTTTTACTAGAAAGTTAAGCGGAAATGCCAGTTGTACTCGTACTATTAAGTAAGGAGAACGCAATGCAACGAAACAATTTTAAACAAAACAAGTTACATATTCATTTTCATTATATGAAACCAAAACTGAAACGATACCGTTAACCCGATAAACCGATACTGAAACGAAACAGCCCGACGCCAGCTCCGGCTTATTAGGTGGCCTGCTCGGGGGCCTCTTCTCGAAACCCACACAGAGTCAAGTGAACCAGAATGTAAGTTATACCCACAACATCTCTCTCACACACACACACATACCACACACCACACACACACACATATATATATTAATATATATACAAGCTCCGTATTAATACACTTTGCGTAAAAATATACACAAATATTTCGAGTGTTCCATGCGTTATTTGTTAAGTAAATAAGTATGTAAATGTATATTTAATGCAATTAGTATTAAAACAATTATTCATAAAGTTAGCTTAGAGCTTACTTGAAAAGTAGACTATATGCTTCTAGTATTCAAATATGCTTGGTACAACGAATCAATTGATGTGGACTCATTTTTGGAGAGAGCTCTCCAAGCAAAAGTGACAAAATATAGCTTTTATTTGATTTCTTTTTCTATATTCCTTTGGTTTTTCAATAATGTCTTTAGGGCAGTAAGAATATTGATTTTTCATCAAAGAACCAAACAAATTACTAACGAAATTGAAGTGCTTACAAAAATATATATACTATATAATCATTCATATACGCATGTTTACATTTTAAATACTATTTAATCGCAATTAACAAATTAGTATAGGAATTAACTATTCTTATTTGGATTGTTTAAAAGAAGCTACTTGAAATGTATAAATTTGTATTTTTATAATGAATCAACAATGTATTTGGAACTATCAGGAAATATGCATATATATGTACATACAAGTATATTAACTGGCTGACTAGACCATAAATGTGTGTATCAAGAATAGCATAGAATCCTTGACGTCTGTTGAATGAAGTACTCATCGTAGCTGTTCCTATACTATACCTAGTTCCCATATCAACTAGTCGGCGTAATCTGCAAGGCTGTACAAATATTCTAACCTTGACCTCATCTGTATACTCGTAAATGCTATGGATCTCTAGCCGGTGCCACTAAATCTTATGTGAAACTCATTCGCAGTAATATTTGCAAAATAGCAACATGTTTATACACACATACATATATACTCACACATACATACATACAATTAAAAAAATGAACACACATACAGCAGTATTACAATACTACATTGTCAAAAGATACTAAAATTCGTGCTTTATTATTTTCAAATACTCGAAAACTAAGCTTCGTATTTGGCTTTGAACTATCAGCTATAGTCTCTTGATTTCCCAGTTGTTTGTAATTATAGCTCATTATGCGCTTTATCCACCTACACACGCATAGCCATACACAGCTACTTCTTTAGTTGTTGACAAAAACAAAGAACCAAAAATCTAAAAAGAAGAAGAATGAAAAACAGAGTACGAATTAAGAAAAACCATTGAGTCGAACCAAAAGAAAAACGCTAACAAAATTTTCAAATTCATTTAAATTAAATTCATGCTCGTTTGAACATCGACTGCGTACCCGCTATGTCCTGCGCTCCTGTCCTTCAGGGCTATCAGCCAGGAGCAACGCAACGCGGCATGGTGCCCGGACGACCGCAGGGGCCGCAGCAGCAACAACAACAACCGTATGGAGCACAGGGCGCGATGGGCGGGCCACGTTTTCGCGGACCCGTGCCTGGCCAGATGCAAGGTCAGATGCAGGGTCAGCAAATGCCCGGCCAAATGCAGGGGCAGCTGCAGGGCCAGCAAATGGCGGGCCAAATGCAGGGTCAGATGCAGGGGCAGATGTCTGGGCAAATGCCTGGCCAGATGTCGAACCAAATGATGGGGCCTGGTGCCATGGGTCCACGAGGTCCGCTCAACCAACAGCAGCAGCAGCAGCAGCAGCAACAACAGCAGCAACAACAACAACAAATGCAACAACAGGGTCAACTGCTGCCGGGTCAGCAGACGGCGCAGCAGCACCAGCAAATGGCCGGCGCACAAAAGAAACCGCGCTACTTTGTGGCCATGTTCGACTACGATCCAACCACAATGAGTCCTAATCCAGATGGGTGCGACGAAGAACTGCCATTTCAAGAGGGTGATACTATTAAGGTAAGATCGCAGCACTTTTAAACAAAACACAGAAACGCCAGACACTTTCCAGCCAAACACGAGAACAAGTACAAGAACCAGAACCTGATCAAGAACCTCAACCAGATCCAACACCAGACCAGCACCAGCAGCAGTGCAGTCGATGCGAGGCGGGCGGCAAGTCCGATTTCCGGTTCATTGCCAAATGGGTAAAGCTCATCAGCATTAAGCAGCGCCTCAAAATTGGATGAATTGGACGCAATTCGCAGTTGTGCCGAATTGGCTGCGCTTGCCGCTAATTGAATGAATGAATATCAGTGCATGTTTTTCCTTCGCCAACCACCCCCAAATCCCCATTTAATTGAGATCAATATAAGTTTAATCCCAATAACAATAATACCAGTACAGTATTTATCTACAATACATACAAGTATATCTACCCACTAAGTAGACGTTGTTCTCTCTTCAAACTCTTAATAGTTCCTTAAATAAACGTTAAGTTAGCGTTATGCACTCTCTTTCTACATAATACTCGAAAACTACACAATAATGTCTTAACATCTTTATGCCATGATCTGTGCCCGATTTATAATTTTCGCAACTCGTGTGCTGCAGGTTTTCGGTGATAAGGACGCGGATGGCTTCTACTGGGGCGAGCTGCGTGGCCGTCGTGGTTATGTGCCGCACAACATGGTGACCGAAGTGGAGGACAGCACCAGCCAAATGGGTGGACAAATGCCTGGCACTATGCAGGGGGCGGGCGGCACCGCACAAGTAATGCCCGGTCAGGGCGGCACTCAGCAGAGCATGCGAAATGTCAGCCGGGATCGTTGGGGCGACATCTATGCGAACATGCCGGTGAAGCGGATGATAGCGCTCTACGACTACGATCCTCAAGAATTAAGTCCGAATGTGGATGCCGAGGTAGGTATACTCGCAAGCGCCGAATTTTTTGTTCTTATCACAAAACATTACGGTTCAGAAAGTAGACATCCATCTAATGAAAATTGTTCTAGGCTTGAATTCCCCTGCTAGTGCATAGGATTCTTCCACAAGTAAATAAAGCTATTATTGCTGCAAATTAGGATTAGGAAATTATTGAAAACGAATCAGAAATAAGCAAAACAATACATGTTTTAATGAGGGAATGTTAAACGAATTGAAGTTTGAGTTCAATAACTATTGACGAATAGAGAACTTTTTGGAGTGGATTGAGGTAAATGTGGAAATGAAAACCATTTTATTGGATTGCCTAATTTTTTCGAATTGAGCTTGAAAAGAAAAACGAACGTTATTCTTCAAAAAAGGAGGAGGATATCAATTCGTTTGTTTTTTTTTTTTTTTTTGTGCGAAATGGATTACGAAAGCTGCAAATCAATTCAAAAGTTGGAATAATACTCAACTGGAATTTGGAATAGCATACATTTATGGTCGCGTTGTATAAACATCAATTAAAGAAGAAAATACAAGCAAATCAAAATGGTTGGATTTGAGATGAAACTGACTTGTGAAAAGCTAACAACCTGTAAGAGCCGGAAATTCATTTCTAAATTTGTAGCTTAAGTGAAATAGGCAGTATATAGGGAACAGAAGAAAGCAGTGCAATAAGTTTTTGTTTTTGTTTTTAAGACATGGCTCAATTGTTGTCAGAACTAGGTATGCGCTTGGCATACTCTGCCGGCCAGAGTGTGATGAAATTTAATAATGGGCACCCCAAAGTACAAACAGTGAAAGGCGCGGTTTCCAAACTATCTGTACTTTAATTAATGCCCATGGCCTTTCATTCCACGTCCACTCCCGAACGCCTCCAGACTCCGACTTACCTAAAACTAAACTCAATCCACGTTTCTTACTTACACTACTACAGAATTCAATACATACATACAAATCAAGTTATATACTAAACTTATAGACTAGGCTTACAACTACACTACATCCACGCCTTATGCGCCTACAGCCATCGCGCTCGTAACGACGCCCTGCGTGTCGCAGCATCCAGCTAGTGCGTCGTTACAGCAGGAATTAAGCTGCTTGTTATCCTATTGTGTATAATATTTTTGTGTGGCCATATGATGATTTTTTGTTTACCCCTAAAGCGCAGAGCCAGCGCTGCTGGCAGCGGTCTAATGGGCAGTCTGCTGGGCGGTCTGTTGCCGGGCTTCTCACAAAGCGTCGTAGCTCCAATGCCCAGCAAAGTGAGTGAGCATTTTCTAAGCCTTGTTGCCGCACTCCATAGACTTGAAGCGTAAATTGTGTTGCTAGAGCTTTGTGTTCCCCTTGTGTCCGCCCCCCCCTTTGATGACAAATTGTGTGTAGCTGAATGTGTTTTTTGGTTGTTTTTTTTTCTGACATTTTAGCAGGTGGAACTGTGCTTCAAAACGGGCGAAATCATACTCGTTTATGGTGATATGGATGAAGATGGTTTCTACATGGGCGAACTGGACGGCGTGCGCGGTCTGGTGCCGTCGAACTTCCTGGCTGATGCGCCCGATCAGTATAACAACCAAATGGGGCCTGGCGGCGCTGGGCGCGGTGGCCTAAGTCAGCGGGGCAGGGGTCAGGGACCCGGCGCGAGAGGACCACCGCCGCCGCCGCGAGATAACATGATGCCCGGTGTGGCCGGGCAACGCGGTCCACAAGGCAAAAGTAAGTGACCTTTGTGAAGATCGATTTTTCGAATTGTTTTTGGTTTTGTTTTTTTCTTTCTTTCTTTTTGGTTCTCTTTTATTGAGCATTTTTAATTTTATGTTTTATTTGTTTGTTCTGTTGAATAAGATTTACAAATTTTGTAAACAACATATGATACATGTCTCCTTGTTTTAAATGAAATTGAAGGACTTTTTCGTTTTTATTTTGTATACAAAATAATTGCTTTTGAAAATACTTTGTAAAAAATAAATATGCAGGATTTTAAGTAAAAATTTTCAGACTATATAAACAATTTCCACATGAAAAAAAAAATAATAATAATAACCAACACAGGAAAACAAATGGCAACAATCTTTATATGTGTACCCAACTACACATTACGCTTTTGTTTTACGATAACACAATTCCTATACGATCTAAACAAATCACGAATGAGCGAAAGTTTAACACCAGCAACAAGAATATGAATAAACCAAACCAACCAATATATCGTGACGACACAGAAAATCTTTCACTCTTTCTCTCCTTCTCTCTAATACTCTCTTTCGCAAAATTTCAAATAAAACAAACAGTTACAAAAGAATACAATTGTTTTGAACGCCGCTAATTTACTAATTTACTAATTTACTTTTTTTTTTTTTTTTTTTTTTTTTGGGTTTAAGTTACCACGATGCCCTTGGGTATTGTGGAATTATTTGGCCGCCCACTTATTGGTGAAGTGGAAATTTACTAATTTACTTATTGAAAATAATTTATTACGATAAACCAATTAAGACAATTCTTTCATTTCTCTAATTTGTAATTTTGATTGAAAAGCGATTCTCGCTTATGTACAAATTCCATCATTTTATGCACCGATCAAGTTTTTGTTTCGACCTTTCGTATGTTTTGATTTAATCTCAAATCCAGTTATGTATGTATTTTTATATAAATACGATATATACATAGATAGTTGTTGTTCTTGTTGTTGTAATCACACCTTTCTTTATCAATTTATCAATCAATCAATCATCAACCGATCAATAGTCATTCAGGCATCAGACTTGAGGGCAAAAGAACCAACAGACCAGAACTAAAGCCGACAAAAAATGAACTCAACTGCGCTCTTTGAATTCTAAAAAGCTACATACATATGAATAGTATATTTCCAACATCCAGGAAATTCTAATATCGACCAAAAGGGGTTCTCCGAAAATATGAACTTGTGCATATATTTTCAAAATTCGTTTAGCAGTTCAAATCATGATTCTCATTCATCCATTCACACATTTCGCATTTGCAAACTTACTTCAAAATAAAATAATGCCATTCTTTATTGTTGAATCAAGTCTGTTTTCAAATAATTGTGTTATTTCTGGTCTTTCGTCTCTCTAATTGTCTTGCGTGATTTTTTCTGCAAATTCTTAGCTGGCCTCTTGCATGCAAAATAAACAATGTAAAGATAAATTATTTGATTCTTTTCAGTTGAATTTCCAGTGCCATTAATTTTATGTTTTCAAATTGTTTTGCATAAAATGAAAATAGTTTTTTGCACCGGAATGAAGTTGAATTGTTTAGTTGCCCACCAACAGTATTAAATAGTACTTAAATAACGACCAAGAGTCATATTTTTGGCGAATGTTTTTGAGTTACAGGTAATATGCTTCGTAATTACTTACGAAGGATTATGTTGCATTATCCTTTGATGTTGTACATACTAGTATGTGCCCCAATAAAGGTAGGAGGGTTACGATTTCCGGTATTAGAGCAAACGTCTTGCAATTCGCCTAAGAATTTCATCAGTCCTATATGAATGCAAGCATATAGAATATCTGCGAAAAGCAGTTCGTCCGAGCTAATATTTAACGAATTGGAGGAATTGATGCTTGGAACCCACGTCCTGAGCGTGTATTAAGGCGTTGAATACTATTTAGAGTACTTCGTTCCAGTTAATTCCCCGTTGAGAATGTTTTTCTTTTTCCATAAAAGATATTTTTAACGCTGCCTATTCCGTATGATTTGAAGCCTTCATTTATACATGATTTCCTACTTTTCCCTCAGTTCGGATGTTTGATGTTTGTTTGCTGTTTAGCCTATAAAATCATTTCTTTAACAAAATAAATATATATATATATATAACATATAACAACAAAAACAACAACGCATCAGCAGGGGCTTTAAGCACATACATAATTAAATGAATACGCGCAATCTCTTTGTATGAAATGTAAATGTTTTCTCTCTCATTGTAAAATAACTCTTTCTACACCTTTACTAACTAATTGATCCTACAAATACTCGTATACTATACTACTAAATAAGCGCCCGCCCAAAATCTGTTTATATAATTGTAATAATCAACTTATGAATGTCAAATGCAAACAAGTGCCTACAGTTCCAAATTCCAAGCAATAAATTATATACTACTTATAAATATGTAAAAAAAGCAAACCATTTAAGCCACCCACAAATATGTCTATTGAAAAACTAATTAGGAACATTTTCGTAAGACATGACGCCAAGCGCAAAAGGTAATATCTATGGAAAAGTTTAAACAACATTTTAATATATATATATATGTATAATAACTACAACAACAACTGCAAACGTTTAATACAATTTTGACTCTTGCCGGTTGTTTCCGAACCATATTTCTTTTGCCGCCTCTCTCTCTATTTCTCTCTATCTCTCTCTCTCTTAACCTTCTATTCCGTTTTTGAGCAAATAAGTAACTATACCAAAATATTTTGGCAAGCAACCAAATTACCATATTACCAAATTTCCAAATCGAAAGAGTTTTTAAAGCCCGTTAAATGTGTGGAATTCATTTAATTTGATTTTGCATTGGTCTCTCTCTTTTCGTTTTCTCACTAATTTATTATTCAACAAAAAGGTTGTTTTTTAATTTTATTTAAGCTTCAGTTTGATTCGATAAGCTGCGGTGAATTGCATATACAAGAATACGACTGATACATACTTATTACCAAAAAACTGGACCCGTCGGGTATACTACTCGTATGAAATGAATGAATGAATGAAGTTCGAGACAAATCACAGAAACCCAACAGGCAGCAGTCTAAGCCGAACTCTTTCTCTATCTCACCTTCTCTCTGTCTGTCTCTTTTAAAATACTTGAGAAAGATTTTCGTCAACATTTGTTTTGAATATGTACAATATTGATTTTGGAATTATTTGAGTTTGATTTTGTTTTTACATTTTCAATTCAACTACTACTACTTCTTTCAAATAATTTTTTGTAATGGTCTGCTGTGGTAAATGTGAAGTCTTTATGTTATATTCGTTGCTATAGATGCTCGCCCTGCTTCCCCTACACTGTTAGACAACACGGGCCACCCTGCCCCCGATCACCAAACGCAGGTAAATACTCTTTCTCTTTTTATTTTTATTTTGGGTTGAGATAAAAAAAAACGAATAAAACGCAAATTTTCTTTTGTTTTCAATAAAAATGCTTAACAACTACTTAACGAAAACAATTATTAAGAAAAAAAAAAACGCAAAAGAAAATCACGATTATTCACCTAAATACCCTACAAATGCTACAGCTACTTACTACTACTACTACCTCTTACCTCTCTACCTACAACTATCACTCCTACTACTTCTACTTATACTAAAAAAATGATTCTCATACAACCCATTATACTACTACAGCTAGAGCTAGAGCTACAGCTAAAACAACTTGCTATCTCTATCATTCATTTGTTTTCGGTTACCTTTCCACTGTGACAATATAGTCATAGTCCTCGCAATCTGATCGCAACTCACATCGGCTCTCCCATACATTGTTCGATCCACAATTCATTTCACACAATTGCGAAGACTCGTTGGTCCACTGTTTCGTCTCTCTATTCGCCATACTTCCTGCCACTGCCTCTCTCTCTCTCTCTCTCTCTCTGTCTCTCCATTTATATATATATATCTACTTATATACTACAAACATACATACTACATACTACTACTCGTCTATAAAGCCTCTATCCAAACCAAACTCAAACGCTTACAGTACAGTACATGAACAAAATTCAAATAATAATATATTCTATGTATAGCTAGCAACATGTTAATATATAACTTCTTGTAGTTAACATCAATGACCAATCAATACAAACAACAAGAATTATCCGAAAAATAAATATATATATATATACTTATATACTACATACATATGTAATATAACGAATCAATCGATAGTCACTCGTCCGTGTATATTCATTTGCGTTTCGTTCAGCAAAGATAATCGCATACTATATGTATACTATACTTGTATTAATATTGTGCACTCTCTAAATGTTAGTGCATTATCATAATCGTACTCGTGCGTATGAGTAACTAATGTCGAACTCATGCAAAACACTTTTTGTGTGTGTATTGTCTGTAAATTGCATTTGCGATATCAGTTAACTTCACAACAACAACAACTAATATATTGACACAGCACCAATGCCGTCAAGTCATTCACACAATTGATTTATTTCCTCTTCTTCTTTGGTTACAACAGTTTATGTTTCGTCATCACATTTGGTAAACTTTGGTTGCATCTAATGATTTAAGGCACGTTTTCTCAGACATTCCGAATATGTGACATCTTGGTAAACCAATCCCAAAGACATGTCTTTGTCTCTTTGGGTTTGTCTAGGAAAAAACTAACTAAATAGTAGCTAGCTTTTCTAATTGAATCTTCAAGAAAATAGTTCCTTAAACTGGACATTGAATTCTTCAACTGAGCTGTAATCGCGAAATTTTAGTGCCCAACTCGTTTATCATTTCAATTGATACTCCAAGTATGTTCTAGTTAGATATAGTATGTTGGAAAATAATAATTGCATAGGTCCTTAATGACTTGAACTGAAGAAATAACTACCTGGGCAGAAGCCTACTCCACTAATTGAATCTTCAAGTTGTTGTCCTTAGATTATAATGGTCAGCTGACAAAAGAAAATTTTAGGTTGACTTTGCATTTAAAAGAGTTATGATTGCATTTCTTTTTAGATAAGATAAGATTAGATTACGGCGAGGACCCATATGCCAAATCATTCCAATTACCATTTCTTCAAGTTTGTGAATAGAATATCTGTCTTTATGTTAGTTATCTCTCCAGATCCACAGGTTCTATGTTCAGATAATGAAGTTTATCTTAAATGAATTTCTTTGGTATATCACAACAACAGGAAATCTAATGTGAGAATCAAATTATTTCGTCATCTTTTGTTTAACTTCAAGTGCTAATTGCTTACGATTTTGTATTGCTTTAAAAACTTTATTTTGCAAATTGCAGTTGTTGAGTTGCCCGAGAAGAAATACATGAAGCTTTCAGTTTTTGAGTTCAGTTTTCTTATATATCAACTGCCTAGTAAATGGGTATATGTTTAAGCCAACAAGAGTGATTTCAATTGTTTACTTTTATTTGCGCCATTTATTCGTATCATTTATATTTTGCTTTGCATTCCAACTGCTTCATTTTGTATGCGTCGATGCAAACAGAACAAAATATTGAGAAACCAAAACATAAATAAAAAGTCGAAAAACTTTTGGGAAATCTGCAATTTTGGCAAAGAAATGTGTAAATACATTTAAACAAAATCTACCCAAAGGCAAACGCATTATCTAATGAACAAACCAGAATCAAATATCAGATACAAAAGACACACACTCGAACAATTTGCCAAGAAACTTGATTGCTGATATCGATTATATGATGTGATACATACATACATATATACATATATCTCTAAATATAAATAAATTTTGATTTCTTTACTGGTATACGCTACTAATTATATATTACTAATATGTACTACTACTATATGGAATATTGGATGTAATGTGTACAAATTTTTATGTGATTCACTGTATGTGTATATCCTTGATTTTGATTTCTATTTCTATTTCGATTTCGAGTCATTTGTTTAAGTTCTCCTGTATGATATACTTACGTTCAACCACAAAAATTAAGTTGATGATTTCATTTAATGATCAAAATAAATCACGTTTGCTTCTTAGATTTGCATTTTGCTTTTTATTTCCAAGCCAAGAAACAAACATTTAAAAGAAAAAGAAAACAAACAATAAAATAAAACAAGCGCAAACAAACCAACGCCCAACGAAATGAACATCTTAGCAGTTGAAACTTTCGTTCGTACTTTTGCTCATCAATCTAAGACCATGACCACAATTAAGTTGATATCATTTAATATATATATTTTGAAGACACACACACACACCCCTGTACACCATTTTATATACACACCAACACACCATACACATACCACAAATGGTTCACTCTCATCGTGCTAGTGTACATAATATACTTAGCATACTATATATTTAGGTTTTGAACACGCCAAAAAAAAAACTGAGATTTTGAGTGCGTCAAGTCCTTTAATAGAGTTCCTTCACAGTTTCTTACAGACTGCAATTATTGTTCGTATAATTAATTTTGTTTTGAGTTTACAAAGTTTTCCTTTCATATTTTATTTGGTTGACTACAGAAACGCTGACATGCGGCTTTTGTTGAACGTTAGATCTAGGCAAAATTTCTTGAATTTAAACAAGTTAAGAAACGTTGCTAGTTCTACATAATTTTATTTTCCCAAAGAAATGGTCAACAACAAAAGCTGAAATATATATATATTTGTATATTAACATACATGAAAATCAAGTATTGTTACTGTTATTCGTTTTAAATGAGTACACTTTTTATAATGGGGAGATCTATCAATGTTTCGTGCTCATTTAACCTTGCAGACGTTGACAGGCTTTCTGAGTGGGCCAAACCCGTTTCCATTATCATTTCGGCAGATACCTTCTTCCGAGCTTAACCCATTTCGATTGCTACAAATAATTTCGATACGCTCCTAAGAGAGCCCATAAGTCGTAAGATGTGCCAAACCCGTTTCATTTCGTGTTCTGAAAAGTAAACGCATACCATTCTGTTCCTGTTCTCGAGTGAAGACAATTTGTAGTGCTATAAATAATAATTAATAATAAGATTTCTAAAAACTAAACAGATCATATTTTGGCAGTTATGGTTATTGTTTCGCCTTCACAAAATATAATACAACCATTTGCAAAATGTAAACTGCGTAAGACTGGTAATAGGTACAGTCTTACTTTCTTTTCGGAATTTTGATTTCGGCAAATTGAAATGAACATCGGAAATGGGTAATGGAGTCCTCTGAAAAGCATATTCTCTTCAGCAAATGTAGTCGACTCTGCAAAGTTTGAGCATATTGCGAAGCTTGATTACCGATTTCCCCGGAATACTGTTGCCGCAATGCACAGTGTTCTGCATTGAGTACAACCTTGAATTGTGATTTCGGTTTTTTTGAATAGCTAACCAACCTTACGATATGCTGCATAGTAGTTAAACGTAGTCACCATATTTCTTACTAACCCCGCCATACTATATACTACATACATATACGTATGCAAAACTAACATATTTATGAACAACAATAACTAATTGTATGTCCATTCTTCAATGGGCAAATTCCGCAGCTATATGTACTTATACTATATGTAGCGGTTCACAACCAGTACAGTACTCGCAATTAGTTTGAATTTTGAAATTTTAATACGAAAATGTTAACAAACCTCATGCAAAATTTTGAATATCCACACGAGAACCATTTAAAATTCCAAATGCAAATTGACAAAAGAAAATTGAAAAAAAAATATTGTGAATATCCCTTAACTACATACTCGTATGTTTGTCTAATTAGTTGCCATTTTTTGATTGATTCAATTGATTCGTACAATTCGTATAATTTGACTAATTGACATTCGTATTTTTGTGCATTCGAAAATCGCAAATTTCCAGGGGATGATCGGTCGCGTTGGTAATGTTGGAATGGTAGGAATGCAACAGCAACTACAGCAACAACAACAGCAACCGTATGGTCAGCAACAGACACAAATGGGACAGCAGCAGCAGCAACAAACACAACAACAGCAAATGGGCATGGGACAAAGTGGAATGATGGGAATGGGCCAACAGCCACAACAGCAACAAATGGGCATGATGGCGCAAACGCCACAACAGCAGCAGCAGCAGCAGCAACAACAACATCAACAGCAAATGGGTCAACAAATGGGTCAAATGGGACAAATCGGAGGCCCAATGGGCAGTCAAATGGGCGGCATGGGAATGGGACAAATGGGTATGGGAGGTGCGCAACAACAACAACAACAACCGCCAGTGACGACGCAGGCGCAAACGGGCGGTCTATTCTCCGGCGCGACTAGTTTACTTTCTGGTGCTACTTCGGCTGCCACCGGTGGTCTATTTGGTTCGAAGCAACCACCGAAAACGGATCCAATGCAACCACCTGGTGGTGTGCAGCCAACGCAGCAACAAGCGAACGCCTTTGGTGCCCAGCAAATGCAGCCCGGCATGGGTATGCAGCCGCAAATGCAGCAACAAGCACAGCAACAGCAACAACAACAAGTGCCACCCCAAGCGCAGCCCCCGCCCCAGGGTCAGGGGCCGGGCGCCGGCCTGCTAGGCGGCCTCAAGGGCATAGCGGCAGCGGCGCCCGGCGGCGATGTACTCTCGAAAGGCAAAGATCTCTTTGGCAAATTCGGGTTTGGCTTTGGCAAATAACCCCGGTCATTCCATAGGGTCCTGTTATATTATTCGTAGATTAGACTATGATTATTACTATTATGACTATTATTATTGCTATTGATTACTTAAGCTAATATATACATATACAGAGGAAGTAAAACCGAAAAGAAAAACAAAAACAAAAAAGAAAAAGAAAAACTAAAACTAAAACCAATCCCCCCAGTCAAGTGCGGGCTAATGTGAAGTGAATAATGTTGTTGATATGGTTATATTACGATGATGATGACGATGATAATGGATGCAACTAATAGTACTAATGATAATATTTTTTATTAATTAAATTGATAGAAATATTACAGATAATTTAAAAAGGGAGCGCTGCAGACGAAAACATCAACAACAACAAGAACAACAAGAACAGCCACAGCAATACAAACAACAAACCTAAGCCGAAACAAAAGCCATTTGTTGTTGTTAAATTATTGAACATTGAGCAAATCAATTGCAACCTCTGACTAACTTGTTAGCAAAGCAAATGATAAAACTAAACACTAAACTAATTAAAAGCAAAAACGCAATAAAAATCTTAGAAGGCAGGCGGCAAGTGAAGGGCGCAACAAACTAGGCGGAAAGGCTCCATTGGAACTCTTCGCATATACATACATACATACATACATATAGTATATATATTTACACACACAAACACGCAGAAACACACAGACAGACCACATTAACACACACACAATATATACAAACATACATATACCCACATAAAAGAACATAAATTATAAATAAACTTTATTGAGGCAAATGATTAAGATAAAGACAAATATATTATATACATTATATTTACAATTATTTGTTAACGCACATTGTTAAATTTGCTACTGTTGCTGACCAGTTTATAAATAAAAAAATTTAAAAATAAAAACAACAACAAAATAATGAAAATACCAAAAACTTAAAGTGAAAACAAAACCAAAAACAAACAAAAAAAAAAACAACAACAACAAATACATGCATAAGAAAACCAAACATACATATATTATATATATTTAAAATATATTAAAACCAAAACAAAACAAATGAAAAACAACAACATAAATACATACATTATACACATTTAATAACAAATAACATACATTTATAAATCAAAAACTAAGTAAACAAGGAAGAGTTGAGCCATGTAAAGCGACAAAATTATGCAAAATGAAAACCAAAAATAAATAAATTGATATGCTACCTACTATACATACATACATATATACATATGCGTACATAACACACAAACGTACATATGTACATTCAATCGATCGATCGACCGCTCGATCGCTAATGTACAATCTCGCATGCAACTAATCTGAGTATTGGTATTATCCGCAGCCTCGTTCCAATCTTTTCTGAATTCACCATTCATCCATGAAGGAAAAAAGCCAAAGGGAAAAAGAAATCAAAAGTAATAGGTGATACACAATACCATATTAGTTATACCTAGTCCTTCCGAGTGCTTCTATAGTCCTAAACACTAAGTGTTAAGCTCGAAATGCAACCAACTATCCAGAGAATACTTCCTCAAAGTAAAGTGAGGTGATATACGATTCACTTAAAGTCGTTCCTTCCCTATTTTATCTGGCAGCCTGTAGCTCACTTCAAAGAAACCTTAAGAAAATTGTGAAAATTTATATTTTAAATTTCGTTATAAATGGCCAAAGAACTTCTTTCCAAAAAAAACAGAAGTGATAATCGTTTCACTTGTTCCTTCGGAGCATATACTTATTTCTAACAGCTTCTATTATTTTTCTATTTCCTCTAACCTACAACTGAACTGTCTTTTTTGCCCCCCTATTTTTTTTACTTCTAAGAGTATCTCCGCTCGGTTGTAGGCGGAGAATGGTGAAAACTCGGAATACCTTTGTTGCTGGCATCTCTTCTTGGAGTAGTTAGTGGATATTTTCGCCCTTAACTATCCTCTTGAATTGATTAAGACACTAAACTAGGCTACGATTCTAAATCCACTCAGTTATTCACAGCACACAAAAGTCGGTGGTTCTTTAAGCAATATCCGTGCGAAAAGTTGTAACTCATGTCAAGCAACCAGTGAGGGAAAAATACCTAAGTGCATAGACCAAAAATGAAAAGCAACTAAATACATTGCATTTGAAACATAAATAAGAATATAGGTACGTACATATTAATAAATTTTTTAGGAGATAACAAAACAAGAACACACACAACATACTACATATTCACAAATTTTCCACAAACGTCCGTTAAATTACTATTTTGGTTATTCTCAAAATTTCAGATTCGACTCGATAACTAATTAAAACTAAAACTCATGCTCCTTTATTCTCTATGCATACTTACTAGACACATAACAATGAAAATTTCATCTTTGGCTTTTATACAAATACATACTCGTCCGAGTAAATGCATAAGTAAACGCCTTTGGCATGAATATAATTCTCTTTATATACGTATACTACAAGTACATAACTACCCGACAAACTCATTGCCAAAAGAAAACAAACTTGCTTTTTCCCTGTATAGAACTAAATGGAAAATGATGAAAGAAGAATAATGTTTCCTAATGTTTAACAATTGCATACGAGTACTCTCTAAATTGCTTTAACGAAAAAACACAAGTACATACTTACATACAAACCAATACATTGCGTACCTCTTGCTTTACAAAACAGAAAGTATAAAAGTATATTAAAAAGTTTAAACAACAAATAAAAGTATTTAAAGAGCGCATAGAGTAACATATATACATACATACATATACATATTATGACGATGACGACGGAATGAATGTGACAGCGAGTTATTACTTTAATCGAACACTACTGTTTTAAACTTAGCAGCAAACACACACTCACATACATACATATATATATATACACACAGGCTACCACAGGACAATTGTATATATAAGGTACTGTTCCCGTTCGCGTTATCGATTTCAATTACAACTATTCCCGTTTCTGCTTTTCAGTTTGCAAAGTTCAACTTACAAATTAGACTCTCAAATCTGTCACTATTACTCGTAAATAAATTTATTGCCATTTTTTGTTCTTTCCCTAAAGCGAGGCAGGCTCAAAGAGGCACCTAAAAGTATGCTGCTATTAATTCCATTACATTCCAATTCCACGTGCTACACTAACACTCCCAGATCATTTGGAATTGAAACGGAAACCCACTTTAGCTTTGTAAACAATTTTCAAATGGGAAAAGGGGAACAGCCAACAATAGAATATACTATAGGCAGAAAACTGATTAAGTCACATTTGGCACATTTGTATCGGTTGCAAGAATACACGAAAAGATATATACTACGTATACAAGAGAATATGAACTAGACTCAGAAATCACAGCAAAATCTCGGCACTGTAAATTATAAACTGCAGTTAGATATCAGCAATAGTCGGAAGTACGTATTTCAGTTATTTAATAAGAACAGAAGATATGATACGATCGTAACAAACGTAAACTTTTCCCCACGTAAATAATTTAATCTAACAATCCAATCATTGTATTATTTAGCAATAGCAGAAGAAAAGAAAGAACTAAAGTTAAATTTAAAAACATAAATCAGTCTGATGACTTCAAGCCTTTCCACAAACACACAAACACACAAACACTAAAGACTCCAGAAACACGTGGACATGTATTGTATACAATAATACAGTATACACACACACACACACACACACACACACACACACACACACACACACAGACAGACACATGCAAAAGATGCAAACCTCAAAGTACATACTCTATAATCATTTCTTTGTTATATAAATATACAAAACTCATAAAAAAAAAAACAAAGGAAAGGAAGAAACCAACAAAACCTTTAATACAGAAAAGATAATAGCAAACAATATTACGCAATATGAATAACAACAAAAAATGATAAACAAAAGGAGGAGAACAAGAAACAAAATCAACTAAATTGTTATACGGTATTATTATACTTTTTCTATAACTTATAATTTCTTTATTGATTTAAAAAATGCGAAAAAATAATAATTAAACAATAATTAAAAAAGACACAATGCGTTTTCTTATGCAACAAAAATATAGGTGAGACCCAAATGGTAATATTAAATAAAAGCAAGTTTCTTATTTGATCTGATAAAGTAATGCGGGGATATTTTTGTGCATAGCTCCATTGTAACCACAAATCGATGGAAGTGCCGAAATCCTTCTTCGGGGATCCTGACGCGGGAGCTACCCGAACTCTAGCGAAATTCGGTCCTTCGGGTATGGTTGTGAATACGACGTTCGATCATTGCTTGCATGTTTAGGCAAAAACTTTCGGTCATTAAGGACTTATGCAGAGGCTACATGACCACCCCAACAACTTGGCGATGAACTTGCTGGACAACATCGAACGGACCAGGAGGCTGCTCAGGACCCATCCTCTGGACCTCCCCAGGGACTAGCCGGATACTACAACCATATACTAAATGAAATAATAAACTGTCAAGTTTATCTTTATCCAATTTAATGATTGTCCATGATGGACAGTTTTAAATAAAATACGAAAAAAAAAAAAAAATGTTTAGGCAAAAACTTTCGGTCATTAAGGACTTATGCTTTGATTCGAACTGAATGCTCGCTGCGGGCTTATTGTCGAGCGATAATTCCTTGTCGCTCAACTAAAATGAAATAATCATAACGAATTCTAGTAATAAATCTAGTGTGATCGAAAATATTGCATCTTCGTTCCTTATGCCTTATACAAGTATACCCATCTAAATGTTTTTTATTATGCTTAATCGATAGCCCAGACACAAATAAACTCTACTCTGAATACATCCAAATTATAGCGTCATCAAACTAATTGTTTGATAATGACTTCTCAAAGAAGTTAGGAAACGTTGGATCAATGGAGCTTCTGGACTTCGGCAACGGCTGAGACCACAATAAAATATATATGGATATTGCTATTTTGGCCCCTTCGCCCGCAAAAGAATTTCGTCAACACATACTGTCCAGTATTCCAAAGGAACGAGGGAAAGTAATAAAAAAAGCATAATTGCAATTCTCTAGAGTTATCGCCTTAGGCTCTTTAAAGGAGTTTTGTTCAGTGTAAAAAAAATGTTGTAAAAACTTTCCGCAATAGAACTTGTTTTAGTTATCCGGTCTTAAAAGCTTCGGTAAGACATTATGCTTACATAATTACTGCAAATGAAGTTAAGTTGAAAAATAAAAAATTCCCAACATCTATTCAAATGCGGAATTATATAGCTTAGGTGGCTACCAATAGAAATACACATAATAGTGGATTTTAGTATATTGAATTAAATATTTCGCAATTACAGATAAGGCATTTCATAGTTGCGTGATTCACTTATAGTTTTTATTCTTATATTTTTTTTTTTGGGCACATCAACTTCTAATATAAACCGGTTTTTATGGTAATTGGCTGAGAGTAAACCACTGACCAGACAGACATCATTTGAACATATGTAGACTAACACAGCTTTCCATTGTCTGTGGCGACGAGTTTCTGAATAACTTCCGCAACTTTTAAGAAGAAACCGAATCTCTTTGCATTTGAATTAGCACCACGTTTTTCAAGTTCATTTTATAATAAGTCGATTTAGTTTATTAAGTTGATTTACGGTAGCCATAAAATTTCCTAGATATATTAGTATACTATATATAGATGGAGAAAAAGAGAGTGTTTTCTTACAAAATACTATATTCCAACGACCGATTGTATAACTGACATTTAGGCATCATAGCTTTAACAATTTATATTTCAAGGTGAATTCCCTTTAATCGCTCAGGCAAGAGAGGTCGGAAGGTAAAAGCTGCTTACTGAGCCACTGACAGAATTATAGCTGGTGCTGGCATCGGGTCTAGGGGTCTGGTAGGCATACCCCTCGGTACTGGCATTGGGTTTTGGGGTCTGGTAGGAATAGCCCTCGGTCACCGCCGTTGTGGTCACCAGCCCCTCTGTTGTACTCTTAACGGGGGTTAGTGGCGTTGTGCTGCGCGTTGTGATCGGCGAATAGGGATGTACTGTAGGCTCCGGCGTCTTATTGGATCCTTCTGTTGTTGTTGTTGTTGATACTGAGTGAGTACTTGAGGTAATATCCGGCGTAAAATCTGTGTTTACCTCTGTGGTGCTATAGGTGTACGGCGCCTCCGTTGTTGTTGTTGTAGTACTCGAGACCGATCCGAACTTGTTGAAGCCAAAACCGATGCCTCCTGCTCCTCCTGCTCCTCCTGATGAAAATTTCGCCTGAATCAGACTCTGGAGCACGTTAATTTTCTGAGTCAAAAGGTTGGTTACGAGCTGCGAGTTGATGGGTGAGGTTGTGGCTGTTACTGAGGCTGAGGCCCGATAGTTGCTGGCAGAACCACCTAATGGGGTACAGAATATTTCGCTTGTTTGTTTCTATGTTTAGTGAGAACATTATTTGTATCTACCAGCTGAACTAAACGGAATGATAAAAATCGGCTTGGCTTCCAAAAAGGTAGTCAAACAGCAAATGAGCAGCCCCGAAACCGAGATCGTTTTAAGCAACATGACGGCGGATACGTAATGACTGACTGCCGCGGGCTGAAGCACACTTTTATATGTTGTTCTTTCCAACTCTTTTTTGTAGGTATACCCTACTCCACATCGCTTCTATGTTATGGTACGAAGGGGTTTTTAATGGGACAAGTCTGTAGACTACGGTTTTTTTTTTGATGCAGAGTATACTTGTATATAACTAGGCGACCAATTGCTGTTACTACTTAGTTTTAAAATTAAAAATTATTTATATTATAATATTAATTTATAATAATAACAATCGATTTCAATTAATTGAGAAAACAACGACAGCCAAAATGAGAAGAAACTCCACAGAGCTCATAGTAATCATTGGGCTGCGTTGCTAAAGCGCATTCAAAATTCGTATTGAACGTTTCGTTTATCTGTGTTTTGCCAAGTATTAAACAATTGAGACCAAACAAGTTGATTTCGTATTGGATAGAGTAATATGAAGAAGATTCAGCATTGGGTGGTCAAAGAGAACATGAATAAGCAGCTTTTATTTCAGCCTCCATCAGTTCGCACTTCATAAGATCTGTAGCGATGCATATACTTATCTGAATGATTATTGCCGATTTGGGAAATGTTGAGGTCTGCTTTTTGTTTCCTCATGAATGCAAAAGTATTTTATGGAGTTCCATAGCTTGACCGCGAAAATTAAAGCCACATAAGACTCGTATTCTCTTTCCACTAAGTATCTTATAAGCAACCAACTCATTGCTAAATAAGAGTACATTTTATAAACTAATCAAGCAGAGCCCACAAAGTATATATATACTTGATCAGCACGACAAGACGAGTCGATTTGGACTTGACTGTGTGTCTGTCCATTAACCATTTAGTGGATCCTGAAATAAATAATACGAGGAATTCATTTTTTGTCCTTAGACAATTTTCTTTGCTTCGGATAGATTTTTAAAAATACAAAAGGTCTTGTTCAAATAGAAAGCTTCACAGAATGATCTGGCCAAGTAAGTATCTGGATATGGTTAGTTAGATTGGTAACAAGCTCTCGGCATTCATGTCTGCATCATCATCGGAATCATTTCCCTGGTCAGGCCTGATCATTCCGGTCCGGGGACGTTCGGCAGGTGGACCCAGTGGATCCACATGCTTTTGAGCTATTTGAAGAAATTAGGAAAGATTAGAATAAATTTGGCATGAGAAGTAACTTCTACTTGCCGGAATAATATGTCCTATCTACAGATTTGGTGTATTGCTCGCCATTGCCCAAGCCATTGGGGATCGGGGAGTTGCTGTTCTCAACTGAACGATCTGCATTTGACTGTTTCAGATCTGTAAGAGTAAAGACTGCCTAGGTTAGCAAACATTTGGGAAACACTAAGTACAAGTAGGTTTGGGGCATGCACTCACTCTTTAAACGACTGCTGCCCCTACCCGAAGCGGCTGACGATATGCGCTGTTGCTGGTAGCGCTGTTCATTTTGTCGCTCGAGCTGCTGCTTTTGTAGACGAGCATAATCTAGGGCGTACCGATCATGGAGATCGGACAGTCCAAGGGACTTGGTCACCTGCATGAGCGCACGCACACACGTGAGGTTGTCGGGAAAGCGAGAATAGATCTTTTCAAACATGCCCAAATACTGCTTAGGCGGCAGATAGGAGTTTCGAAAACAGCTTGCAATGCGCAGCATCAGGTTGGGATCGTTGGGATCGGCAAGAACAGCTCGCTCATAGTAGTAGAGTGCCTTCTCTGTAGCCTGAAGCTTTATGTAGTAGGAGCCGATGGAGCTCGCTATGTTAATGTCGCTTGGATTTATGCGATAGGCCTCATTATAATATTGGTTTGCTTCCTGATGATCCTGAATTTGCTCGTAAAGCGAACCGACCTTTTCGAATAGGCGCGAGTCGATATCGACAGCCGATATACCCAGAACCTGAAAGAAATAAGAGATTCTTTAAATACTGTCGATAATTGAGTAATCGATACACAATTTGTGCCTTTGCAGCCCTTGTTTTAGTTTTTGATTCACTTCTTCCCTGACTACTGAAATGTATGGAAGCACACCTGTTTTTTGTTAACGTGTAGCGCATTAAATGAAATCACAAAATATTAACACCAACCTACACCGATCCTCGGGCATTGTTTAACAAATACATAAAAAGTATTGCTTTTCTGGTCTGCAATTAAAACGAACTAGAACTCAGTAATTCAGGACTACCAAAATATTTTCCCAAGTAAAGTTGCAAAAGGAAAAGAGTAGCACGGTTTGGAAGGATGTATATAGTGGGTATGTGTAGATAGTTAATAGATAGTACATAGTTTTAACTTCGTTGTATAAAAAGCACATAAACCTTTTTAAAACCGTGAATAAAATGCAAAAGATTTTTAAAATTTTAGACAACTGTACCTGCAGATAAGCTTGAAGGACACCGGGTGAGCCAAATTTAAAGTCACTGCCTCCTCCAGTTTGACGCCTTTCTTGCAGCATAGCCAATTGATAGTAGATGTGGCCGTGCTGCGCCGAGTGGGGCTCCATCAGTTGCGCCCTCAGCAGCTCGAATTGCTCCTCGGCCAGCGCATAGTTGTGTTCCTGCAGGGCCAGGAGGCCGAAATTGTAGTTGGCCTCAAAGCTGAATGGCTGCAGCTGGAGTGCACGGCCCAGGTAGTCTCGGGCACTGTTCAAGTTCCCCTTTTGCATGTCCACGATGCTGGCGTTCACCAGCGCCATTGGGTTTGACTGCAACACACCCAGTTCCTGGAGCTGATTGACGCAATGCGTTGCCATGTCCAGGTTGCCCAGCTGCGTCGAGAGAATATATAGACGAGTAAACAATGAAATACTTTTGGGGCCTTGGCAGCTACTCACATTGATGTAAATGAAACAGAGGTTGATCAAAGCGCTGGCAGTCATGGATCCTTCGCTCTTCCGGTTGTATATCTGCAGCGTTTCGATGGCCTGGTTGATCTCATTTTGTCGCAGGTACACTAGCGCCTTATTCAGCTCCAGCTCGTGCGCCAACCAGGACATATTCGACGTTTTTATGACCTCAATGCACCAATTGTAGCCTGTGGATTATAGGTGTTCTGGCCAACATATGGCATAGCATTATATGGATCAGTACTCACCATCATTATAATTCTCCTCGATAATGGGCGAAATCAATTCCACAAGCATTGTAATCGCTCGTTTCTCCCTTTGATTGCGTTGCTTCATGTACAACGCTAGTTCATCCGTTTTGAGCGCCTGCAGCACATATCGGTTCTTCTCACCGGCCTTTTCCGAGATGGGGGCCATGCCTGGGGAATCGTCTCCTCCAGTCGTCACCGCAGTCTTCATCCCGAACGCATCTGCGCCAATGAGGGACACCTCAGCAGTTTGCTTTGACTGCGCCTGATCCGCTTGCTGCTGCAGCTTAATAATGTTGTTCTCATTCTCCAGGTCGCTGTCGCTCTCCGTCGGCTCCACACTGCACACAAAGTTCCGGAATGTGCTCTTAATCTTCTCTATGTCTCCCATGGCATAGTAGCAGAGCAGCAGATGAATTCCGCTGCGAATGTTCGCCCGCTCCGACATTATGAACTCGAAGCTGGAGGCTGCGTCCGCATACTGGCCCATCCGCACAAACAGGACTCCAATGTTCTCTGTTATTTTGAGGCGCAGCTGTTTCAGGTTGTTGGGCACCGAGTCCAACGCCATGCGGTACATTTTGATAGCTTTCGGGTAGATTCCCGTACCCATCTTGAAGTAGATGTTTCCCATGTTCAGCTTCAACTGATTCACATGCGGAAACATTTTGTTCTTGGTCATAATGCTGTACGTGTTGAGAGCCTCGATGTACATCTCGTTGAGCTCATATTGTTCGGCCAGGTTAAAAAACACCTTAAAATGTAAATCCGGAAATTGTGGTAAGATTTCGTCCACTAAAATGTAGACGTGAACCCTCAACTCTTATGTACATATCCAAAAAATGAAATGACGAGTCTACATATAAATATATGGGTTTTTAAATACAGCATTTTTGAAGCCTTCGCATCTACCAAAAACTTTGTTTTTGTTATATGCCCCACTCCCTAAAAAAAAAAGTTTAATATTTTTCAAATTATTTTTCTTTTAATTTGGGAATTCCAAGAACTACGGGAGCTAATCAGTGCATAAGAAAAAACCGAAACCCGTCCTTTCTCGGTCTTAGGACAATCCGCATACATACGGACTGAACTAGTATACTCTTTCTCATTTCATGTATAGGGCACAAAAATGAAGGAAACCAGAAAAGTGGCCATCCAACTCTCGTATCTCAACTTCTGAACTAAGAAGTTATCTTCGTCTGTGTCGAATCACTCTGCCTTACAACAAAAACATAAAGTTAAGATCTACAGTTTTTAATTCCGAAGAGTGCTCTGCTTCAATAGATAACATTCTTGCTATGATTGCAGGTGCTTTGATTGTCTTACCGCATATGTCAAGTCGAAGTTGTGGAAAATATTCTCCACATGCTGGTCACGAAAGCGATGCAAGGTCCTGTCCAGAGAAAATGCCTCCTTCGCCTTGTTGAGCGCTTCGGCCAGCACAGACTTAGCTCCTGGATCTGAGCCGCTTGACCGCATTGCCGCCACTCCACGACCTGCCAGTACAATCGAAGACTCTAGCAGCTTAACTATTTTCATTTCGAGATTTTTGTACTTGGTTTGTGGGCTGTGGAATGGCCACCAAAATAGCACTAAGGAGCCAGTTTAGCTGATGCTGCTCTACTCACTTGACTTCTTTGGCTGCATCCAAGGTGGCATTGGCCGAGAACATGGTCTGCTGCTTTGCCTTCTCCATGAAGAACTGGTCGAAATGTTGACCCGTCGAGCTGCTGCTGGCCGCATAGCCAACGGCTCGCACGGCAGTAGAGGGTCGAGCCTGCGCCGTCTTTTCGCCGGCCGACAAGCGTCTGCTCACCAGATTACCGCGCTATTTGGAAATGAGATCAGATCAGATCATAAATTGATTGTATTGTATTGTTGGGGCTTACTGAAAAGAGCTGTGAGGTTGGTGGTCGCCCCATAGACGTTGGTGGAGGCACCGCCTGTGCTCCACCTGCATCTGCAGTCTGCTGTTTCGCCGAATTGTTGCCACTCATTATTCGATATTAATGTTAATGAAATCCTTACACATGAAGTGTTTCAAATAACTTATTACGAATAACAATATTATAATTTTCCCGAGAGTGTTTTCAACCACAATATACCATTCTATTAGCCAGCAAATGTTTTGTTTGGCTGTTGCGGCCATAATAGTTGCCCTGGCAATCTGCAAGTGGTGGGTCTCTACACCATTTGTTGTTATGATCCGGTACTACTCACGAGAATTATAATGTTCATGTTTATAAACTCATATAACTTGTGAGACAAACATAAAAGGCGGTAAACCTAAAAAAAAGGCGGGCAGTCACTTAGTACCTGAAAAAAAATACAAATTAAAAATTTTCCAATACACATTTTAAAATAAATAAACGACGACTATTTAATTTGCTTTTGATCGCCTAAATCCAGTAATTAGTTAAAATTACATACATACTTGCATTAATAATAATTCGCACTAAACTAGCAGGCTACTTATACCCTTATGGGTGCAAAGTATGAAAGTTTTATTAAAATTTTAAATTATAAAATGTCGCCACCTATGCCTGAAATTCGAAGACTAACACATTAAAGTTATGCTAGCGCCATCTATACGGGCGGTGTGGTTACAAAAACACCACAGCTTATGCAACAAAAATGTGAAAGAAACAAAAAGTTTCAAGAACATGTAGAAATTAGTTTGTGAAAACCATAAACATGTTTAAAATTAAAATTCGATAAATAATGGTATGTAATAGATATCTTATATTCAGACTAGTTCGCCACGTATATAAATAAATTGTAATGCGATAATAAAAGTTACATTGAGTCACACTGCTATTTTATGTTAATGCTTCGACAATAATTAATTAATTAAATTATGCTCTAGAAGATCCGTATAAAGAATGCTACAAAAGAGCAACGTATCGGAAAGAAAAAAGGAGCTGCTAGCTGCTTTACATCCTTTAATGCGTCTTACAACAAACTATTTACCCTACTCTGTTTCCGTACTATCTTACCTTTCATCAAAGAACATTTTGTACTTATTTTGCATTTGGTCAGAAAACCCAACCGAAATATCTGTAGAAATAAACAAGAAGTGCTATTTGAAAATTATACCTTTTCTATAAAAGCTATATGATATAGTGATATGACAGAGTAAATGATTTATTACGATGGCACCTAAGCTTTAGGAGAAAAAAAGACGGAAGTACGGTTATCTCCATTTGGATTTGTCTCAAAATGTTGATCATAGGTATATAAGTAGTATGTAATATTCTTCCTCCTGGGCGTTGGTGAATGGGTAATCTCTGTACCCACATCGAGAGTGGAGCCCACCTGACTTTAGCATTCCATTCCTGTTTTAACTTCATTATTACAACAAAAATTCCAGTTTAAGTTAAGAAGAGGCTCTCTCAAAAATGTTAAAACGACTTGTACGAGAAAAATCAGTATCTAAGCTGGTCTATGGAGGGGTGTGGTTGGTTGAGTAAGTTTTACGCCGCCGTCAACGACAACGGAATTTGTAATGTTTCTCAGTCAGATGCATGTATGTATGTATTTATGTATAGGCAGTATTTGCAATTCTAATACACGTAATATGCGCTCAAAAGTTGTCAGACGAGTAACCTTAACGCGGCACAACAAACGCGCTTCGTTGTGTGAGAAGACATGTGCATGTGTCGGTGCGAATTCTTGGCCAACCGAATTTTTTTCGCAGCAGTGAAACGGCTTGTCTAGCGCTTGAATGCGATCCACACGTTGTGAGCGGCCGCCAGCAACAGGTACTGAGCGCAGATGAGAGCGCAGAGCGAGAGTCGCGATCAAAAGAAACAGGCAACAGCTCAAGACGAACCACGTAGACACTTGCGCATTCCACGCTGAGACGGGGTCGCGTGAACAACGTTCGGTGTGATATTCGCAAAAACGAGAAATCGGAAAGACTCCAAAACTACGGGAGCACAGCATTCATAGCCGAACCAACCCCAAATCTAATTTTAAATTTGCGTGAATTGCGTGGCGAAAACTTTACTCAGTGCTGGTCGTGTGCCTGTGACCCGGCACAGAACGTTCGAAACGGGACCGTAGAGTCCGTGACGCCATATTTGTTTTACGATCGTGAGTGTGTGCTTATGTGTATGCGTGAGTGCCAGAAAGGGCCTCACGCGAGGCATTATACGTTGAATGTACATATGTAAGAAATATATGAAAACCGCGCCCCAACTTTTGGCAATCGAATCGAACCGATTCGGCGGCTGCTGAGTGAAATCAAGCTTCGTACCCAATTTTTGAAGGTGATAAATGCAAAGATTGTGAACGCCAGACTTCAGTCGGTTCTTTTGTGGTAGTGAATGTGGGTTAGTACCTATATGAATGCACGAACACATACTTACATAGTACATGCATATGCATATGTCTGTGCACACCTTAATAAAATATAAGTAGATACCTGTGTATGTGCACATATGTACATATATAACAGATGTCGAACGCGGGTTTTAGTGTGGCTCTGAATGCGACTGCTTCTGTGTGTCCAACGCAACATCGCAACAAATATCCGCTTACCTAAACGAAAAAATTCTCGCAACAAAACAAGAACTGCACACACACACACACACACACACAGACACACACAGATAGAGAAACAGAAACAGCTAACACAAACATATACATGCGCACCTATTATACACAAAAGACAAACCAGAAAATCCACATTGCTGCTGACCCGCTGCCGTGCCCGCCCGTCCCAACAAGCACCGCCGTCATCGCAGACACAACATAACGTAACGAAAGGCAGCGTAACGTAAGCGTTAAGTCTTGTTGGTGTTGCTGTTTCTTTGTATTTACGCTATAACATGAACATGGGCGACTCCACGCCCATCTGCCGCTGCCGAGTACTCTACTTGGGCAGCGCTGTGCCCCGCCAAAGCAAAGATGGCCTGCAGGGCATCCAGGAGCCGTTGCGGAGCCTCTATCCATCAGAGGGAGCTGTCGGCGCCAGGGGTATCGACTCGTGGCTGAGTGTCTGGTCCAACGGGATTCTGTTGGAGAACGTGGACGAGAACCTGAAGCAGATTACCCGCTTCTTCCCCATTGAGTCTCTACACTATTGCGCAGCCGTGCGCCAGGTTCTGATCCCCGAGCGTGGAAATGCGCATCCGGAGCCAAAGTTTCTGCCGTTGGACTCGCCGTTCGCGCGCATGCCACGGGCGCAGCACCCGCCCATCTTTGCGGCCATTTTGCGGCGCACCACTGGCATTAAGGTGCTCGAATGCCACGTCTTCATTTGCAAGCGTGAGGCGGCGGCCAACGCCCTAGTCAGATGCTGTTTTCATGCCTATGCGGACAATTCATACGCTCGCCAGCTAGAGACGGGCAGCAGTGTGTACGGGACACTGAAGGGCGACACCACCACCAAGTCTAACGGCGACCTCACCACTGTGGGTCTGACTAATGGCAACGACGATCGCTCACGCAACGGCCACGGAGGATGGCGCTCACGCGCCGGCAGCACCACAACGATCAACAGTGTAGGCCGGACATCAAACGTTCACGCAATGAACGGCGGCATGGGAATCAATGGAGGCAGCACCAGCAGCGCCGCCGAGGGCTACACATCAGTCAAGAATTGTAAGTTAATGCTGAGTTGTTGATGTTCGTTGCCTAAGTTCTTTGTTTCCTTGCCTTCCTCAAAATCGATCAGATCAGATCAGATAAATTCAAATAGATTCTGTAAAGTGAGATAAAGGAGTGCAAAAAATATTTATTATTTAGTAGGATTTTTAAAGCAGCAAAGTATTAAGTTGTTGTTTGTGTTGCAACTCACAAAATTTTCCAAAATATTTGGGTACATTCATTTGTACATTTGTATGCATACATATCGACGATGGCCGTGTTAACTTGGCCACAACAAAACGTTATCAAAATATGTCTGCTTATATCCAAACGAGTATATACAAGTATGTAAACATTCCAAGGTAACTAAAATACGAGCATACCTAACGTCTGGGCACCAGAAAATCGACAGCACACACCTGTAAATATGGCAATGGCTGGTAGATACGAATATATACGTCTAGTAGTATGCATGTGGTAAGAAAAAACAGATTTCAGCACGTCTCAGACAGCGATGAAAATAGAAAATGTTGTCACATCGTTTTAAACATTAAGGTGCAGGTATCTGCTATTGACAGTTTTTATAGCTGACTCTGACTCGCACACGGCCGACAACTATAAAGACAGATAGACAGGCAGACAGTCGGATAGTCGGACAGTGCTTCGAGCTCACCGCTGAAACAAGTAACACTAATTCTCTATTCGTTGCGTTCCAAACACTTTCCACTCATTTAAATTTCGACGACCGAAGAAGGTTGACGTACGGAATTTGCCGTTTTACGATTTTGTTGTTTGCTCTCACTGTCTCCGTCGGCATACTATACTATACTATACGTGTATATTGTTGTTTTGTTGTTGTTGTTGTTGTTGTTGCCGTCGACTGTTTCTATTGTAACTAAGTTATGATAATTACCATGCAAATTGCTGACGCTGACGAAAACCTCAACCAGACAGGTAGCAGTAGCAGAGCGCTAGCTTTTCCCGCTGTTTCGAATGTGTTTTTACAAACATGGATATCGGATGCTAATGTGGCGGGCCAATCTCCAATGAAAATAGCCCGAATTCGCATTTTAAATTTATTTTTAAAAGTTGAGTTGCTAGAACATATTACAATTAATCAAAATTTGTCAAATTTACACACATTCCATGCTTCTAAAGCGCGTAACGCTGGGTATCAGGGAATCAGGCATAATTGGGTATAATTTCCATTAAATTTAGTTTTCCAAGATGAAATATGATGAATGAATTAGATGAATTTATGTTAAGCCATGAAGGATGTATCTACCTAGTACTTACTTGTAGAAAGTCTAGTAATGTGATTTTTCATTCTCAATTGAATCAGCCACGGTTCAGTCATTAATTGAATATTTTATTTTTAAGATCTTATTTGTTAATTGTGTAATTAATTAATTAATAATACTATAATATGTCGGTTACAAATATGAATATACACGTATAATAATATATCGCACCAAAATTAGAACAACGGCAAAAGCTGCCGGGAAGGCATAGGCAGAGATTACATTTATGGCTATAACTTCCTTAACAACTGAGCTACTAGTGTGAAACTTGGCTCATATGGAAATAGACCCTTTTGACTACTATCTCAAAACTAACATACCACCGAATTGGTTGAAACCACGCATTACAATAGGTCCTTCATGGTCAATAAATAAGCGCACTATTTTCTAGACTAGATTACAATTATTTTCTTGTTGCCAAATCCTACAATTTGAAGACAATTATCTTTAAATATTTTTTTTTATTTATTTATTTTTGTTTTTTTATAGCAGAGTGTGTTTCATTTAAAACAGTCTATCGTGGACAATCATTAAATTTATTAAATAAACTTAAAAATTTATTATTTCATTTATTATGAGGTTGTAATATCCCGCTAGTCCCTGGGGAGGTCCAGAGGATGGGTCCTGAGCAGCCTCCTGGGCCGTTCGCTGTTGTCCAGCAGGTTCATCGCCAATCTTTAAATATAACAAACATTTTCTTGTTAAAAATTTATGTTCTTCCGGAACAAAGCACCGGATAAAAGCAAAAAGGTATCCTTTTTTTAAATAAAATTTTGTTTTTGCTTCGAACTGCGTCCCTCTAATAAGTTAAGCGCCTTCCTCTATTCTCAACTGTTAAAATATTTCTCAACCATTACTAATATTTCTGTGGAAAGTTCAAATTTTACTTTACCAATTAGCTGATGCATGAATTCTGGACAGTTTTCATCTACTCGTATTAACTTGAGCCTTCCTTGACTTCTGTGTTAAATGTATCTAATTTTTAGCCCCCTATAAGAGTAAGCCAAGGCCACAATAGTTCAATGGGTTGCTGTGTAGTTGCGTGAGGTTCGGAGCGGCCCCTTGCTCTTGAACTACCCATTCATGCCAACGTAATAAACCTGTCTCTCCGCCTGGCACACACTCTCCACTCTCTGAACTGCTGTACACGTACTTGAGCACGTGAGAAAACTTTCGGTTAGTGATTTTTCTTATGGTTTCGTCTCATTTACTCGATCTCGACATTGTTATTGGCACTTCTCGCTTTTGTGTTTCATTCGCATGACAACGACAACAACAACAACGACAAAGACAAAGACAAAGGCAGATAGGAGGAGAGGCTGCTTGGTTTCAAGTGTGAAATTGGCTTTAAACCTGAAAGCCAGAGGGGGAGAGAAAGAGAGCGGGACAGCGCACTGTTTGTGTTCAAGTGAAATTTAGCTCAGAAACGATTAAGTCTCTTATAAAGCTTACCTTTGCATGTGTGCATGTGTCCATGTGAGGTTTTCTATTCATTAACATTTTTAATTTGCGTGTTTTTGGCTTCCAGATTAAGGTTGCCTGCTGGTTTCTTTGTGGTTAAAACAAGAATGGAATGATAGTGTCGATCAACTCTTAGAAACCCTGCACAAAGCTTAAAAATGCTTCTTTTTTAAGTTCGTATATTTAAACTAATTGAATGCCATACCTACCTACCCACTATTTCCTGTACGAAAAAAGACTATGTTAATAATTTTGTTCCATAAGTATGTAAACTACAGTCTGAAAAATATATTTTCTTAATTTTATTAGGCCCTTAATTTGGAAAATTATACTATTAGGAAGTAAGTTTACTTTTTTATGGCACATGTATTGAAAATAAATTTCTTAAATTTACAAAATTGCTAAAATTTAGTGCCAATAACCCAAATTCATTTGATTAATTAATGTTATAAGGCGGAGAGAGGTTAGTTTTAAAATATAAAACATAAAAAGAGGAAGAAGAATGAAATGCTAGAGTCAATTTCTTAAATAACCTGTACCGTCCCACACAAAAATGATAAAAATATTCTTGAAATTAGTTGAAAAATATACCTATAACGCGTACTTAGAGACATATAGTGCATATATGTATTTGTATATTTACGTACAGTTTCATTATTAACATTTTTATCGAGGTCTACTATGAGTTTGTCTCTTTGTGTGTGTGTGTGTGTGTGTGTTTGTGTGTGTATGTCTGCAGTTCAAAGTTGAGGCAAAGCAGCGACAAAATGGCCCAAAAGATCAACAGATCAAGGCCAGAGATTTCATTAATGGCTATAACTTACAATTGACCTATAATGATGAAACCTGACATGAGTCGTCATGTAAGTACTGAACGGATGAAATTGAGGAACAAATTTTAAGAATTACAACAGTTATGAAAAACATAATGGCAGGAGAGTGAGGGTGCATTACAAACTTGTCCTTTCTCTAGCAGAGTCTGGATACCAAGTTTTGTTACGGACTTGGCAATATCGAAACATCTTGACATGCTGATCAAGAATGTGTATATTCGCCCTTTTATCCTATGATTATAGGGTACAATGAGGCATGAATAAAACCATAAATACCTATATATGTACATACATACGATAAGAGTGTATATGTGTGTATATAAAATGCGCATTTATATGGTACTTGTTATAGCATGGCACTTCCGCTTCCAACTTACTACAATGGATCTGGTCTGTGCTGAACGCGCATGACTAGCTCCATATACTTGTATACGAGTATGGAAGCTGCACACTGTATGGTGGCAGAGGTAGCAACAACAATGTTGACCACATGATCATAACAAAACAAAACTACAACCAATGGCCTTAAGAGGAGCTGTCGAGGAGTTTGTGGAGCAGCTTTTCCAGCAACATTTATTACCGCCCATATGTCGAGTTATCGTTTCCATCCATATTACTAACGATCCAACGATCTTCCATGCCTCTGCGGTTGTTTTTTTGTGTTTTGTTTTTGTTTTTTGTTTTTTGTCTGCTGCCATTGCATTGTTATTATGCAAAGCAGTCCGAAAGGAAGAGAGATGAGAGGAGAGGAAAGAAAAAAAGATGTGCCGGACACATTGACCGAAATCCAGTTACAGTTGAACAACTCGAGTGTCTGTTGGTATCGCCTTTGATGTTGCTGCTGTTGTTGTTGTTGTTGTTGTTGCTGCAAATTCCACTGCTGATTTGCGGTTTGAGTCGTTTACAAATTTTTGCTTTTAGTTTTTTTTTTTTTGTATGAAGTAAATGTATCTGATAGATGCAATCGCATTGCATAGCAATGCAGCATTCGATTTGGCCCACTTCTCTAGCACCCCGTAGCTTGCTCTCATTGCGTCCTTCCGTCATCCCCCTCTCTCTCTCTCTCTCTCTCTGGCATCTTCACATTCATTGGATTACTATGATAATGAGTAAAAACTTTACGCAATTATTGCCATGTCCATTAGCTTCGTTTGCCAATCAGTCGACGCGGGCCGGAACTGTTCAATTCCACGGTATTGTTATATCTATTAAAATTTCACTCGAATTAGAGAAATTAACATAATAGTGTTCAGGTACAGTTTTTCTCATACGAATTGCCTGCCTTGATTGATTAATTCATGGAGCCTTAAGTGCGCGAATGACTATTCTGTTTCATCGATCGAATTAATAAGGAAATTAAAAATTATATTCCCAAGAGATGATACCGAGTCTACCACAATATTTTAGGATCTCGATTGTG